TGAATTGCGTCATACCCGTTACTGACCGGCAGGGGTCCGATCTGATCCATGGAGATGATTTCCCACGGCGCGTTTGGAACTGCATGCGGGTGCAAACTCCCTGTCCTGGCTCTTCTGGTCTTGGTCCGCTGGCACGCTTCGCACGTCTGGATGTATTTCCGAATTTGGTTTCCCATCCTTGGCCACCAGTAGTTCCTTTCCACCATCTCCTGCGTTCGGTTGATCCCGGCGTGTCCGACCAAAGGGGTGTCGTGGTGTAGTCCGATGATTTTGTCCCGCAACTCCTCGTCCCTTGGTACGTAGAGCTTCCCATGGTACGTGATAAGCCCCTCTTCCTTCTTCCACCCGGCGAGTGACTTCTCTAGGGCCGCCTTGACGCTTCCATCAATTGATCGAATGGCCTTGATTTCGTCGATTAGCTGCTGATCCTGTCCCTCGAATGTGACTTCTTGTGATCGGAAGAACTCGGGCTTCAGTAGCGTGACGTCCTTGTTGTCGTTCTTGCCCTGATCGTGATCTGCTCGTCGGGACAGGAGGTCCGCCTTGCGGTTGAGTGCGCCGGGTCGGTGTCGTAAGGTGAAATCGAACTCCGCCAACTCCGTGATCCATCGTGCTTGCCGTCGATTGAGCTTCTGCGGCTTCCGAAAGTACTCGAGATTCTGATGATCAGTGAAGATCTCGAACGTTTCCGTGGCTCCCAGGAGCAACTGCCTCCATTCGTCAAGTGATAACATGATTGCGAGCATCTCCTTGTCGTAGATCTCGTAATTTCGCTCGGTTTCGGTCAATGCGTGCGAAATAAATGCGATTGGGTGCCAAATGCCGTCTTGGTTTTGGCTCAAAACTGATCCTGTTGCCCCTTCCGAAGCATCGGCTTCCAGACGATATTGGCCAGTGTCATTTGGCAGTGCTAAGACGGCATCCTCCGCGATTCTCTTCTTTAACCCATCAAACGCCGCGTGTTCATCCGGACCCCATGACCATCCTGCCTTCCCTGTCAGCCGCGTCAACGGCTTGGCGACCTCCGCATATCCCCGAACGAAACGTCGATAGAAGTTTGTGAATCCGAGGAAGGCTTGGACTTGTTTGACGCTCTTTGGTTCCGGCCATTCCATCACGCCCTTGATCTTGACAGGGTCCATCCGCATCGAGTTGTGTCCAATGATTACACCCAGGTATTCGATTTCCGTGCGTTCGAACTCGCACTTTTCCGGCTTCAGGTATAATTTGTACTTTTGGAGCAACTCGAGTACCCGTTTGGTGATTCGTCGATGTTCATCCAGATTTTCTGTGAAGATTAGTATGTCGTCCAGATAAACTACCACATGTCCCTCGTTGATCAGTTCCCGGAGTATGTCGTTCATCATGTTTTGGAAAGTTGCCGGGGAATTTGTGAGACCAAAGAACATAACCAAGGGCTCGTAAAGTCCGCGGTTTGTGCGAAACGCAGCCTTCCACTCATCGCCCTCTTTGATCCGTACGTTGTTGTATCCCCACCGGATGTCTAGCTTGGTGAAGAACTTGGCGCCGCACAGGTTGTGGACCAGTTCGGAAATCAGCGGTAGCGGGTACCGATTTCGGATCGTCATCTCATTCAGCTTCCGGTAATCTTGAACAGGCCGTAGCGAGCCATCCTTCTTCTTGACAAAGAAGAATGCCGATGCCATGGGTGATTTTGATGGCCTGATTCGTCCGCTGGCTAGGTTCTCTTGTAAGAACTCGTCGAGTTTGACCTGTTCGTTTCTCGATAAGGGGTACACCTTGCAGTCCACTGCTTTGGAGCCTGGTTTGAGCTCGATCGCATGATCCCATGCCCGTCGGTCCGGTAGCGAGTCGAATGATTCCTTGGCGAATACTTTGACGAATTCTCGGTATTGATCTGGGATCTTTCCCTCGGTCATTCTCTCCTTCTCCCTTTCCGCTTCTTCTGCGAATTTCTGTGCCGGCGTTTCCTTCAGCCGTAGGTCTACCTCCTTTCCAAAGTCGATCAACAAGATCGATTCTCCCTCTTCCAGATCCGGTGCACCCGCGTCCAGGTCAATTGCATCCATGTCGATCATCGCTTGGTGCTCCTCGTGACCCCTCATTTGACATTGCTCTGGGCATCGGCTGAATCTCATTGTCTGCTCCTGCCAATCCACCTCGGGGTTGTGTTCCGTCAGCCAATCCAGGCCGATGAAGATCCGGGCTTTTCCCAGACACGTCAGAAGGAACGTGCGTGTCTCCACATGAGGACCGATTCTCATTCTCAAGTCGACGTAGTGTGTGATCCGACCGCTGATGTTCTCGGTGTTGTCGGCGTTACGAGCCACAATGGGTTGCGGAAGCTCTTGGATATCCAGCTTTTCTGCCCGTGCGTAGTCGGTGTCGATGCAGCAGGTACTGCAGCCACTATCGAGCAGCGCCTTGACTCCACGCGTTTTCCCTGAGTCCAGGCCCGTGATCTGGACATATACGTCCATCGAATGCCTCTTTCTTTCGGCTTGGTAACTGCGCAATTCCTGCGCCAATCTGCTGGGCTGGGGGCCCTTCTGTTTCTCGGTCGCCAATTTCCTCTGGATGGCATCTGGCACCCTGGTGCGTTTGGGTGCTTCTGGAACCTCGATTTTGGCAGATTCCTTGGGCGCTTCCTCCTTTTCCAAGGATCGAGCCTTCGGAGCGATGCTCCCCTTTTCGGTCTTTGTTGACGTGGTTCCTTCTCCACGAGCCATAAATACGTAGGAGTCCAAAAATAATTTATCTACAGCTTTCTGATCCTTTTTATCTTGTAAGTATTTTCTATTTAGAGCTATCTTTTCCTGGCGTTCTTTTTCCATCTCGGCAATAAGAAAATCGTGAATATTTGTACGTAGTGAGTCTGAGATCGTGTATGTAGATGAAATATTGTCCGTATCTTTAATCGAAACAAGTACAGAAAATCGTCCATAGTCCGGACGCTCCACCTCCTTGGCTAGAGGAGTGGAGCGCTTCAAAAACCCTTCTCGCGCAGCTTCTCGGCAATCTCCTTCAGGAACTCGTTGTCCTTGTCCCCGTTCTCGATTTCTTCCAGCATTGTGGCCCGATTGAAGAACGTGCGCTTCTTCTTGGGCTCCGGGCAGTTCCGCGCAATGTGCCCGGGCTGCTGACAGTTGTAGCAGATGATATTGCGGCCGCGGGCGTGGGTACGATCGATTTCCATCGGAACCGGTTCGTTGGCAGCGGGTCGGGCCGGAGCGGGTGTGGGCGCCACTGGTGCCGTTTGGGGACGGAACTGGGGAGGTGGTCGTTGTGTGGGGTGCCCATACGACGCTTTGCGCAGCTGGTCACGCAGAGCATTGGCTTCGATGTTGATGCACCAGGCTTTGAACGCTCCATAGGCCTTGGGCAGAGGGACACCGGTGTTGTAGAGACGGCTGGCGATCTCGCTGCTGAGTCCTCGCTCCAGGAACTCGATGAGGATATTATCCTGGTCCCCCTTCTTGTATTCGCCTTTGTCGTCGGTGGTGTCAACCACATTGTAGCCTGCATCCGCAGCCAACATCTCAAAGTCGGAGATGTAGTCCGCGAAGGACCGTTTGTTTTGACGCAGGGCCATAAGCCGAGCAGCGGCGACTTGTTCCGCATTGGAGTCCCCGAACGCCCTCTGAAACTCCTCCAGGAAGTTCTTTGATGTGACTCCTGCCTTCAGTCCCTGGAAGCCATCGAAGTTGTGCTGCTTCCAGTTCATCGCCCATCTCGAGGCAGCGCAACTCGTGCCGTTCTCGTTACGGAGGTAGGAGAGGACAAAGAGGATTTTGGTCTCATCTTGTGAGAACTCCGATCGATAGGCACCAATGTAAGTGGTGCACGCGTCCACAAAGCCCAGGTATTTGGACTTGTCGCCATCGAAGTAGGGGGGGTTGGCGGCGAGGGTGATGCGGTGATGCCCTGACATGGTAGGGGCAGGCGTGTGAGGTGGAGGCGAGGGTGGTTGTTCGGAGGGCAGTTCGTCGAGGTCGGGGATCTCGTCTTCAGGTGGTGGGAGGGCGAGGTAGGGGTCGGAGGGCCCGGGTTGGTTTTGATGCGCCAGATCGGGCGACGATGGTACGATGGGGGGAGGGGATGGACTCCCAGACGACGATGGGAATCGGTACGAAATGGTGGATTCGTGTGCTGTACAAGCACTCGAGGAAAGGTTCTTTTGCTAGCAAAAAGATCCCGGGCCTAGCTCTTCACGTGCCCGATGATCCCGAGGTGCGTTTTCCCGAAGGTCTCCGCAGCACTCCTTGTAGCTACCGTAAGGCTTGGGTCGGGCTCAACGTTACCCGTGGCCTGGTGCTGTTTGCTTGATATGAACCCTTCACTGCGATAGTGGAGGACGACTAGATGATTCGATAAAAGGGTGAGTGGGGTGATAAGGGTTAAGAGGATATAGCGGGCGTAGCGGTGCAAGATGCAGGGTAAGAGGTATGAGGTAGGAGGGTATGAGGGGAATCTTCGAATTATGTGACAATCAACCCAAAAACAAAGTCGAAAAGAGAAGTGAATTCGAAGATTGGAGAATACAACCAAGTAGCTACAGTATTTATACCCAAATCCAGTCTGAGTCATATCTACAACTAATGAGTCATAGGGCTATGTACCGCATGGAACGCTGGTCATGGGTCGTAGTAGAACCTTCTGGAGCATATGTCGCGCAGCCTCGAATCGATGAAGATAATCCCTGAAACCCCTAGTCCGGACCGTCTGATGCCGTGATCCGTGATAAGATAAGTTGTGCCAAGATAAGATAAGATCGTCGATGATAAGATGAAAAAGTGGCCGAACTATGACAGGCGGTTTTGCATCGTAGCGCCGCGTTTGACGAGTGCTTGAAACCGGGATTGTGGATCGTTATGAGAGACCGAATATTGAGTGTTGATGGGTGATGGGAACATCGCCACTGATGCTGAACGGCATGTGGAATGACGTGGTAAGCTGCATGAAGCACAGCTTGTGATGTGACCGCTGTTATATCAATCAGCGCCGGTCTGGTTACACAGTCAAAGCGACCCCGAGCTCGTCATCTCCCTCCAACTTAAATCCTGACAGTCCCCTGTCAGTCCGTCGACGCCGTGTGAATATGAGGGGTTATTGCGGTGGTAAGTGACAGCTGGCTTGGGTGATGGCGCCGTCGGGCAAGGACTTTTCCGTCGGGGTCCCGTTTGGATGGCCAAGGCTTCTTCGCTCTTCTCTCCCGTCTCTTCTTCATCTGACTCGTCCTCCGGGTCCTCCAGGATCGACTCCTCCATCTCTCTGAGCCGTTCCATCGATATATCGAGCAGGTCTTCAAGAGGGGGAAGCTCGATTGTTTCCCTTGCGAAATATGGGATGACACGGAAAGCTGCAATGGGTCGGTGAAAAACGGCGCCGTCCAGCTCACAGAGAATGTAGGCGCCGCCCTTGTTCCTCGAAATGACTATTAACGGTCCCAGATATTGTTTGCGCATTTTGCGGCTGAGTGACTTCTCGATAGCGGTGTTGCGCATCAAAACCAGATCCCCTTGCTGAAAGTTGTAGTCGCGGATTGTATATGCGTGGTCCCGCTCAAACCGGATCGCCGCCTGGACCCTGGCTTCGAAGACGTCGGAGTGGAGCCAGGCCAACTGCTCTTGGCGTTTCTGTAGTGCGATAGCACGCTGCGAAATGAGTTCGGTGGTCGAGAGGACGCTCTCGGGAGGGGGAAGCAGGTAAGTGGCCTCCGAGATGTCGAGTGGTAGTAACGGGTGTGCGCCAGTGACCGCAAAGAACGGGGAACACCCCATGCGCCGTCGGACGGTAACACGGTCCGCCCAAAAGACGGAGTGCGCCACGGTGTGCCATTTCGACTGATTTCCATCTGCTGCCTTATACAAGGCTTCTCGTACATCGAAGTGCGGTCGCTCGGACAGGTTTGCTTGTGAGTTGTATCCCGATATCCGAATGTGCCGTATCTTGTATTGTTTCTCCAGGTGTGTGAGTGCTTTCACGAACGGGGTACCGTTATCTGTGACGATTTCTAGCAGGGTCCCCCACCTACACAAGATGTCTTGGAAGATCCAGTTTGCCAGGGTCGACGCGTTTTCTCGGCGGAGCATCCTCCACTCTGGGTAGTGTGTCAGCGAGCATCGACCCTGGACAATGTACTTGAAGCCGCCGCTCGTGGGGAGATGCATCGTATCCATGTATATCTTGGCAAAGATGGGTGCTGGTACCGCGACCGTTGGAGGTATGCGGATCTTCCGCACTTGTCGTTGCTGACACAAGTCGCAGGTCCGGACGAACCACGCAATATTATCGGCCATGTAAGGCCACCAAAACCGTTCGGTGAGTAGGGCCCGTGTCGCATAGAACCCTTTGTGACCAACATTGTCGTGCGCCGACTTCAGGACTGACCATCGCTGCTCCGGTGTCACTACCACCTTGTGACGCCCATGTGAGTCCTTTTTCCATAGTACAGTGCCACGCATGAAGAATTCCATGCAATACCGTACGAACGGCTGGTATTCTGTCTCCGTCATATCGCGGGGTCGCTCCAATGTTCCATGCCAAATCCGGACTTGGTCCACCCGGTAGTCTGCTCGTAACGCTGTCGCCGATCTTGGTATCTCTGGCGACGCTTCACTTGCTTCTTCTTCGTCCAAAGTTCCGGCCATGAATACAGAGGAAGTCCCCGTGTGACAGAATAACCTGCTCTATGTTATGACCCATTCCCGCTTACTCACAACATTGATTGTTATTGTTTACGTAGGTAGTTCGATCGTAGTATAAGTACGTAGAGTTGTACGATCGAGAGACCAGTCAATTTTACAGCTTATCCCTGTCACCCTTGGATTGACTACCCAAATACTCGTGTGTTAGAACTCGTTCTAGGACGCTTCCGCCACATATTTTTGACAGTTAAAGCACTACTATCTTTGCCCTGCTCTGGCTACCTCGCAGATTGATCTCCTGCGTCCGCCGACTCCGACGAAGAACTTATCCATCGATACCATGCAACAACCAGACCAAAACCCACAAGCCACCTCCGGCCGTGCCCTGCGTCGCCGCAACTCCCATGGCACCGTTATGACGGCAGGGGAGCTCGCCGCCCATCCACCAGCCACTGTAGTGGATCGCCCTGTGACGCCAGAGCGGACCTACGCTCGCGTCTTATCCCCGGCTCCGGCCACCCTTCCTCAGCCCGTCGATGCGTCCCCGACCATCGGCGGAGACATCGCTAGTACCCCCTACGAGGGAGAACGCCCAGCCCGTGGAAACACGGAGAACCTGTCCAACGAGCCCCTGTCTGTGTCGGTTAGGGGCCAGACCGATAGCCTGTATTGCACAGGGCTGATCGAGGAGGTCGAGAATGAAGACGGACCTTGGACCGTAGCGACGAGACGGACTTCTCGCACCCACCGGGAGTCCATTAGTAGCTGTAGCTCTCGTACCACCAATAAAATTAGTGCGGGGCAACACAACGCTCAAGATAGCCTGGAAGAGCTCACCTCCATAATGGACGAGGCAGCTGAGGCCATGTCGCCTAAAATGTTGCGGCTGATATCTGACCGATATGCCCGCCTGGCAAATGCGGCAGAACAGAGGTCACCCGTCGTCAAACGGGAGCCTGAGACCGACGTGACCCCTGAGGTTACCGCTGTATCGGACGCGATCGGCGACAGGTCGGTGTGGTCGGACCATGCGGTGGAAACCAAGAAGGAATCCGATCGAAAGTCCGATAGCGAGGGAGACCTCGCATACCAGCTGAAGGCAGCTGAATGGTCAGATAGCGGTTCGACTTCACCCGAGCTATTGTCCGCTGGACCATCCCAGGATAAGGGAAAGGGACCTGATCCGGTGACGAGCAGTGATGCGCCCTAGCCCTGAAATCAATCGATCACGTGCACAAAAAGATCCAATGGATTTGTCAGCGAGCTCGTCAAGGTTGTTGCACGTGATCATTTGATCAATCTATCACGTGCACTGAAAGATCTCAATGGATTTGTCAGCGAGCTCATCAAGGTTGTTGCACGTGATCATTCTGGTCATCACTGGATGCCTCCGGCGGGGTCCTATTTCGGAGTTCGTCTCCTTGTTGTGCTCACAGGACTCATTCATTTCGGCGAAATTCAGCACTGACTAAAGAAATAAATTAACATAGAGCTCAATGGTCACCATATCAACAGCAGGTTCAAGTTACTTATCTCCTTTGGATTTGATTCACACTTAGTATAAAAGACCTGTAGTACAGTACAAGAAAACAAGAAATCTTCTTCACCCACTCTCTAGAGTCTAAAGTGACTTCCCAGTACTTTCTATCTCGCTTTCTCGGCGCCTGCTTCTGCATTATTTTCCCAACATCGCCCCCAAACCCCCATTTCGTGCTACAGACATACATATTGATCTCCCCGTCGTTCTATCGTCCTCTTGTCCTGTCCTCCGTCGTCATTATCGTCCCATTTTAAGCCCATTTCCCCGAGCCTGACCTTGTTAGGATCAGAATCCCACACACTATACTGCGCGAGCTCGAGCCGCAGCTCCCTCCCCACCACCTCCGACTAGCCCCCTGTCTCTCCCCGTACAGCTGCGCGCTCATACGCTCCGTAGGCGTGTCATTTTGGAACCCCTGGCGGGATTTGTTCCAATTACAACATTGATTCAGGCTCTAACCGCGCCCTCCGCCCTTCTGAACCTCGAAATCTTCGTCTAGAGTTCAGGGCTATTTCCCAGAACCCTCTCAATCTCTCAGACGCAGCGCATCACACTGATTCGTCCTCAGAGGACTTACTGGTTCCTGTTCCTCACGAACTCCCTCATCCCTACAACTTGGAGTCATCAGATTCTAACCTGCCCACCATCGACTCCCTTACCGATTCCTCGTCCTCGTCGCAGTCCTCATCACCGTCTTTCATTCTCCGTCCCGTATCACCCTCTCCGTCACCTCCACCGCCTCCACCACCTCCGAACCAGAACATGGCAGGTGTTGTGCCCATGCCCGCCCGTGGTGCCCAAGGAGCACCTGAATTCGACCCATCAAAGCCCCGTGAGCTTCCTCGATTTTTCACGGACCTGGAATACCATTTTGGGCTTGCCGGCATTGCGGATGCTCAAGAACGGAAGCGCCACGCTCTACGGTTCCTCCCTTTTGACGAAGCCGAACTTTGGGAGTCCCTAGACTCGTTTTCGGCGCCCCACAACTACGACGCATGGAAAGCAGAAGTCTTGAAGCTTTATCCTGGCACGGATTTTGACCGCAAATATGCTACCTCAGACCTCCACGCGCTCATTGGCAAATACGCCAGCTCTGGGATTCACTCACGCGCTGAATATAGCGAATTCTACCGCCTTTTCCTGGTCATTTCGAAATACCTCTTACTAAAGCAACGGCTGTCTCCGGTTGAGCAGTCCCGTGCGTTTCGAACTGCAATCGCCCCCGCCTCCCTTTGGAACCGTGTGCACCAGCGGCTACAAATCAAGAAGCACTGCATTCAGGGCCTAGGTAGTCGGAAATGACGAACTACCAACCTCTGCTGTTGTCGGCAGATGGCGCCTGACGTTCCCAGGTAGTCAATGACGTAACTCCAGATGCCTACTTGAGACTCCCACGTCAGCGGCCATTCTTGACATACGCGCCCGATCGAGCCCAATTGGCGCCCACGGTAGTCAAACGGCGTCCCACAGTAGTCCAAACACGTCCCACGGGCTGTTGAGCTGCGGCGTCGGCGAGGTGAAGGAGCGCGGCGCGCCATGTGGAAGGGACCTAGAAGCCCATGATCAGTTGCCTCGAGCCAGATGAAGTCGTCCTCCCACGCACATAGGCGGTGGACCATGCCCCAAGTGCTGTCGTTGATCCATGGATGGTTCGGCGTAAGTGTCGGTGCAGATTTCGAGGGATTGTGATCACGAAAGAGAGCGGAAAGTGCAAGGAGGGATATAAGTTGTGCCCGCAGGCATCGTGCTCATCGCGCGCGCAGGGTCGGAGGCAGTCCCAAAGCTTAATTGCCTGAACATACTCACCATATCACCTGCATATCACACACTCATCAACACGTTCTGTACCAAAGATCACAAATAAGATTATGTTAATGCTAAGGAGTCAGGGTCGGAGCGCGCGCCGCGGAGAGGACGAGATCCTCCGCCATTGAACGAGAGCAGGAGCCTGAGGTAGTCCATGATGCGAACTCGACAGGTAGCCCGCATATCGTTCCCAGGCGCCCAAATTCCGGACCGAAATGGGTAGTCCACGTGCACCGAGCTGTCTCGTCCGGTCTCGCCCATCAGCGGCTGTACTCCTCCACTAATCGTTCCCACGCGCCCATGCATTGACTACCTAGGCCCTGAATGCAGTGAAGCCTGATGTTCATCCTGAAGACCCATATGAACTCGGTGATATGAATGAAGCCGTGGAATTTGTTTTGGCCGATTCCACGGGCTCATTTTCGTTTCAGAGCACGGCGCCTTCAGCCGCCTCGCCCCCGGCCACTGTCAAGTCCGAAGCCGACCCGAATTCGGCCATTTTGGGCGAAATCCTCAAGCTTCTCGTTGCGCAGAACGCCGCTCGCTTGGGCCCTGCGCCCACCGTTTCATCTACCACGCCGTTGCCCTCATACCCTGCACCTCCACGCGACTCGAACTGCTCATATTGCAGTGAAGCTGGCCATTTTATTGCGCGCTGCCCGCGTGTCGAGGATGACATACGCACAGGCAAGTGCAAACGTAATATTGAAGGACAAGTTGTCCTCCCTAGCGGCGCCTACATCCCACGCCGTGTCGCAGGAGTCAATTTACGCGCTCGATTTGACGAATGGCACCGGCAGAACCCTGGACAAATAGCCGCTACGAATTACCAGGACGTCTCAACGAATTTTCTTTCGTCCAATAAACATAGTCCCATTGTTTCCACGTTTTCTCTGACGGATTCTGAACGTTTGGAGCAGCTAGAACGCGAAATATGGGCTGTCCGTACCCGACAACAAGCCCGTGCGGCAATCGAAGCTGGCAGTCGATCTGGGGATCCTGTCGAAGCTCCTGAACAGGCTATTCGCTCGACACCGCCCCCAGCTCGTATTCCAGCCCCTGCTGTCGTTACACCGGCCCGTGCCCCGGTTTCAGCTCCGGCCCCTGCGCCCGCTATTTCTCCGACCAATGCCGTGCCCGAGCATCCATATGCACGCGCAAGAGACGCCGCTTATGCGCCACCACAGGACCGCAATTTTGGCGCACGGGTTCCGGCCCCAGTAGCCAAGAAAAACGAACCGGCCTATCGTTCCTCAGCCCCGCTTTATGACGAAAAACACGCCGACGCTGTATTTGGGCGCATAATGGACACGAAAATCGAGAACTCAGTCCAGGAGTTGATGTCCATTTCCCCCGAGGTGCGCTCCCGCATGCGCGATGCTACCAGTAGCCGTCGAGTTCCTCCGGCTGCTGATGTCAAAAGCGCGGTCCCGCCGGTCTCAACGAACATTTATGAGCAATATACCGTTGATCCCCTGCCGCCAGACGCTTACATCGAGACTCTGGACGAGCAGAAGCGCAGTGATGCACGAAATGCTGCATTTTTCGACTCAATGCCTGCTGGATACATGAATTCGACCCTTCCACCTGGCGCCATCATCATTCCGGACTATTACGAAACGTTGGTTCATTCCGGCGCGTCCATCGACGACCTGGTTGTCTCACTAGAGTCTTCGGCAATCCGTTCCGTCCTTCCCGTGGTTGACAACCGGCTCAGGGTTGAATCCATCATTGACGGCGGTTCTCAAATCATCGCGATGTCTGAGGCGGTCTGCCACCAGCTTGGCTCGTCCTATGACCCCACGGTTGTTCTCCGAATGCAGTCAGCAAACGGATCGATCTCCCCCTCTCTTGGCCTCGCACGGAACGTCCCCTTTGCGTTTGGGGATATCACCCTCTATTTGCAGGTTCATGTTGTACGAAATCCTGCTTACGACATCCTCCTGGGACGTCCCTTCGATGTCCTGACGGAAAGCATCATCCGAAATTATGCCGACGAGAACCAGACAATCACCATTCGAGATCCAAACACTGGCAAGGTCACTGACGAGCGTGGATACACCCTGGCCCCGCAATCAATTGATCACATGATCACATGTCACATGGTATGACGTAGCAAGCTGCTTGGTCTGACAAAGCAGCCACAATTGATCTGGCACGTGATGACAAGTGTCGGGCCGAAATCAAATTTCGGAGTTCATTCCCTCTTGGTGGCTCTAACACCTTTCATTTCGGCGAAATTCAGCACTGACTAAGTAGTAAATTGACATAGAGCTCAATGGTCACCATATCAACAGGAGGTTCAATTTACTTATCTCCTTCTGATTTGATTCACACTTAGTATAAAAAAACCTGTAGTACAGTACAAGAAAAACAAGAAATCTTCTTCACCCACTCTCTAGAGTCTAAAGCGACCTCCCAGTGCTTTTTATCTCGCTTTCTCGGCGCCTGCTTCTGCATTATTTTCCCAACATTGCCCCCAAACCCCCATTTCGTGCTACAGACATACATATTGATCTCCCCGTCGTTCTATCGTCCTCTCGTCCTGTCCTCCGTCGTCATTATCGTCCCATCGCCCGTTCTATTGTCCCTTTGCTCCCCCTGTTGCTCACTGCTGCCCCCGCCCATTTCAGTTGAGCCTATTTCCCCGAGCCTGACCTTGTTAGGATCAGAATCCCACACACTATACTGCGCGAGCCTGAGCTGCAGCTCCCTCCCCGCGACCTCCAACTAGCCCCTCGTCTCTCCCCGTACAGCTGCGCGCTCATACGCTCCGTAGGCGTGTCATCACCACAATTGCTACTATTCCCCGTGGCTCTCGTCCCCGGATCCAGGATTTTCCCCACTCGAGGATTTGATCCCAGATCAAGGAGAGGCCGCTTTTATCATCGTACCTGACCCACAAGACCCCCAAAAATTGATTCTCGAAGCCTCTGTTTCACTCCCTGATAATTATTCGTCTGCTGACCTCAATATTCTTTATCTTACAGGTTGTGATAATTTGGACCAATATTCGGAAAAATTGCAGTATGCATACTCAAACGCACAACCGTTATCTACTGCGGGGTCCGAGTCCCTACCGGGGGATTCAACTCCCCCATTCCGTTTTCCAGGCGCTTCGACATCTGCCTTCACTCAATACCAAGTGTCTGTCCCTCTCTATAACCAATCTACATCTGCTTCCAATCCTTATGCATCCTCCCACGTCGACGTGTTTGCCAAGAAACGATACAAACCAGTAGCGCAAAAAGTGCGCCCTGTACTTGGTACTCTACCAGAGCACTTCCGAATTGTCCGTGAAATACGGGGTGATCCACTTGAAGCCCTTCCTACCCTCGCCCCCCATCCACCTCCGTTTGTTCCGACTGGCCGCTACACCTCCGAACGCCACGATATCATCGAGGCCCTTCATCCCGGGGACTTCCTGTGGCCCGAAGAACGACGATTAATGCACCATTTCATGTGTCTGCACAATGACGGCTTCGCTTGGACAGATATTGAGCGAGGAAAATTCCGTACCGACTTCTTCCATCCCGTGGTCATGCCGGTGATCCCACACAAACCATGGGTCCAGCGCAACATTCCCGTTCCACCAGGCATCTACAATGAAGTGTGTGAACTGATACGCCGCAAGATGGCAGCTGGCGTCTACGAACCGTCAAATTCATCATACCGGTCGCGCTGGTTCTGCGTGGTAAAGAAAGACGGCAGCAGCCTCCGTCTTGTGCACAGTCTCGAGCCGCTAAACGCTGTCACCATTCAGCACTCGGGTGTTCCACCACTCACCGACCAAGTTGCGGAGCAGTTCGCAGGCCGTGCATGTGGCGGCATCCTCGATCTCTACGTTGGATATGATGAGCGCGTACTTGATGAATCCTCCCGTGACTTCACCACGTTCCAGTCACCTTTTGGCGCCCTGCGACTCACCAGTTTACCTATGGGATGGTCAAACTCTGTACCCATCTTCCACGACGACGTTACCTTCATCCTTCAGCCCGAAATCCCTCACTTCACCATTCCCTACATCGACGACACTCCAGTCCGTGGACCAGCCACCCGTTACGAGCTCCCAGGCAGCGGTTACGAGGTCATCCCGAGCAATCCGGGGATTCGACGGTTTGTCTGGGAACACTTCCAGGCGCTCAATAGAATCGTACAACGGATGAAATACTGTGGAGGTACCTTTTCGGGGCCCAAGGCCATTCTATGCGCCGAAACGATCACTGTTCTTGGCCATGTCTGCACGTACGAAGGGCGCATCCCTGATCCCTCCCGTGTCGAGAAGATAGCCAGTTGGGGACCGTGCCGTGATCTGTCCGAAGTCCGTGCTTTCCTTGGCACAGTTGGCGTGGTACGGATGTTCATACGTGATTTTGCACGCCGTGCCAGCCCTCTCGTATCGCTGACCCGGAAGGACGTCCCATTTGTCTTTGGGAAAGAACAGGTCAGAGCACAAGACGACCTCAAAATGGCCCTACTCAGCTCACCGGCACTCCGTCCTCTTGACTACACGTCTCTGGCCCCAGTGGTCCTCTCAGTCGATACGTCCTACATCGCCGTCGGCTCGACCCTTGCGCAGTGTGATCCAAAGAATCTGGCTCGACGGTTCTACGCACGTTTTGGATCAATCACGCTAAACGAGCGTGAATCGCGGTTTTCACAGCCCAAGCTCGAGCTGTATGGTTTGTTCAGAGCCCTTCGAGCATGGAAGATGCACTTAATTGGTCTGCGTAACCTCGTGGTCGAAGTGGACGCACGGTACATCAAAGGAATGCTGGCAAACCCGGATCTAGTGCCCAATGCAGCAATCAATAGGTGGATTTTGAGCATACTCACGTTCCATTTTGAGCTCGTTCATGTCCCCGGTATCTCTCACCGTCCCGATGGCCTTTCTCGACGACCCCCACAGCCTGGCGATACAGCGGAAGAAGACAACGATTTTGACGATTGGATTGATCAGCTACATGGCTTCGTGCATATGATCAACAATGCACCGTATCACCGGAACAGCACCCCGCAACGTGTGGCTACCTTCCTTGACGAGACACCCCTGGACGTACCAGAGAGTGTTGTCGACGCTCCAACACCCCCTCTGTCTTATACAGACGTCCCTCGATCACCAGCGGATATGCTTGCGGATCACCGAGTCGACTTGGTCCAAGCCTGGCATGGGAACTTGCAGCGTCCCCGCGACATGTCTGACACCGAATACAAGACATTTGTACGCTATTGCATGGAGTTCTTCATCAGCAACGGCGCATTATGGCGGAAGGACTCACATGGACGACATAAGCTTGTTGTGCCCCCCACGCGTCGAATCTTCATCATGCGATCCGCACACGACGACACAGGCCACAAAGGCTTCTTTGCGACGCGTGCGCTAATCTTCGAGCGGTTCTGGTGGCCACATCTCTCGAGTGACGTGGTGTGGTACGTTCGCACCTGTGATCTGTGTCAGCAGCGGCAAACGCGCAGGATCCACATACCGCCTACAGTCGCAACCCCGGCACCAATCTTTGCGAAAATGTACATGGATACAATGCACTTACCCACCAGCGGAGGCTTTAAGTACGTCGTCCAAGGGCGTTGTTCGTTGACCCACTACCCCGAATGGCGCATGCTTCGACAAGAAAACGCTGCGGCAATTGCAACGTGGATCTTCCAGGACATCTTGTGTCGCTGGGGGACATTAGTCGAGATTGTGACGGACAACGGGACACCATTCGTGAAAGCGCTCACTCACCTTGAGAGACAATACAACGTCCGGTGATAGGCTGGCTACCAGACGCGCTCTGCACCAGCTCTGTAAGGGCGTATTTTTGCGCTTTTTACAGAGTTTACTCTTGAACCACTCGGTGTATCGTGTCGCGGTTAACAGTGTTGCGCTCAGTAGGACTTATGGGTCTACTGCCCAGTCGACGACTGTGGATAGTGTCGACGATAGCAAGGCAGTCAGACCACTACTGTGGAACTGGTCTTACGAGTCTACACCAGGCTCAGGGCCATTAGTGACGAACGCTTGGACCGCGACCATTCCCCAAAAAGGGATATGTCGTTGCGTCGACTTCTCAAAAAGGGTCATTCTCTGCAGATGGGAACTTGGGCTGAAGGGCTGAGCAATGCGCGACGTTCTCAATAATAGAACTACTACTGGACAGGACTTGGCGTTACAAGACTTAAACCATCTTGTCGCGGCAACTCCCGGTTTTGAGTTGGACGTTTCCTCAGATCATGCCACGACGACGACTTGTCACATGTCAGGATCCATTCGATCACGGGACATTGTGGACGCGTCGCGGTGACACTTCCAAGTGTCACGGCGAGTCGCGCCCATACTCAAACACACTAAAATCGATACGGCTAGATCCGTGAACCGAGCCATGTGGGAGACGATTGGCGTGCCTAGAGCCATACGGCTTCTTGGGGCGCCCACGTTGGTCTCACATGCCAAGACATACCCGTTGGCCAATCCAGCACGTCGTATTCCAAAAGTATGACGCGGTGAGTTGGCCCACATCAAAAGTATCATATGGACAATGGGGCGGGGTCCTGATCACTCAGGACCTGTCCGATCGTTCAACTTTTCAATTACCCTAAAAGGCAACCGATCTTAGATAGCGTAGCTACTATGCAGTTGTACAGGACTTTACTAAGCAGCGTCGTAGACAGTATAAGTAGCACGTCGTCTCTTTGTATTAGGAAGCTTTCCCCCGGACTGTGAATCACTCTCATTTCAGATTGTTTTGTACAATTTGCGTGCCGCGTGATTCCACCCTAAGAAGTTCTGCTACCCCTGCCCGGTCGCGACGAGTTGCTCCCTGAGCACTTGTAGCTACTGTGATTTGAGTTTGAGTTGAGACATCAGAAAGTCGGATTCGCCGCATCTGGTTTAGTCGCGGCATTTAGTGTCGTCGCCTTCGGGCTTTGTTGAGATCGTTCCACACCTCTAGCTTGGCAGTGCGTCGACTAGTTGTGCTCGGGTTGTTTTGGTCAGTTGGCAGTGCGTCGACTTGAGAACTTTGGTTCCACACTTCTTGCTTGGCAGTGCGTCGACAAGTTGTGCTCGGGTTTTGGACATTGGATATTGGCTGTTAGTTGGCAGTGCGTCGACGCGGCATTTTGGTTTTACTAGTTGGCAGTGCGTCGACTCAGTATATTGGTTGTATCGGTTGGCAGTGCGTCGACTTGATATTTGGGCTTTGCGTCACCATCTAGACGCTGTCGCTACAAGGGATCTTAATACTTCGTATTAAGCTCTGACTTGTTATATTGTTGTTGTGGATTGGATTAGTGTTGGTTGTGATCGTATAGAAGATATTGGTTGAGACACCATTGTTTGCTATATATATATATATTCTTGTCGTCGACTCCGTCTCCGCGACTATTGGATCTGCGTCTATTGAGAGTTGTGATACTGGTGCTCTGTCCACCCCGAAGCCCTCGCATCTTTCACACACTGAGAAGCTGATTACGAGGAGTGTGAACGTGTTTATATTTGGGTTTACTTTCATAGTAGATTCACTTGTGAGCACGCCCTCAGCATTTCACCGGCACATTCGAATTTCCGGTTACAATTCACAGGCAAATCTGGCGGAGCGCCCACATTTCGACGTCCGGGAGTCCCTCTTCAAAGCCGCGGACGGAATCCAGTCCAAATGGCACTCGACAGCACACTCAGTCTTCTGGGCAGATCGAGTAACTGTACGTCGACGTATGGGGTGCTCACCATTTTTTGCCGTCACCGGCGCGCACCCGTTGCTCCCACTCGACATCTCCGAAGCAACCTACCTCCTCCCGGCCCCCGCATCCGTGCTGTCGTCCACAGAGCTCATCTCACACCGTGCCATCGCCCTGCAGAAGCGCCGGGAACAAATGGCGTTCCTCCATTCCGCCGTCCTCGAGGCCCGCGTGCAAGCAGCGATCCGTTTTGAGCAAGAGCACGCTCACACAATCCGCGACTACGATTTTCAGCGCGGCGACCTGGTCTTGATGAGAAATACGGCGATCGAGAAGTCCCTGAGCAGGAAAATGCGCAAGCGCTACCTGGGACCGCTGATAGTCGTCTCAAGGAATCGGGGAGGCGCTTACATCGTCTGTGAGCTTGACGGCTCGGTTTTCCACCGGCCTATTGCTGCCTTCCGCGTCATACCTTATTTTGCGTGCCGCACTATTCCCCTTCCCCCACTCGAGGATCTGCTCGATATTTCGACGGAACGGTTGCGTGAGCTCGAAGAATCCCTCCTGGCGGACCCGGAGGGATCGACAACGAATCAGAGCCTCAGAGCGAGTTTGGCGGCGCTGAAGCAGAGCTCTAGCAACCCGATGGCTGATAGTGCATTCCACACAACGCACCTATTGTGATCAAGCCCCCGAACCGATAATCCCCCCCTTGTTCCGGCCTCAATTCGATCTGATGACTGACTGGGGACAGTCAGATTTTCAGTTGGAGGGAGATGACGAGCAGTGATGCGCCCTAGCCCTGAAATCAATCGATCACGTGCACAAAAAGATCCAATGGATTTGTCAGCGAGCTCGTCAAGGTTGTTGCACGTGATCATTTGATCAATCTATCACGTGCACTGAAAGATCTCAATGGATTTGTCAGCGAGCTCATCAAGGTTGTTGCACGTGATCATTCTGGTCATCACTGGATGCCTCCGGCGGGGTCCTATTTCGGAGTTCGTCTCCTTGTTGTGCTCACAGGACTCATTCATTTCGGCGAAATTCAGCACTGACTAAAGAAATAAATTAACATAGAGCTCAATGGTCACCATATCAACAGCAGGTTCAAGTTACTTATCTCCTTTGGATTTGATTCACACTTAGTATAAAAGACCTGTAGTACAGTACAAGAAAACAAGAAATCTTCTTCACCCACTCTCTAGAGTCTAAAGTGACTTCCCAGTACTTTCTATCTCGCTTTCTCGGCGCCTGCTTCTGCATTATTTTCCCAACATCGCCCCCAAACCCCCATTTCGTGCTACAGACATACATATTGATCTCCCCGTCGTTCTATCGTCCTCTTGTCCTGTCCTCCGTCGTCATTATCGTCCCATTTTAAGCCCATTTCCCCGAGCCTGACCTTGTTAGGATCAGAATCCCACACACTATACTGCACGAGCTCGAGCCGCAGCTCCCTCCCCACCACCTCCGACTAGCCCCCTGTCTCTCCCCGTACAGCTGCGCGCTCATACGCTCCGTAGGCGTGTCACCGGGAAACTGGGGCAACGTTCAGCTTTCAGACAACGAGCTGGAGGGTCAGAAGGACGCCTTCAAGGTGTTTGAACTCACCCGTCGAGGACAGGCGCAGCATAACCGCGACCCAACAGTAGGCAGTGGGACAGTTAATAAAGAGCGGGACTCACGCGACCGCCCGATGTTGGAACGGAATCCTGAGGAAGGACGGGCCAGCAAGGTCCTCCTTCGAGAACTGTCTCGAATGAGGGAGCGCCTCGCGGAATTCGAGGAACGAGAGCGACGAAGGGAGAAACCCCGTCCGTTAGCAAAACTGAAAAGTCACGGAACTGGGGTGCGCACCTCGGCCTCCTCCCACAAGGATAAAAGGCGAACGCCTGGAACGAGGGAGTCAGCCGGGTTCGTGACGAGTGTCCTAAGAGGAGTCAGCCTTCAACCTTCGGACGACGGCGGGTCGAGCTCTGAATCATCCCCAAGTAGCTCCGACTCTACCAGCGACGGGTCGGGTTCGCCCCCCAGTGACTCGTCCAGCGGGTCGGAGTCGGGGGATAGTAGCTCTGGCTCCAGCTCGAGTTCTGAGTCCGATGCCTCTAGATCCGACTCAGAGACACCGACCAAAAGGAAGGGAAGTAAGAAGAGAGCTAAGTCGAGCACCAAGCTGAAGGGGAGAATGCTGGTGAAACCAAGCCCCCCTGCTCGATACGACGGGTCGGAGAACGCAGACCTGTACACTCAGTTTGTGGATGAGGCGAATCGATATTGGGAATTAGGGAATGTACCAAAGGCACACCGGGTCCCCATAATCGGCTCGTTTCTCGATGGAGATGCGAAAGACTTCTACAACCGAAGAATCCGAGGCCATGAACACAAGTGGACCCTGAAGAAGATGCTAAGGGCCCGATCGGGTGGAGCGCTTGTCGGACGACATTGCCTGGACAAATGCCTGATGGGCATTCAGATGGAATTGATGGGCAGTCCGAGCGCTTCGGATGCCAAGGAAGTCACAGGAGGGTGACTGCTGAGTACAGATACAATACATTTAAAAAACGCGCCCCAGCGCATTTTCTGTTGATTGTCGTCATCTGTGTACAATGTCGCGCCCACGCCCTCCCCGTATGCAGCGGCGCGCTGCCCGATCTATCACCGTATCTTTGCATGCAGAGGAGCGGCGCCGTACTGCCGCCGCCGCTGCGGCGCATCGCCGAAAGGCAGCGGTGGCGGCGTTAGCATGTGTCCTTGCTGCATCCTGTACTACTCTCTGTCTCACGGCACCACCCGCGATTCCAATCCACACGTCTGCGCTCAGTGGGCAGAGCTGGGTGACAGAGCTTCTCCATGGACACACAGATCGTTGCCGAGACCAGATAGGCGTGACAAAAGAAGTTTTCGGGTGTCTGTCATATGAACTACAGATCTCATTTGGACTGGTGTCAACCAAGCATGTCACGGCCGACGAGAAGCTAGCAACGTTCCTTCACTTTGCACGGACCGGGTTGAGCAGTCGCATGCTGCAGGAACGCTTCCAGCGCAGTGCCGATACTATCAATAAGTCAGTATTCTCTGCCCTCCACTGGCTTGTTCTTATCTCCTCCTAGGTCCATCTACACAATCCTGAACATCCTTGTTGGTCGGGCCTTTTACACGAAACATGTTCACCTGCCACCAAATGAAACACCACCGGAAATCAAGGCCAACCCGAAGCTATATCCATACTTCCGCAACGCTCGGGGAGCCATTGATGGCTCACACTTCCATGCTTGGGTCCACGAGGCTATTGCTGGTGCTTATCGGAATAGGAAGGGCTTCATTGGCCAGAATGTGCTTGCTGCATGCAACTTTGCAATGCTCTTTGTCTACATCCTGAGTGGATGGGAAGGGAGTGCTGCTGACTCTGCAATCTTCTCCTATGCTCGGGATCACGACTTTGCTGTACCTCTTGGGATGTACTATCTTGCTGATGCTGGTTTTCCTCTCTGCGACGCTCTGATGACCCCCTACCGTGGTGTTCGTTACCACCTCAAAGAATGGGGTACTGTTGGAGAAAGGTATGATAGTCTCTGTTCTTTAAAGCTCACCTGATGACTGTTTCCCAGGCCCAAAACCCGTGAAGAGCTCTTCAATCTGCGGCATGCACAGGCCCGCAACATTGTTGAGCGAATATTTGGTGTCATGAAACGGCGGTGGGCTGTTTTCTCACGGGCACCAGAGTATCCAATTGAGATGCAAGCAAAGCTTGTTGCTGCCCTGGCTGCTCTCCATAACTTTATTGGGATCTTCAATGCTAATGAAGCAGAAAAGACCCCTGCCGCTTCAAAGACACCAGAGACTCCACGGACACCAACCCCACTCTCTCGCTCGAGCAGCAGTATTTCCTCTTTTGTCCAGACCGAGCCTCGCGAAATCCTTCCTGAAGAACTCGGGATGGAGATATCTGCCGAGGAGCGGGCTCGAGCAGTTCTTCGACGGGACACAATTGCGCAGAAGATGTGGGAGGACTACCAGTTGATACTTGCTGACCGTGCTGCATTTGAATGTGCAGCGGCAGCTGATCGTGAAGCTGCTGCACGCGAAGCTGCAGAAGATGCAGCATAGTGTAGCAATAATTGATTGCAGTACAAAATGTATCTAATTCTGCATAAAGTCCTCATATGCCTTACGAAGGAAAGCAGTGCGAGTTTTCTTCTTCCGAGTGGAGGTGTACACCTGCGAGATTGCGCCATTTGTATCCTTTGAGATCAAGAGTATCATGTTCGACTCTTCCTCCGAGGAGAAGTCATTGTCGTCCTGCATGACCTCCATGGCGTGCTTCCGAGCCTTACCATGAGGACTACTGGGGTCTGCGCTGGGGCCGAACGCCGATGCTAATTGATGGACAGCGGCAACCATGTCCCCAGCCACATCCGCGTTCCGTCGGCCCTTTGTGTTGCTCTTCTTTGCCGACACCGAGGGTGGCTCTGATGATGCGCCACGTTTACGACCACGTCCCAGATTGGGAGTTGGTGACGAAGGGGTCAGATCCCCACGGAAAGGATTATCGTCGTCTTCGTGTTTTGAAGGGGTACTAATTGACCCGTTGTCGTCCTCCACATCGGTGGTGTTCAGACTCGGAGCATCCCCAGGGTTGGTGCCAGACGCCTGCCCAGGATGAAATGCTGCGGCTCCCGTGGCAACAACGCCGGTGACAATCTCGTGGATGTCATCATAGCACGGGAAAGGATGGCGGCGCCAGTGTTCGGCGCTCGGGTGTGCCTGTGTATGTCTGAGCGACTGTGCTCGACTGGCAGACACACTCACGGAGGTGTAATCATCCCAGACCCGTTCGTCTGCCGTGACCATTTGCGCTTTGTCATCCCAGCCAAAACCGGACAGCGACCGCAGCTTTTGGACATCTTTGTAACCTTTTTTGAGCTTTGAAGAGATCAGACAGGCTTGGATGGGTGGACAGATTGGTGCGTACGGCTTTGGACCAGTGATCGTGGCACTTTTCCCCCGTCTTCGCTGCCCCAGGTCCTCCCACAGCGTTTACAGCATCTGCAACGATCGCCCAAACTTGAGGCTTCCATCCTGATCCCGATTGGTACGCCCTTTTGTTTGTCTTCAAGCACGTCACCAGGGCCTTGTCTGACTCGGTCCCCCAGACGCACTTCCCGCCCTTCAACTTCTGAACACTAGTTTGCGTGACCGCGGCAGGAACATCAGACTTGCCAGCAGATGGGAGCGTGAGAGCGGGAACAGCGGGGAGCGCGACAAAGCCTGGAGTCACAGGATGCGCCATAACGAGAGCTGCGGGTGTCGCGGGAGGGTCGGGAGGCACGGGAGGCACTGCAGGAGGCTCGGTGGCCATGAAAAAAGGATGCGCCGGGTGCGCGTCCAGACAAGGCCGTGGGCAAAATGTCTATTTTCGGCTATGTGACAGCCTTGCGCAGGCAAAGCATTCCTACCGAGCACACATCTATCACGCCATCTGCCACGCAAATCCGTTCGTCAAGCAGTTGCTTGTGATTTGGCCCTAGGCAGGCCGGCAAGCGCTCCACCCGATCGGGCCCTAAGGCACTTGCTGAAATACTGCTTCTCTCTGGATTACCGTCAGAAGCAGCGCAAGCGCCTTGGTCGATGCCATCAAAACGGAAAGTCGGTGAATAAGCACGTACTGGAGTTGGAGAGTATTCTCCTGCAGATCGGCTTGAAGAAAGATCGTGAGCGGTGAAATGCTGAGGGCGTGCTCACAAGTGAATCTACTATGAAAGTAAACCCAAATATAAAACACGTTCACACTCCTCGTAATCAGCTTCTCAGTGTGTGAAAGATGCGAGGGCTTCGGGGTGGACAGAGCACCAGTATCACAACTCTCAATAGACGCAGATCCAATAGTCGCGGAGACGAAGTCGACGACAAGAATTTATATATAGCAAACAATGGTGTCTCAACCAATATCTTCTATACGAGCACAACCAACACTAATCCAATCCACAAACAACAATATAACAAGTCAGAGCTTAATACGAAGTATTAAGATCCCTTGTAGCGACAGCGTCCAGATGGCGACGCGAAGCTCAGATATCAAGTCGACGCACTGCCAACCGATACAACCAATATACTGAGTCGACGCACTGCCAACTAGTAAACCAAAATGTCAAGTCGACGCACTGCCAACTGACAAAACCAAAAGTACTGAGTCGACGCACTGCCAACTAGTAAACCAAAAGTACTGAGTCGACGCACTGCCAACTAGTAAACCAAAATGCCGCGTCGACGCACTGCCAACTAACAGCCAATATCCAATGTCCAAAACCCGAGCACAACTTGTCGACGCACTGCCAAGCAAGAAGTGTGGAACCAAAGTTCTCAAGTCGACGCACTGCCAACTGACCAAAACAACCCGAGCACAACTAGTCGACGCACTGCCAAGCTAGAGGTGTGGAACGATCTCAACAAAGCCCGAAGGCGACGACACTAAATGCCGCGACTAAACCAGATGCGGCGAATCCGACTTTCTGATGTCTCAACTCAAACTCAAATCACAGTAGCTACAAGTGCTCAGGGAGCAACTCGTCGCGACCGGGCAGGGGTAGCAGAACTTCTTAGGGTGGAATCACGCGGCACGCAAATTGTACAAAACAATCTGAAATGAGAGTGATTCACAGTCCGGGGGAAAGCTCCCCAATACAAAGAAACGACGTGCTACTTATACTGTCTACGACGCTGCTTAGTAAAGTCCTGTACAACTGCATAGTAGCTACGCTATCTAAGATCGGTTGCCTTTTAGGGTAATTGAAAAGTTGAACGATCGGACAGGTCCTGAGTGATCAGGACCCCGCCCCATTGTCCATATGATACTTTTGATGTGGGTCAACTCACCGCGTCATACTTTTGGAATACGACGTGTTGGATTGGCCAACGGGTATGTCTTGGCAAGTGAGACCAACGTGGGCGCCCCAAGAAGCCGTATGGCCCTAGGCACACCAGTCGTCCCCCACATGGTTCGGTTCACGGATCTAGCCGTGTCGGTTTCTAGTGTGTTTGGGTATGGACGCGACTCGCCGTGACACTTGGAAGTGTCACCGCGACGCGTCCACAATGTCCCGTGATCGAATGGATCCTGACATGTGACAAGTCGTCGTCGTGGCATGATCTGAGGAAACGTCCAACTCAAAACCGGGAGTTGCCGCGACAAGATGGTTTAAGTCTCGTAACGCCAAGTCCTGTCCAGTAGTAGTTCTATTTATTGAGAACGTCGCGCATTGCTCAGCCCTTCAGCCCAAGTTCCCATCTGCAGAGAATGACCCTTTTCGAGAAGTCGACGCAACGACAGATCCCTTTTTGGGGAATGGTCGCGGTCCAAGCGTTCGTCACTAATGGCCCTGAGCCTGGTGTAGACCCATAAGACCAGTTCCACAGTAGTGGTCTGACTGCCTTGCTATCGTCGACACTATCCACAGTCGTCGACTGGGCAGTAGACCCTTAAGTCCTACTGAGCGCAACACTGTCAACCGCGACACGATACACCGAATGGTTCAAGAGTAAACTCTGTAAAAAGCGCAAAAATACGCCCTTACAGAGCTGGTGCAGAGCGCGTCTGGTAGCCAGCCTATCAGCGGGTTGCGTTGCTATGGAACAGCTTCGATGCCGACATCCAGGAAGAGTTATTCCGGTTCGGTTTGGACCCCGAGAAGTCCAAATGGGCCCGTGTCGTGAAGAAGGCAATCCGGGCGGAGCCATTCTTGAGCCTGGACAAAAGGCGCAAGGCCAAGAGCGCAGTTGGCAGCGCGACAGGCTCTGTTTCAAAGCCAACGAGCGACGGGCCAGACAGTAGGAAGAAGAGGTTCTTCCCACGGAGACAACGGGGGGTTATCAAAGCTTCTGCCGCCGCGGTAATGCCCCCCAGCAGGCCAAAACCTGTCCCTCGCACGCAGCCCATGGCCGCCACGGCTTCGTCCTCTTCGTATCCTTCAAGCAGGAGTAACGGCAGTGTCGGGGACTGACCCTGGGAGCGTCGTCTTTCACCTCAGAAGAAGTCCGAGCTTATGGCCCGTGGAGTCTGTCTCAACTGTGAGGAGGCTGGACACATGGCGCGTAGCTGCCCAAAGCTCACGACGATGAAGTCTAAGGTCAAGGGCAAACCGCCTGGGTTTGGAGCCCACGGAGTAAGCTTGCGCCTGGCGTCTCTGGGCGAGACCACCGAGATCCTGGAGACACTGGAGGTTGCCAGCGCTTTCCCGCTCGCCTTTCGCGAGACGGGCGATGTGATGGAGCACCTATCCGGATCGGACTCCTCAGGACCGGATTCGAGCGACTGGGAGAACGTCAGCACTGTCCAAGCTGACGAGTTGGAATACATGGCCCGAGGATGGACAGAGGCCACAGAGGTGGAGCACCTGACTGAAGGGATCCGGACGCTGTCATTAGGGCCTGACTCGTTGGAGCGAGCAGCGGGCGGGGCGTCAGAGTCGGAGGCTGACCGAGCAGGCAACCTGGCCGCTCGTTTTGCCAGCCTGGTCTTGCAGAGGTGCGCCCCGTTCCCGGGCGACAATGGTACTGAGCCCACGGAGGGCCGATTCCTGGTCTACAGGGTGCACAATTCCGACTACCATTGCATCATGGATTGTGGAACCCCGCTGAGCATTCTGGAAGGCGACGAAGTAATACGCTCCTCCCTGCTGGAGGATCCTTACTACGAGCTGGGATGGCACTGGGCTCAGAAGTGCTACTTGGCACAGGGAATTCACCCAGACGCCCCCGGATTGGATCTGCCAGGCCGATACTTCCGTACGTTGGGTAACTCTGTCTTGGCTATGACGCTGATCCTACTACAACAGTGCGAGATGGCAAGTGCTGAATACGTCGGAGGTACTACGGGCTTGGCACCGCTGGAGGGGGAAGAGGAGTACCCGGACGTCTACAGGATATGTCGCGTAGTAACCAAAGAATTTGCAGTCCTCGAGCGAAAGCTGTTGACGAATGAGGACTTCAATCTAAGACAATGGTACAACAATCACCTTGGACGGGGCAGCCGACACGGCAAGGACCGGAATGGGACGCTCGACAATAGTATCGAAAGAAATGAGGTGCGGACTGATGATCTCCCCGAGCTGGAGGACGCCAGCGACTCAGGCGACGAGTCGGAGGAAGGCGACTTCGAGGACAGCGACGGAAGGGCCGCTGCATCCTGGAGGGCGTGGGCTGAAGCTGCGCACAGCGAGGGCCTTTATCAGTGCGATCTCGGAACAACGACTTTGTTGAGCGAGCCCGGTTCCAAAACGACCCCGGAACAGGAACGGGCGTCGAGCGACGGGGCTAACGCGATGACCAAGGTGTCCCAACGCACATTCCACCGAGTACGAAGGATCGGCGATCTCCTTGCTGAGGGAGTGAGAAGCCTACTGGAGTTCAATCAGCCTTATCCAGGAGATGATTCAATCGGGACAGAATCACCCCGTTGGGGTGTAGGGCGCTTTTCGGTGCGCTCATCCGGTCAAGAGGCGGTGTACGTCGTTGAAGATGGTGTCAACGGCCTGACAACTGAACTGCCACATGAGCTGCTCACGGATCCGCGCTTCGAGTTGGCGGCCTGGTACGCCCACCAAGTGAGCGGGGAGCTGGGCACGGAAGACGGCCTTGTCCCACCAATACACCGAATCGCCGTCGATGACCTGTTGGGCATTCAGCTGGGTTCTTATTTGGACGACGCGGCCGCGCAAGGCTGGTTCGCCTGCGAGGATGATATCAACATCGAGCCCCAATTCCAAGTCAACGACGGACGGGGGCTTACCGTGCCATCAGCGTACTTGCTCGAGGAGCTCGGGAGCGGCGGAGACGTCATCAGGGTTGCGATAACAAGGCAGCAGCTCCTGGAGGGCAAGACGGACGTGGTGGGCATGATTGTCAAGGCCCGCCAGAGACAGCAGCTAAGGAAGATTAGATCATGTGACCCAATGGTGCCCCCAGACGACTGGTGGTTGACCTACCAGCCAATGGAGGGCTACAGGACGAGCCCAGGCGTCATCTCATGCCACGGAGCTCAGGTGCCCTCGGATAGAGTTGGGAGCATCACGAGGTCGGCCTCCTTCCCACGATCGAAGGAGACCGTGGTCGCGAAGCCGCTGGTTGTGGTGGTCCATGTGAACGGTCACCCGCTTCGTGCGCTCGTGGACTCCGGTTCATTGGGCGACCTGATATCTACCACGGTGGCGGACCAGCTCCAGCTCCCCCTGACCGACCTGAGAGAACCATTGACGCTCCAGCTGGCGGTTCAAGGCTCTCGTTCTAAAATAAATCACACTACAAATGTAAAGTTGCGATATCAAGACATCAATACTTCACGTACGTTTTTCGTCGCCAATGTGAGCGGCTATGATCTGATCCTAGGGACCGCATGGCTGTTCCAGCACCGCGTGAGTTTGGGATTTAACCCCTCCAGGGTGTGTGTGGGATGCCCCGAGCCAATGGCACTTGAAGGGGCGGCTACCGCAAGATTGCACACTGGCGCTGTGGGCATGGAGGCAGATGAGCTAGAGAAAGCTCGAGAGGAGTTGCGTGCCTACGCAAAAGTCGTCTGCAAGACAGCGGCGGAGACGGAACTTCCGCTGCTGCGAGCTATCAACCACACAATCCCGCTGATAGACCCAGGGAAGGTCATGCCGTGGCGCATGTTGCGGTGCCCCGATGCGCTGCGCCCGCAGTGGGATGAGAAGCGGCGAATAAACCTGAAAACGGGGAGATGGAAAGTGACTAATGCGGGAAACACAGTACCTATGCTGTTGATACCAAAGGCTAAGTCAAACCCCCCGCGACTTCGTGCGGTGGTCGATCTCCGCGAGCGAAACGCAAATACCCGGAAGATGGCTTCCCCGTTACCTGACATGGACGGCATATTACGTCGTGTTGCCAGGTGTAAATTCCGGTCGCTGATAGATGGGCAAGACGCTTACGAACAGATCCGTGTGATACCAGAGCATGTCGACCGGACAACCATGACCACACCGGACGGAAACATGGTCAGCCTGGTTCTCCAACAGGGCGACTGTAACGCGCCGGCCACTTACCAGTCGCTGATGAACTTCTTGTTTTCTGATTACATTGGGCGTTTTATGGATGTCTATCTGGACGACATAATCATTTACTCCACGACGCTAGAAGACCACAAAAGGCACGTCAAGTTGGTAATAGATGTATTGAAACGCGAGAAGTTGTACCTGGGCAAAAATAAGCTTCAGTTCTTGAAACCGGAATTGAAAGTGCTAGGGCGAGTGATAACTGACTGGGGGATCCGGATGGACTCAGAAAAGGTCGACACCGTGCTGAATTGGAAGACACCGACGAATCGCGACCTGTTGCGAGGTTTTCTGGGATCGGTTGGTTACCTGGCAGATGACCTGGCCCGGGTGCGGGTACCCATGGGCGTCTTGCATGGCCTGACGGGCGATACGGTGCCATTCCGCTGGAGCTACACTCATCAGCGTGCCTTCGAAGACATAAAAAGCATAGTCGCGGACCTTAGAAATCACCACAGGGTACCGCTCGACTATGGGCCAGATGCAGAACCGATCTTCCTGGTGACAGATGGCTGCGCAACAGGCGTTTCGGGAGTGGTGTGTCAAGGCCCGGACTGGAAAAGCGGGAAGGTCGCAGCGTTCTACTCGGCCAAGCTGAATTTGGCCCAGCAAAACTATCCAGTTCATGAGATTGAGATGTTAGCGGGCGTCGAGTCGATGCTACGACACCGGGACATACTCCAGGGCTGCCGCTTTCAGTGGGTGACCGACCACAAGGGGCTGACGCACCTGCTGAGTCAACCGAATCTCTCGGGTCGCCAGGCTCGGTGGGTCGAAAAGATCTCGAGTTTCGATTTTGAAGTGATGTACGTCCCTGGGCCCGAGAACGTACTAGCAGACGCGTTGTCCCGAATGTATTCAAACGAAGCACCTGGGACTGTGCGGGCTCGTTCTGAGTATACGTACCACGACGTAATCGACAACGACGTACTGGGAGTTCACAATGTAACAATGCCGGTGCTTTCAGGCTTGGAAGCGAACGCAGTGTCTTCGGACAGGGTCCTGAGGTCGAAGACGCGGGCGGAGGCAGCGGCGGCGAAGGCACTGCTGGAGCGGCTGAAAGGGCCATCCACAGAGAGGCTGCCGGCCCCAAGACCAAGCGAAGTTTCCGCCCCAGAGGGCGGAAGGGAGGGCGGGGAACCACACAAAGACTCGGAGGCACCAAGGAGAAAACCAGAAAGAGAAAAGAGGGGAAACGAGCAGCAGGAGGGCGTGTCACAGCTGCCTGACAATACTTTTGATTCCGCTGATCGGTCCTCGGACCTTGAGGCCGTAATGAATTCGCGGATCAATCAAGTTGATCCATCACTATTACCGGTGATAAGTCAAGGGAACGACGGATTGGACCTAGTGGGGCTGATTCGTGGACGATTCGGAAAAGACAAGTTCTTTAAGACCATAGTGGATAGGCCTAAAGAATATAAGAATTTCGAAGTTAAGGACGGGTTGGTATACATGAAGGATAGGGATCATTCGGTCCTGTGTATCCCCCAATTGGAGCATAATGGCCGCTCCATCCGAGAGGTCGTTATCTCCGAGGCGCACTCCGTTTTGGCACATATGGGAGCTCGGAAAACAGTTGACTATATTCGAGAGCACGTATGGTGGAAGGAATTAGTGAATGACGTCAAGGCTTACTGCGAATCTTGTTCGACATGCAAGCGAAGTAAGCCAAGTAACCACGCACCGTATGGTTTACTTAACCCTCTCTCCACTCCTCAGAGGCCCTGGGAAGCAATCGGAGTTGATTTCGTGGGCCCTCTACCTAATTCTAAGAATAGGGACAGTGTATTCAACTCGATCGCGGTGATAATCTGTCTACTGACGGGAATGGTACACTTGATACCCTGTCGGATCAACTATACAGCCAGGCAGTTCGCAGAATTGATGTTTGAACATGTGTATAAACATCACGGCCTACCTAATGCTATAGTAAGCGACCGAGATGTTCTATTTACCAGCACGTTCTGGAAGCGACTGCACGAACTCATGGGCACGCAGCTGAAAATGTCGAGCGCGTATCATCCGGAAACGGATGGGGCAACCGAGCGTGCCAACAGGACGGTAACGCAGCTGTTACGACAGTGCGTGAGTAATAGACAGACGGACTGGGTGACTCGCTTACCCGCCGTCGAGTTTGCGATGAACACGGCCAGATCTGAAACAACCGGTTATTCGCCGTTCTTCTTGAATAACGGAATGATGCCGAGGACGTTGTTATGGGAGTCTGAGAGATCCAGGGAATTTCCTGGTGTCGCCTCGTTCCTGCTCCAGCGACGTCTGGCAATTATGGCAGCGCACGACGCAATACTAGCGTCCCGCGTAAAGCACATTCGAACCGCGAATCGAAAGCGAATCCCCGCGCCATTTCAGACCGATGACTTGGTGTATCTGAGCACTAAAAATATTCAGTTCGAGAAAGGCTTGGCCAGGAAATTGCTCCCCAAGTTTATCGGACCATACCGGATTACACGCGACTTTGGAAACTCATCGTTCCAGGTGGAACTTCCCCCTAAGCTGGTGCAAAGGGGCCTCCATGACGTGTTCCATGCGTCCCTGCTGCGGATACACGTACCGAACGACGACCGGAGATTCCCCGGCAGAATGGACAGCCAACTGGACGTAGCCGACGCGGCGAGTGACTCCGAGTGGGCGGTAGAGCGAATTGTGGGCCACGCGGGCAGCCGACGTAGGGCCCTGTTCGAAGTCAAATGGAAATCGGGCGACCTGACATGGATGCCTTACCAGCAGGTCAGTAAACTCAACGTCTTGCAGGACTATTTCGACGTCCTGGGCGTCAGTGACATCTGCCAGTTGACGAAGGGGGTGAAAGAAATTCCAGTGATCGAGCTGCAGGCCGGGAGCACGCGCATCCTGCAGTTAGGGGAACTGGGCAACGAGACAAATAGGGATGGCGTGAGCGAGAGCGGAACTCTGAGATCTTCCCGCTGCCCCCCCGAGTCGCACCCAGTCACCATGCCTGCCGCTCCCAATCCCAACACGTACCTGGGCGATGTCGTCAGAGGCAAAACGAGCGCGGACGAGCCACTCACCGCGCAGCACATCGAGTTCAATGCGAAACATAAGGGGACCCTGCAGTGGGTGACGCCCAGTTTTTTGCTCGTTCACCTGAACGACGGGGACGTGATCCTCACCGCCCACCAGTTCAAACAGTGTCTCTTGTGGAACGAGGCCGTGAACGACCCCGACTTCGATGGCACCGTGTACGGCCGGGGACCCGTCGGCATCGCCGAATTGGGGGCGTCTTGCAACTTGTATGACGCCAGTAGCTGGTCTTTCGCGGCCGTGGATGAAGAGGGAGGAATCGTCTTCGCAGAGCGCTACGTTCCCACGGTCCATGATGGGCTATGTTCCAATGAGCATCTGGCGAACCGCGTGGTCCCTGGGACGATTACCATCACCATTGCCGAGTATGAAGAAGGACGAGAAGCCATCATTGGCCGGGATCGCGCCATTCGAAAGGCACGAGAAAGACGCCTGGCTGAGAAGGACGCCCCCGTGTCTACCGAAGATTACGCCACGGGCGTGAATGGAGGCGCCATGATAGCGAAGCGTCGCCAGCGGATAGAAGAGGCGAAAGCGAACCGATTGGCCGCGGGAGGAGCGGCGGCGGCGGGTAGCGGGGCGGGGGCCGACGAGGAGATGGTCTAAGCTCGCCGGCAAGCGCCGAGCTGGAGGGCATATGTGACGGAATAACCTGCTCTATGTTATGACCCATTCCCGCTTACTCACCACATTGATTGTTATTGTTTACGTAGGTAGTTCGATCGTAGTATAAGTACGTAGAGTTGTACGATCGAGAGACCAGTCAATTTTACAGCTTATCCCTGTCACCCTTGGATTGACTACCCAAATACTCGTGTGTCGGAACTCGTTCTAGGACGCTTCCGCCACACCCCGGCACGTAGCAAGTAACGTATGGTGAGTGATTGATCATATGCGTGAATCCGTGCACCTGATCTATCCAATCTTCAAAGTCGTCGTCCTCTTCTGCTTTGTCTTCGGGCTGTCTTGGTCGTCGAGATAATCCGTCCGGTCGATGGCTTACTCCTCGCACATGTACAAGGTCGAAGTGAAAGGTGAGTATTGCTAGAATCCATCTGTTCATCGCTGCTGTTGGTGCCAGGTCGGGGTTTGATAGCATCCCCTTGATCGAACTTGCATCGACTTCAACCACGAGGTTGCGCAGTCCTATCAGATGGATCTTCCAGGCACGAAGGGTGCGAAAGAGCCCGTAAAGCTCCAGTTTCGGTTGTGAGAACCGCGCTTCCCGCTCGTTCAATGTGATTGACCCAAATCTTGCCTAGAATCGTCTCGTCAAGTTGTCCGGATCGCACTGGGCTAGAGTGGCCCCTACTGCAATGTAAGACGTATCCACAGAGAGGATGACGGGAGATGTGGACATGTAGTCGAGTGGGCGAAGCGCCGGTGAGCTCAGTAGGGCCTGTTTCAAGTCTTCTTGGGCGCTGACTTGCTCTGGTCTGAAGGTGAACGGGACACCTTTCCGTGTGAGACCGATCAGGGGGCTGGCGCGTTGGGCAAAGTTTCGGATGAACATGCGCACTACGCCGATGGTTCCTAGAAAGGCGCGTACTTCCAACAGGTTCTGACATAGACCCCAGTTAACGATCTTTTCCACGCGCTTCTTGTCAGGGATGCGTCCTTCATATGTGCACATGTGCCCAAGGACAGGGAATCTTGATGCGCAGAGTATGGCCTTGGGTCCTGAAAAGGTACCGCCGCAGTACTTCATCCTTTGTACAATGCGATTGAGCGTCTGAAAATGTTCCCAGACAAACCGGCGGATCCCATCGTTCTCCGGAATGGTCTCGTACCCTCCTCCGGCCAGCTCGTAACGCGTCTTCGGTCCTCGGACTGGCGCATCGTCAATGTACGGTATCGTAAACTGGGGGATCTCGGGCTGCAAGATGAAGGTGACGTCGTCGTGAAAGATTGGTACCGAGTTTGACCAGCCCATTGGCAGGGTAACCAGTTGAAGGGCACCAAATGGGGACTGGAAGGTGGTGTAATCCCAGGAGGCCTCGGCGAGAACTCTCTCATCATACCCCACGTAGAGGTCTAACATTCCTCCACAGGATCGTCTGGCGAAATGCTCTGCTACTTGCTCGGTGAAAGGTGGCACTCCCGAGTGCTGGATCGTGACCGCGTTTAGTGGTTCCAGGCTGTGCACCAAACGTAGGCTCGTTCCGTCTTTCTTCACCACGCAAAACCATCGAGAACGGTATGCTGAATTTGACGGTTCGTAGACACCTGCTTCAAGCTTACGACGTATAAGTTCGCAAACTTCGTCGCGAATTCCTGGTGGAATAGGGATGTTTCGTTGCACCCATGGTACGTGTGGGATTACGGGGATGGTGACCGGTTTGAAGAAGTCGGTTCTAAACTTCCCTCTTTCTAGGTCAGTCCATGCGAAGCCGTCCTCGTGAAGCATCATGAAGTGGTGCATGAGCTGCCGTTCCTCTGGCCATAGGAAGTCTTCCTCGTGAAGCTTGTCGATTATGTCGCGACTTTCGGTGGTGTATCGTCCAGATGGGGTAAAAGGTGGGGGATTCGGATCGAGACGTGGTAGTGTAGCCAATGGGTCTCCGTGGATCTCGCGTATAAGCCGGAATTCCTCGGGTAGGGTACCGAGAACTGGTCGTATTTTTCGTGAAACCGGTTTGTATTGTTTCTTGGCGAAGACGTCAACACGCAGAGAATAAGGGTTTGAGAGAGATGTCGATTGGACATAGACTGGTACTGTAGAATTGTATCGAGAGGGAAAAGGGTAGTTTTCAAAACCAAAGGGGCGAGTTGAATCGCCCCTATCTTGCGCGACAAACGCCGGTTGAACGACGGCATGTGCAAACTGAACCGTATCAGAATACGAGCCCAGGTTTGTGCAACCTGTTAAATAGAAATATTGGAGTTCAGCGCTTGAATAGGACGAGGGGAGCGAGGCATAGGAATGAATAGAGAGTTTGTTACAGTCATTTGGCTCTGACTCGATGAGCAGTGCAACCTCTCCTTGATCAGAAATCAATTCCTCGAGGGTTGAAAACCCTGCGCTCTTGGACGTGATCCCCGAGCTACAGTGGGGACTGTGGCAATTTTGCCCGAATTGGGATCACGGATCGTGATCGTCTGATTCTCGTTTGCGAAGTTATGGATTATGCTCTCTGTGAGAACGTCGAAGGGTCTTCCCAGAAGCACGTCGTATGGTGGGTTCCGGACGACATGGACCTGTAGGTACAAGGTTATGTCGTCGAAAGCAAAAGGAACGTTTCGAGCTAGACCCAAAGACGGTGTCACTGATCCATTTGCTGATCGCATCTGCAGAACGATGGTGGGATCATAGGAGAGACCAATTTTGTGACAAATCACTTCCGACATAGCGATAATTTGAGAGCCTCCATCAACGATGCACTCCACCCGGAGACGGCTGTCTATCACGGGGAGGACGGAACGGATGGCTGATGATTCCATGGAGACCAATAAATCATTTCCGTGAGCGCCGCTGTTGATCAGGGTTTCGAAATGATCGGGGATAACAGTGGCGTTGGCCGGTAACGTCGCCTGACCAAAGGATGTGGGCATCGAATCGAAAAACGCTTCCCGCCGTCTATCTCCATCTCGCTGCTCTTCTATCGTCTCGATATACGCCTCCTGGGGCGCCAGGTCAAACGAAAACTGCTCTGTGGGCTTGCTGGCGGCTACTGGCGACTTTTCGGTCCCTGGGACGACTCGGCGGCTACTGGTGACGTCCCTGGTCATGGTGCGGAGCTCTGGGGATAGCGAAAGGAGTTCCCGCTCGCTGACTTCGATTTTCGACTCCAAGAGACGTCCAAACACGGTGTTGGCGATTTTATCGTCGAAAATAGGTGCTGTGGTTCGATAGGCGCCCTCGGCCTTCTTTGGTGGAGCAGGGATGCGTGCCCCCACGTTCCGGTCGCGTGGTGGGGCGTACCCCGCGTCTCTGGCTTTCGAAAATGGGTGTTCCGCTGCGGGATGCACTGGTGGGTCCTTCTGGCGCGTTGCTGCAGGTCCCGGTGCATTTTTATCGATTCCGGGGGTGTTCGTTGCTGACGGATTCGGGCGGACGGTCTGTTCTGGCTCCTCGACTGGTTCGGACGAACGCCCCGCACCTAGGGCTGCGCGCGCTTGTGCCCTGGTACGTATGGCCATCATTCCGCGTTCGAGGTACTGAAGGCGTTCTGTGTCTGATAGCGTGAAGCTCGACGCGATTTTCGGTCCGGAATTGGAGCTGAGGAAATGCGTGGAGATTTCAGCTGCATTCTGCGACGCCGGCATTTGTCCTGGGTTCTGGCGATGCCATTCTTCGATCCGTGCACGCAGACTGGTGCCCATGACACGTCGGGGAACGTACGAGCCGCTGGGCAGGACCACCTGGCCCTCGACGTTCCGTTTGCACTTTCCAGCCTGTGTATCTTCGTCAACACGCGGGCAACGGATGATGAAATGCCCTGATTCGCCGCAATAGCTGCAGTTCAGGTCTCGTGGCGTATTCTGGATTGAGGATGGCGCTCCCGTGCTCACTGGCCGGTTCTGCTGGGCGGCGACTGCTTGCGCCGTGACTGCTGCTTGTGCGGCAAGTACCTTCATTAGCCCGTTCATTGACTCGATTAACTGGGCTATATTTGAGTCAGGTTCTTGTTTGACTGGCACGGTTTTTGGCGACGCCGTGTTCGAGATGGCTGATCCGTGCGAGGAGTCTGCGAGGACGAACTCCATGGCTTCGTTCATGTCCGTAAGGTCGTAGGGGTCGTCTGGGTGCACGTCGGGCTTCTTGATTTGTAGTCGCTGGTGGACTCGGCTCCAAAGGCTCGGCGGCGAGATTGCTCGACGAAAGGCTCGAGATTGTTCTGCGGTGGATAGTCGGGCCTTGTCCACAAGGAATTTGGTAATGACCAAAAACTTCCGATAGAATTCGCTGTAGTCGGAACAAGACAAGATCCCGACACTTGCGTATTCTCCAATAAGGGTGTGTAGATCTGAAAGCGTATATCGGCGATCGGCATCCGTGCCTGGGTAAAGTTTCAAGACGTCAGCTTTGAACGATGCGTAGGAGTGGGGCGCAAGGAAAGAGTCCAGCGACTCCCAAACCTCCTGGTCGTCCACTGAAAGGTAGCGCGTCGCGTGAGTCTTCTTTTCTTGTTCTGCCGTGACGCCTGCTAGAGAGAAATGAAACTCTAGGTCGGTGAAGAAACGCAGCAGCTGTCGTGGCTGCTTAGCGTCGAACTCGGGGGCGCCTCGGGCACCCCGTGCTGGCATATTGGTGTTGGTAGCCATTGGTGCGTTTATCAGAGGCGGTGTGACGGGTCGGAGACGAAACGGATCAGGGCTCGATGAGGTCGACGGTGTAGACTGAGGCGAATGGGATGATCTCGAAGAAAACGATGGCGTGATGCGAAATCGGGCAAGCGTCGGTGAATCTGGATCAACTAGATCCAGGTGGTGATGATGCGAAAGGTGATGAGGTACAGGGACCAGTAGATCGTCTGAAGACGAATCGCTGTGTCTCGAGGTGTCGGTGAGATCGAGAGGATTCTGTGCAAGGGCACGGAACTCGAGTCGAAGATTCCGGCGAGCGTTGGGTCGAAGTCTGCGAGGTGAGTCTGACGCAATGATGGACAGAAAAACCCCCTCGCGGTGGGCTCCAAAATGACGCGCCTACGGCGCTCCTGGGCTCAGAACAAGGTGGGAGGGACGGCGTAGATACCGTCGATGAGCTTCTGATCACCCGGGACTGTGGCCGTAGAGATAGCGGTGAATTCGAGGGGTTTTGGTCGGGCTGAGTCAGACTCGATGTGTAAAATCGCAGAGGAATAGCGGTGGCTTGGGATGAAAATAAACGACGACGTAGGGGTGAATAAAAGACAAATCTTTGAGGTGAAGGCTCCTGAAGACTCTGTGAGAAGTGGGGTAAAATCAACCTGGATTTTATGGACTGTTACATGTGTATTTATACTGTAGGTAGATGAATAGAGTCCGATTTTGGTTAGATAGAAGAAATAAAAGGAACATAGAACCTATAATACAACGGAATGTGAAACTGAAGAAACTGTATTCTGAGAGAAATCCTGGACCAATCTCGTCCCTCTGGAGCTGCCTGGGCCCTTCCAGGAATTCAGTCCTAGTCTGGGGACCATTTCTGTGGCGGTTTTGCATCGTAGCGCCGCGTTTGACGAGTGCTTGAAACCGGGATTGTGGATCGTTATGAGAGACCGAATATTGAGTGTTGATGGGTGATGGGAACATCGCCACTGATGCTGAACGGCATGTGGAATGACGTGGTAAGCTGCATGAAGCACAGCTTGTGATGTGACCGCTGTTATATCAATCAGTGCTGGTCTGGTTACACAGTCAAAGCGACCCCGAGCTTGTCATCGCATACAATGACAAAATGAACACGTCTACCAAGATGTCGCCGTTCTATGCAAATCACGGATATCACCCATGGAAGGGAGTGGAGCAAAGGATGGAATCAAGGAACGAGTCAGCGGAGGAATTTGTAAAAAGAATCAAAGAAATACAAGACGAAGCAAAAGCAGCATTGGAAAAAGCAAATGAAAAAATGAAAAAATACTACGATAAACAAAGAAAAGAAGTTCCGGAGTTGAAGGTTGGGATGAAGGTGTACATAGAAGGGGAAAATATCAAGACGGATAGACCATCAAAGAAGATGAGTGACAAGAGATTGGGACCATACAAGATACTGGAGAAGGTTGGAGCGGCCGCATGGAAGCTGGATTTGCCGGACACGGACCGAAGACACCCGGTGTTCAACGAGTCACTATTGACACCTTATCATGAACCACCCCCCCATCGCCGAGAGAAGAGACCCGTAGCCAAGATGATTGGAGGAGCAGAGGAGTGGGAAGTTGAAGAAATCGTGAAAGAGCGAAAAGTCGGCCGAGGAAAACAGTACTTGGTCAAATGGAAGGGATGGCCGCACAGCGAGAACACCTGGGAACCATCACGTCACCTTACCCACGCGAAGGACGTCCTGAGAGACTGGCAGAGGAAACAATCAAATCCAGACACACGCATTCGCCTCCTGCCAACGCTCGAAGCCGGACATTGGGACTATCTCATTCATCGCTACAAGCCCAGGGACGAACGCCTTCCATACCCCCAACGACAGCTCTTCGATCCTTATGAGAACATCTTCACGCCCATCAGCCTAGTCGATGAGGACATCGACCCTAGAGAGGGGGTAATGTCATAGTTCAACCCTTTTTTCATCTTATCATCGACCATCTTATCTTATCTCGTTATCTCAGCACGAATTATCTTATCACGGATCAAGGCATCCGACGGTCCGAACTAGGTGTTCCAGGGATTATCTTCATCGACTCGAGGCTGCGCGACATATGCTCCAGAAGGTTCTATTACAACCCATGACCAGTGCTCCATGCGGTACATAGCCTTATGACTCATTAGTTGTAGATATGACTCAGACTGGATTTGGGTATAAATACTGTAGCTACTTGGTTGTATTCTCCAGTCTTCGAATTCACTTCTCTTTTCGACTTGTTTTTGGGTTGATTGTCACAGAAGCAATGGTAACAGGTGGGAAATCAAAGTGCCCTTTGTAATGCAGGTATTCTTGCTCCCATAACTCGAAGCAATGTTTCACTTTATTGTACCAACCATTTCGGAAATTTGTGTTTCGGAGAGCGGCAAGCGCAATGCCCACCGCATTGTGTGTTATAATTGCTACTTGTACTACCATGATCGCCAACGAGGTACGTCAGAACTTTATTTAATTCACGTTTTGGAACTCGTGGTGTTAACATTGGCACAGACTCTCAAAGTTCGCATGCTGCTGGACCTCCGCGATCCTTGGCCCCAGCTCCAGATGCCAAACAGATTCAACGCATGAATAATCAGGGCCGTTTGGGAGGTACGTGTCACAATATCCAATATCCTCACAAGTCCGGCCTCATGTTGCACCCATGTAGATGTCTCGCGTGCTCAGCAGCACGTTTCGATTTTTCCTCGCTCGGGTGGCACAATGGGCCCACCGTCATCTGTTCCCGGTATGTCTCCCATCGATTCTGGTGTCCATTCAGGACTCAATGCCAAATTAATTTTTAGCACGCCCGATTGTTGCAGCTCCGAGTGCCTGGGATCGTTCTCGCAACTCTGATATTGTGTCTCAAAAAGGCTCGAGGAGTCAGAATCAGTGGTCTGACAAGGGATACTCGAAGAATCACGCACAGTACCAAGCGTCTCGTGGCTCATGGGCACGCTCAAGTTATGTGGGGCGTTCTCCAAAGATGTTGCCCATCCTGGTTGGTATTCGATACGAGATTCTCAAGAAACCAAGAGGCGAAAGCTATGGAGTGAGTTCCGACGGGTCTACAGTCCGATATTACAATCTCACTTTACCGCAGACCATCAGCGAAGGCAGCGAAGTTCCCGGCGACGCAAGCGCCGAGTTCATCTTCAACCACGTGTTTGAAATCCTGTATGACCGTCTCGTCGCAGATGCCAATTTCCAGTTCCGTGAGAACGAGCTCACTGTCCGGGACGTGACAACTTGGCAAGATTTCAAGGCTCTCCAGTCTGACCACGTGTTCTACTGGGACAAGTACTACAAGATCTCGGGCAAGGCGACAAAACCAGAATGGAAGGCTCCCAGGGCATCTGTTCAGATTGCTCTAGTGATTTCGGGCAGGGAGTGGCAACGACGCACGGAAATGTTAGCAGCGTCTGAACCTGATGTGCGTATTTCCACTCTTGTTCTATCTACATTAATAATGCTAACAACGTGAAGGCCGACTCAAATGAAAATTCTGTCAGTGCCACAGCAAGCGCCGTCCAGACTCGGGTCACTCGGTTTGTACGTGATCCATATGAGTCGTGTTGTGTCCGTAGTGGATAACTTTCACAGACAGCATCCGTCTCGAATGCATCTGATCAAACAGAGGCCAGCACCATCAGGAGTCTGGCTCGATCTACTGATCGTGAGGCAACTAGGGCGCTTTCGCAACGCTCTGGTTCCTCATCATCGAGTGCCGGAGTTCTCGGAGCGGCAACATGGTCCCCCGATAAACGCCATGAACGTACACTGAGCCTTGGTGCTCCTTCGACACCTCCCTCGTCGCCACAGCTTCGATCAAAGCGTTCACATCCTGGTTGGTGCTCACCGGATGAGGCGGACTTTGCCCGGCTTCGAAAGGTGGCTAGTGTTGGAGGTCAGGTATCTCGATCAGGCACTCGCGGTACGGAATCTCATGTTCCAATCAACTCACCTTGGCTGAATTTGTCTGCCTAGATGTCCCAACTTGCGAGCAGATTCTATTTTTCCGCATTTATCCCAAAGCCATGGACGCACTGTTCACTCAGGACGAGGCGGCGATGCAGTTTGTGTGCGATCCAGCTGTGGCTGAGCCAGGCACACTCAGTGTTGTCCTGTCTGCTGCTTTAGGGTCTGGTAGTTTCAAGGACGCATACGAAGGTTTCCTCACCCTTGTTCGACCATCAACGTCTCCCACTGGGCTCGGATCAACTGTGAATCAACGCATTGCGGCCAAACGGATGATCGATACAAAGGCCAGTCGACGTGATACAGTCGGAATCAGACGGTTCAGTCCGGCAGTCAAACTTGAGCAGAGCATTTGCGAAGGGAATCTGCTGCTTTGGGCAACCTCACTGTTCGACCTCACAAATACTTTCGTCCGTCATCAGCTCAGTAAGCTCGGGGAGCCGCCCTCCAATCTTGTCATCCCGGACATTCGATTTGTCGAGGGCGGCGTTGCACAAGTCCACGACACTGTCACTGGTACCAATGTTGTCCGGGCATCATCCCTGCGCCGTTCTTTCATCATTGAAGAACTGATTCCCTCTCGCTTTGTCAAATTTGTCCATAATCGTGCTGCTGTTCCTCATTTAGATCCTGATCACCCGTCGTATCACATTGCGCTCTATCTCTGTTTCACGCAGCACGTTCAGTACGTGTACACTGGACGGAGCATGTTCTTGTCGGACTATCAAGGTGAGCATTCACTCGTTGTGCGACTCCCACTGATTAATTTGATCAACCAGGCTCTGAATCCCTTCTCACGGACCCTCAGATCATGACCACTCCGTGCGGCATTCATTTTGTACCACATCACACTTTCACTCATCACTTACAGCGAGATTGCCAAACAGCGTGGAACTCCAATGTTTGGCGGTGGCAATGTCAGTGAGCTCTTCAACGTGTTTTGTAACCAACACGTGTGCTCCGATTATTGCCGGTTCTTCAGTCTCAAACCCCTTGCTCAAGTCCCTGTTTAATTTATGTTTGCGGGCCGTGATATTTCCACCGATTCAGCGTTCAGTATTAGTACTCAATACATTGAATCTATCGGTTTTGTGTGCTCGTAATGTTGCTTAGTGTAATGGTTCCGGGGTCTTGACATTGCTTATCAAAGATCATCGTCGCATAACCATTTGACATGAGCAGACCGCTCCGGGTTTCCATAGTTATGGTAGAACCTTCTGGAGCATATATTGTGCAGCCTTGAATCAATAGAGATAACCTTCTGGACCCCTAACCCAGACCATGTCATGCTGTGATCCATGATAAGATAACCTGTGTCAAGATAAGATAAGATAATTGATGGAATGATAAAAAAGTGATTGAATTATGACATCATAAGGAATACAATTTTGCCAGAGTGTTTTGCCCTTCACCACTATATTCCACCCCTCATATGGATTATCCATGGTAAGGAATACAAATCTGGGATAGTCTAGACCTTTCCAAAATTATTCCCTATTAACAACTTGACTGTAGTACTGTGCTGACTAGAATACAACATCACAAGTTCTGTACCATGATATTCCTTGAACATTTGCCAACATTATTCTACTGGATGAAGTCAGACTCTGCCACTTCCTAGCAAGATAGTGATTTCCATACCAGATGCAACAGCCTTTTGTGTTGAACTTTTCATCATTGAGTCCAGTCACTGAGATCTTGAACCATTTGGGATTTATAAGATCAGTTCACAGTAAGTAGTGCCCTGAACACTGTTCAATTACACTGGCACTGTCTTTGGCTGCTAAGTATTGGAACCATTATGGCTACTGAACACAGCAAATGATGGACTCATCCCGAGGCACTGAGTGCAAAGGATGTTTCATTTCATAAGAGGTGAAAAATTAGCGTCCTCTAGAGGTGGTGCAGAGCAGGTATAGTAACCAGCCTATGAATGCTCTGTACAGTGCTCAACAAGCAGGTTGCACAAACAGGCATGTGCCCAAGGAGCATAGGATCTCCTCACAGGAATTTTGGACAATAATAATGAGTCAATCATGCTTATTTCGCTCTTGAGTGCTGTTGCAAACACTTCCCCTCTGGCCCCCTCATCCAGAGGCTTCAAACCAGAATATAGCCTAAAGGACCATTTACCTACAGTATTCCCTCTGAAAACAGTGTTGAGGCATGAGGATGTTTTCTGAAGTCCCGTAGAAAAACAATTTACATTGGTTCAAATGGGTTGTACAAATGTATCTTGACCCTTTCAAATGATTCCAGCCCGGCTGAGAATGACTGCCTTTGAGAATCGAGACATATGGGACCTCTTGCGCACATTCTTCACACAAATCCGAGCTGATTCCGTTCTCTACTTGGCAAGAGATCGACCAAAGTGGTGGGCCGGTCATGTTCAGACAGCCATTTTGACACCGGAGCTGAGAGCACGGAGAGACAGAGGCGACCAAGTAAATGGCGGTTCCATTGGGCGACAAGAATTCTCAGTGCGCTGATTCGGTATCTAATGGCCACAGATCATCAATGGGGATGGACGAATGATAACGGCCGGATTCAATCAGGCCGACCATCGTCTTCTTACCAGCCATCAATTTGGAGGCGGTGAATCACCTCATCATATGGATCTACCACGGAAGCTGATCCGAAACATGTGCACCTCGTAAATCTTCGACGGTTTCCGTCGTCACTTTCCGTTCCGAAGGGCTGACGCTACAAGGCAACAAGAATCGGAGGGATTAATGCGCAATGTTTGTCAGTTTGTTGAATCTTCTTTGGCTGATCGCAGTAAAGCACACTTGTTCAGAATGGCTCGTTCCGAGGAACAGGCACAGTGTGATGGGGGGAGGGGCCACCAGAGGACACGGTTGAGTTTCTGCGACGAAATTTTCAGCCCCCTGACCTGCAGAAGGAAGCAAGTGCAGAGACTGAGGCAATTTGTTCAGGTATTTGGCTATCAGGTTGTGCACTTCTTCCGCAGTCTCATTGCGTTAAATCCTTTCCGCAGTCTCATTGCGTTAAATCCTTTCCGCAGTCTGATTGAGTCAATTTGGGAATGCCAGGGACACCGGTCAAGCTTCCGCGTCGCCCGATCGGGGTCTGGTCATTCAGTCTGTCTCGAATTCCAATTTCTCACTTGCAAAGGAAGAAAGAAGCAAGAAATGGCTGCCAAGTCGGCCTAGAATTCTAATATTTTGTGCGGTGCTCTTTTTTGAAGATGTCTCAGAGCGTTGAAATTGCCTCACAAAACGGCTTTGCAGTGGAGAAATCGGTCTTTGGTGCCTCTGAAGTTCTTTCTCCTGCACAGCAGTGCTCGCCGTCATCAAAATCACAAGCAGCCAGCTAGTTCCGGGGTTCAAATCCAGCCGAATTCTAACTGACAAGATATGCGTCTTGCGCCCGATTGAGGGATCGTCTAGATGGTTGTCTCTCTGGACGAAAGCTCTATAAATGCTGCCTTTGAACTCACTTGAAAGACACAACTTGGAGATCTCTTTTGTTCTCAGATGCTTCTTTCCTTCCGGACGCTCATTTTTCTCGCTTCAGCGGCGCGGATCGTCTCCGCCGCGACGGTTGGGCCCGTCGGCTCCCTCGTAGTGGCTAACAAGACAATCTCTCCCGATGGTATTCCCCGAGCCGCTGTGCTGGCCGGGGGCACCTTTCCTGGCACTCTCGTCACCGGCAACATGAGCGACAACTTCCAGCTCACGGTCGTCGACCAGCAAGAGGACAACCGCATGCTCGAGCCAACATCCATCGTGAGACAGGGCCAGATTCCAAATTTCGCATATAGCTAACTGTCCTCTCCCCCTTCGCAGCACTGGCATGGACTGTTCCAGAACGGGACAAACTACATGGACGGTCCTGCGTTCATCAACCAGTGTCCGATCTCGCCTGGGAATTCGTTCACATACCCACTTCACAGCCATACAATCTGGGTATTTGGCTTTTCTCATTGCTGGCTCAGGCCGCTCTGAACAGGAATTGCACAGAACGTACTGGTATCACTCTCACCTTGCCACCCAGTACTGCGACGGTCTGCGTGGCGCAATGGTCATCTACGATCCCGCAGACGCGTATCTCTCCCAGTACGACGTCGACGACGAGTCGACAGTGATCACTCTGTCCGACTGGTACAACGTTTTCGCAGAGACCGTGACCGGCGTTGGGTGAGCCATGTCTGTTGCATAGGACCGAATCAGATTCTGATAGTTCAACTGCGCAGCACGCCCTCTTCGATGCTCATCAACGGTCTCGGACGCACCGCTGCGACGCTCGACAACACAACCCTCGCTGTGATCAACGTTACGCAAGGCCTGCGCTACCGCTTCCGCTTGGTCAACACCGCTTGCGACTCGAACTACGTGTTCCAGATCGACGGCCACACCAATCTCACCATCATTGAGGCTGACGGCGTTCTGCACGAGCCGTTGAGCGTCGACTCGATCCAGATCTATGCGGGTGAGCTTTCCTCCGATTTTGTGCGCCGTCGAACCGTCACTGAACATGTCTCAAGCCCAACGCTATTCGTTCATCTTGACCGCTGACCAGGCTATCGACAACTACTGGATCCGCGCCAACCCGAACACCGGTCCCACCGGCTTCACCGGCGGCATCAACTCTGCGATCCTCCGCTGTGCGTCGAAATCATACGAAAGATATCTATCTGTCATTCTGATCTTCATCTTGCCTTTCCAGACGTAGGAGCCAACGCATCGGAGCCTACTACTTCGCAAGACACGTCGACCAACGGCCTGATCAACGAGGTCGACCTGCACCCGCTGGTGAACCCTGGTGCCCCCGGTGGCGCGTTCAGCGGTGGTGCTGATGTGCAGTTGAACATGGCGTTGGCGTTTGACCTGGTGCGGCTCATCAACAGGAACTCGCTCTATCTCCGACTGGGGCTACATGAAAGTGCCGCGGAGTGCCGTTGGAGCGCCGCAAAACATTTGGAGTGCCACAGGCTCGAGCCTGGAGTGCCGCAGGATTTCTGTCACGCACCGCAGATGTCACGCTGGAGTGCCGCAGCGACCCACGAGGCAGAATACTTACATATTCATATTTTTACAACTTTATTGAAAACACTCAAGAAGGATGATCGCCAGGCCAAGGCATTGTCACCCGTGTTTCTGAGCAATGGTCCTCGCGGCGCTGATGTCCCATCAATGTGGTTTGATGGCTTTCTGAGCGGCCGTTTTTGCTCACTCTTGTGAGTCCACTTCGTTGCAGAGCCCAGAACAAGGTCGAGGACAGTCTATACATCTGATTTATTGGTTTCTACAATAGTTAGAGGCATTCACCATTGCCCAAATGTCGAAACAATACAATACCTCATGGACTCTTCAGCTTCACTAGAATGTGTATAACTCATTTTACATTCATTTTGAACTTGAATCGTGCACAATAGGTGGTATTCAGAACACTTGAGAGTGTCTTTGTGATGAAAAATGTTCTCTGTAATTTTAAGTCAAGTCCACCCTTCCGGTGGTCAATGAGCTCGAGACAATCACCTCCCAGGCATCATAGAGGCCTACAATCCAAAAACAGGCTTTCAGGACAACTACATATACAATTCTATTGAAATTCGACTAATTCAAGTCAAAATATTAGCAATTGACTAGCGCAGACAGCGTTGGATGTGCCTGCGGCGCTCTCCAGAGAGTAGCTGTGCTTTGGAGCGCCGCAGAGATGTCACATGCGTCACACTGGAGTGCCGCAGACTCATTTGGAGTGCCGCAGACTTGTTTGGAGTGTCGCCAGAGGTTCCGCAGGAGTGCCGCGGTGTGCTGTGGAGTCTGCGGCACACTGTTCTGGAGTGCCGCAGGAGTGGGATCTCTATCGCTGCCGCCGACGACAACGGCGTCTGGAGTAGTCCCGCTGCCTGCGCGAATCATTCCCACGTCCATCAACATCTCAGCCGACGTGGACAGCATGTTGATCGTTGTCGTTGTCGTCGAGATCAATGATGTGGAGTATTTGGAGTACCGCAGGAGTACCGCAGGAGTGCTCCTGCGGCACTCCGCGGCACTTTCAGTGAGCCCCTCCGACTGGATCACTGATAATCTCCCAGACGACGTTCAAGTTCACGATCAACGGCGACTCCTTCGTTCCACCCACTGTTCCTGTCCTGCTCCAGATTCTGTCCGGCGCCGAGTCCGCGCAGTCGCTGCTGCCCAACGGCTCGGTGTACTCGCTCCCGCACTTTGCGTCGGTCGAAATCACGCTCGCGGGCGGTGTGGTTGGTGGCGGCGTCAGTTCTTCCTAGTTCTTCGCGCGCTTTGCCTATAAGCTCATGGTTTTTCCACAGCACCCATTCCATTTGCACGGACACACCTTTGATGTCATCCGGGCTGCCGGAAGCACGACCTACAACTACGTGAACCCGGCCCGCCGCGATGTCGTCAACATCGGAGTCGCTGGCGACAATGTTACGATCCGTTTCTTCACGGACAACCGCGGACGTGAGTCTCAACTTGGCGCTTCTTCGAACGCTTGATGGCTGATCGTTGTTTTTTTCTCACCAGCGTGGTTCCTGCATTGCCACATCGACTGGCATTTGGAGGCTGGCTTCGCGGTCGTGATGGCCGAGGATGTGGCTGACTGGGAGTCTGAGCTGATTCCTACTTCCGAGTGGAACCAGCTGTGTCCCACCTACAACGGCACTGCCGGCCTCGATCACGTCCCTTGCTGCCTAAGCGTCTGCAGTCTCATGCATTGGCTGTTGTACTGTCTTTACTCTGCTAACTTATTCGAATAGACTATATCCTAGGATTTAAAAATGATCAACTGTTTGCAGCGCTGAAACTCCTCGATGGATGATCAAGACCTTCGACATGACTCATTTGATGGCATCACCTCTGTTGCCTCGTCTCTTGCTCTGCTCCATCATGGTTTTGTGAATGCATGAATGCATAGTTGTTATCCGCTGGCCTCTATCCTCAACGGCAAGCCAGCTGAGATCCCCATTCCCATACATCCCCCCACTTCACTCCTGGGTCGGGGCCATACACCTTGCGCGCAACGGTTGATCCATAACCTCACCAGATCTTCGCGCGAGAGACCCCGCCCACAGCTCGTTCTCGTCGCTCCGAACGTCCGTCCCTCTAAGGTGTGGGCGGCGATGCATCTCATTCTATGGTATGCCCTCTCGTCGCTCTCTTCCTGCCGCAGGCTGACGAAGACAGAGGCTCAAAGAGACCATCTCTGTCGCGTGAGATTGCGTTTGTCGCCACGGAACAACGCTCGCCTACCCCGCGATGCCGCCCACCTCGTCCCGTACTCTTCGACACGTGTCAGACCGCCCGACCATCTGCGCGTGTGTCCTTTGAAAACGAGTTACGCGTGATGTGTCGACGCGTGGACTTCTGCGGTTCCCGGGGAGAGTGGGGCCGTCTGCGAGCTGCTGGTCCGCGTACTTGAGCGCTGAGGTTTGAGGACATGCCCTGCAGGCTATGAACCTTGCGGCCTCACCGTAGGACTGCAGTCTTGGTGAGCATCAATACTCTTGCTCCGTGTTCCAGCGCTGATGGCGACACCAGTGAGGACCGTGGTTCTGTCCATTATGACTTTGACTCTTGACCTTCTGCAGCTCGCTGCAAAGCACTCACTGGGTGCCATCCGTTGGCTTCCGGACGGACGTCATGGGCCCGACACACGACTGCCCTATGAGGATTGCGCCGGTCGGATACATCTGCGTGAAACGCCAGATCAAGTCCGGAACCCACCTCGTGGCCATCTGGATGTACAGGAGAGTTGTGAACGCTCCCTGTGCTGTCGTCGCCGGCACTGGTGCTTCCCCCTATTGGCCTCTGCAGCGGGACCATCCTCGTCTACCCAGCCGGCCCAACGCCAACGTCGACATTCGCGCCTGATTTCATGTGCTCTGCATCCAGTTCTTCACACGAGATATCATGTTTCCCAGCACCCGGAACTGAGTCGAGTCTCCTCCGCTGCCGCCGTGTGCTATCAAGACGTCGATCCACGTGGAGTCGTGCCATCCCATGTTTCTGACGCACACGTCTCAGCGAGCGAACGACCGGTCGCTCGAGTTTGTGATGGATGCCGGCGAGCTGTCATTTGCAACGGCCCTCGATTGGGATCGGCACACTCACTGGAAGGACAGGACGAGAGGACAAAAGGCTGGAGACGGCGTCTCTCGGAAATCGGGTGCGAGATTTGTGGATGTGATCGTGGTAGCGCGCGCATGAAGATACGGCCCAGCCATTAGAATGCATTCGTCTCGACACCTCCAGCCTCGTTCTCTTCCTCGGTCGACTGAATGGGACATTTCTGTCTCGACTGCTGTGTCACCTGCTACAGAGGACACGCCCCTGCACCAGTCCTTTGAGTGGCTCGGGTGCGCCAGTCCCCTTAATCCTCCAGACACCCCCAGAGGTTACTTTTCTGGCAGCAGCAGGGAGCCACCCCGGCTTCCTGAGCACATCCATGCGAGGGCCCGCTCCAGTGCGGCGCGCTCTGGTTACCTCGTATGCACAAGACGTGCACTGTCCGCGTCTTGTCGCGGCGGACTCAACATCTCATTCTGTGAACAGGAGTCGACTCCACCAGCATGGATCCATCCGCATGCACTGGATTTGAGATAAGCCTGCATGGGGGGGCCCATTTCACCTGCGATTTCACGGTCTGATTCGGTCTCATGTGGGACTACGGGTCCACTGCCCCGACTCGGACGCTGGCCCAGGGACAGCACGCGCTCGTAGAAACCAAACGTCCCGGCGCACGTCGGCGTTCCCGTCCTTTCCGTCCCGGGCACGACCTCGGTCTGACGAACGCCGTCAGTTTTAACGTCTCTTCGACGTCGATCTATGTGGCTGAGGATCGCGTGCTTGCATCCCGCATGAATTCCTGCCCTTTCTCGAGGTGCCGGCCGGTGTAGAAATACTTGCTCGAGGACGTTTGATGCTGGCTTCCCCGCGGCCGGTGCCGGTGTGCCGCCGGATGAGGCTGCAAGCTGCAGGGCCGTGGATTTGGCCTGATGTGTATGGGTATCAGCATGTCGGCACCGAGCGCACAGCTCTCTATCCTCGTTCTCCTCGATTGTTGCGGAGACCGCGACGGCTTAATGTTTGCATCTTTTCATCTGCCGCCGTATGCTATCTTGGCATCGATTACCGTGGGCCCGTGACATCTCATGTTTCCAACGCCCACGTCTCAGACATTGGATGACCGGTCGTTTCAATTCGTTCCGCCTAGCAGCCACCTGTCATCGGTATCCGCTCTAGGTTCCGGTTAGCATATTCACCCGATGGACCACCTAGCAGAGGAAAACGAAAAACAATCAGACTTTTTCTGAGATGGCAAGTTGAGATGAGATTGTAATTTCTATCACTCACATCATGCAAAAAGGATGTGCGATGAAAAGCTGCAGCTTCGCACACTGCGGTGGATCATGTGATTGATAATGACAAAGAAAGTGGCGGGGAACTTCCTGCGCCTGCGCCTGGCAGCCGAACAGACCCTAAAGTTTTAGCTTTTTTAAAGTTAGACACTCTTGACCTATCATAGACGTGGCCTGAACACAAACGAACTGGAATGAAATTCGTTGCACTTGATGAAAAGCTTCCTATCTCTGATCCTCTTGCAAACAACACTCCGATTATATAGCAGTTCAATCTCTCAAGAGGGATTTTCCTTGATCTCAAAATTCAAAATATCTTTAATCAAGGCAATTGAGAGATCAGTAATGCAATCCATGAACCAGTCACGTACAGTACAAAATCTCCCTATTCAGGCTTGTATTCAACGGTGTTGTAGGTTGAATATCTTCATGGGTGGTCACACACAGCTTCTTCAGCGCACAACCATCGCTTTTGGCCCACAGCTGGGCGGAAAAAGGCAGCATTGATTGAATTTTCTCCGATCGCAGGTACGCCCCGAAGTGCAAGAGCGAGACGATCGGTCAAAGAAGCCTCCCGATCTATCTGGACGTTCTCCTTCCGTTGTTCGATTTTGTCGGATCCGCTCCGCGCAGACTTGCGCTCAGACTGAGAACGAGCTAAGAAAGAGGATGGTAGCGGGGCATCAAAGTTGGCATCAATCCATCGATCCGACCCCTCAACGAACGTGCTCCGCCTTCGAATTATGGTGGTCCTGGTCGACATGGATATCCTCTCAGGCTCTCTGACCTTTGTGGCTTTGCCACGTTCTCCTGAAGTGAGGCGCCTCGGCTTCTCGTTTCGTCGAGGATCAGTGGCTGTTGCGTCGATCACACGCACGCCCAATCGGTACATTTCCCGCTTTGCTCCATAGCTAGGGAAACTCGAGCAGTGAGCTGGAGCTGATTCTCTCCGTCTAATTCGGGTCATTCAAAACTGTTACAAGAATCGCACAACTGATGGTAGTAAGTAAGTTCCGTATTTCGGCAATCCACCAATTAAAGATGCTACACGCCCGTGACTCCTCACTTGGGGCGTTTAATTAAGTCTCCGGTCCCGTAGAGTCCTATGCCGGATGATAGTACCGCCCCCCGCAATAACAGGGTCCATCCGTTGGACAAGCACACGTTCTGTTCAGAATGAGCGTCGCGCCTCATGGGAACGAGATAATAGAAATGACTTACACGGGTTGAGTCGGACCGCCTGCGGCGTACATTTGCTGCTGGGAATATTGTTGCTGGTTCGCGGATCCATATCCAGCATAGTAGTTCCCGGCATAGGGGTATCCCGCGGCCGGGAGACCGCTCCCTTGCTGTGGAGCTCGCAATTGAGTCGAATAGTCGCCGCGGGAGCTGGTGTAGGGCTGTACGGGAGCCCCAGAAGCGCGTTGTCCGGACGGGCCACCCGCACCAGGTTGCATGTAAGTATTGAGACCGGCGGAGGGTGGGGTGATAGCTTGGGGCGCCCACGATGCACCAGCAGCTGCAAGATATTGTCCGGAGGCGTTTGTGGACCCTAGAGACGCAGAGTCGGTCTGGTACCCGTATCCGAATTCTTCAGGGACTGCGACATATTCGCATTGCAGATTGCGCTTCGCGCATCGTGTGCATGGCCGAAAGTCTCCATCGGAGGAAGTGATGCACTGGAAGCGATCGGTCATTTGTATCAGAGTTGTCCGGCAAAGATGCAAGCTTACCTTGATTTTGCGCTGTCTACAATTCGTACAGGCCATATATGCTCGGCGGCGCTTTGAAAACATGGAGGAGTCGACGGCAGACTTGGAGGAGTTCGAAGACCCGGACATTATGTCTGTGGGTTGTTGCTAGGTGATGATGTGAGCGGATGAGAGTGCATTCGACAAAGTGAGCACCGATTACTTATAGTCCGCCATTCAGTGCCACGACTCAGCGAGAGATCCAAGCATTCAATCAACAGCAGTAGCAGTACTAGCAGCAGAGAAAGTAACAAAACAGGACGCCCAGTGAGTCACTGCAGCGCAGGACTTCGATTCATCGCCCAACTCGCCCCTTGATCTCAGCTGGAGGACGAGGGCTATCACACGCGAAAGGCTTGAGCCATCACGCACAGCTCTCTGTCGGCTGCGGTAACAAATATGGATCCGTCTTGAGAAACCCGTGCTGTGCTGGACAGAGTCAGCGACCTTCGTCTGAGATTCTCTGAATAGCTTATACTCCCGGATACAGTAGAGGTGCAACCAGCGCGGTCTGCCTGACGATGCATGAATCAGCACAGTCTGTGCGGCAGTGGCTCCCCTGGCGCGAATCTTTGATAGTGTTACAAGCAATACACCGAGCAAAGTTCCTGTCAAGAGAGAAGAACAAACGGTGCGGCGACGACTTGAGCTGACTCCTTAGATCGATATCCTTTGGCAGTATCAGTTCTTCCAGTAGCGAGAATGCTTCAGGTCGAAGGTCCCCGTTATTGTTGGACTAGGCTCGTTATCCGAAATAACCCTAGCCGAGGCCGAATGAGACCCGAGCCTACGACCCTGGGACCTTTACACCAATGAGAGGGCTGGTATCCAGTTTTGCAGGAAATACTTCCGAAGCACAGCCGGCGTCCTGCGCCGAGCAACTGTTGCTTGCCGATGCGGTTGCCTGGAGAAGGCGGATCCTGTTGAGCGAGTCACTTCGCATCACAGAGAGTCACGTGGTCATGGCGCAAACACACCATTCGGGCAATGCCGCGGCGAGACAGGATCAACTCAACTGACAGCGCGGGTCCCGGTCGCGGGCCGAAGTCACACGCAGCCTTCTGTCTTCGTGCTTACCGACGTGTCTCCACACTCTGTGTCGAATGCGAGATTCTGGAAACAGTGCACACAGTAGTTCGTGTGACCTGTCGGTGTGTGTCCACACCTCAGCGTGTGACGCATGTGTCTATTCTGCTCCCGGCCGATACTCGTATCGTCATCCCATGCGATGAGGTTGCGCTGTGAATGCGAGATACAGCTCGAGGGGAAAATGTAGAAGAGGGTCGCGGTCTAGGAGCACTTTGCCGGCCCCTCGAAAGTGCCGCGGTTCTCCAGGTTTCAGAGGAAGTATGGAATATCCGGCCGTTGAACGCCGGGAAATACCGAGCTCCTTCGTGCTAACGCCGTCCACGACGTTGATGGTCGTTCGATCCACATACTTCCACAGACAGGGAACGTCATCCAACGGCGGCCGTAAGCTCCGAACATTTCCCCTTGGAAAAAATGAACAATACACAAGCTCCCTCAGTCTGTATTTTAGTCCATGGAAAGGGATTGTCTTTGAAGAAACAAAATGGAGCAGTTTTGACAGAGAATTTGCCAGGCAAGTGCTTTCCTTGATCCGCTGCATTGCAAAGAACCCTTCCGAGCCTTGGCTGTTCCTTGCGACGGCGTTCTATAAAAATAGGCCTCATATTTCCCGTCATCTCCAGCCGACGCGCTTCATTGTCCAGACCGTGGCATGTCCAGACCGTGGCAGAGAAGCCACCCGTGTGGAACGGGCTGTCGATCCTGTCAAAATACGCGGAGTGCGTAGAGAGAGAGAAACATATGAGCCGGATGCCGGAAACCCAGAAAAAAAAAACACGGTCATAGTGAGAACTTAGCTGCATATGGAAATCTTTCAGAAGTCAAAGTGCCCCCGGGTGCACGCGCGGGGATCAGTGTGCGGTGTGTGTGACTTGAGTGCGAACCTGTCAAGTGAGGGATTTGGCCTCATACCTGTCCTCAACTCTTATCTCCTCCACGAGTCCTCTCCAGACTGTGAATATGATGGGTTGCTGGCTTGCTGGTCTGCGTACGGCATCAGAAAGAAAGGTGATCTGTACGGTGAGCGCAGTGAACACTAGTTGGTCTCATACTCTGGTATTACTGCGATTTTTGTGCTTCTTCTTGGCGCTTCACAGATAGGATTTGGGTCGCAATGGAGCGGATCTTCCCTTGATTTCATGGAGCTTATGTGGCTGAGAAAGAATCGATGGTCGAGCAGAATTCCCTCGAAGATCAACGATCGCTCAACCAACCCTCAAGAAAGATTGCCCATATTCCTGCACACCTGGAATCAAGATGCAGCATCCATTGGAAACGCAGTGGCACGCCAGGTCAGGCGCCGTGCGTCCTGATTGGCCCGCGGTATTTTCTGATAGCCCCATCAAGGGCCGAGTCGTCACTCGCGTGTTCCTCCACACAGCCGATGGCGTGTTTGATGTCTGGCTCACAAGCTCAGAAGCCGTCGTTGACGATATGAAGACAACTTCCGAAGCGACGGAGAATTGCTGGGTGTATTTCAGGACTTACCCTATCGCCCATTCACGTGGGGCGAAGGGTCAACCAATGTGGATCAAACGAGCATCCGGTAAAGATATGGGCCCGATCTCATGTGTTCTTTCGTCGCCCGGTGGAGCAGGGAGAGAGGCCTGGCGAATGAAAATATTCATAAGGAAGGAGCGAGGAGATTGAGTTTCTGCACAATCGCTGCGCTGAAACGAACCCGACCATGACTCCTCCCTCCGCTCCGAGCCACCCAGCGCAGCCTTCAGCCAAACCGAACCCCTACGCGAGCCCCGACTTCACGATCTCGAGCGCCCGCAACCTTGAGTATCCGTACGAGATTTGGTACTTTTTCGCAGGCTGCATCGCGCTCCTCACCCTCGTCAACATCACTTCGGCGCTCGTCCATCGTCTGCGTCGCAGGAATGGAGTCCCTCCCAGTCCTCCCACTGCGTTCATGCGTCTCCCCGCCGCTTTGACGTACGTTTTCCGTCGCGTGGCAATTTACTCGACGGTCTCGTTCGGCGGATACTCGCTCGATGTGGCGGAGCTTTTCATGGCGGTTGGGTATATCGGGGTGATCTTCACTTGGGCGTTCGTGAACAGTGAGTGATCTGTTTTATGCGATTGATCCTCCCCATCGGCTGATTCGTCTGGCAGCGACAAGTCAGAAGGGCCAACAGCTGCAATTCTACTATTGGACGAACCGCGCAGCCTACATCGTGTCGACACAGTTTCCGATGGTCGTCGCACTGGGAATGAGGAATAACATCATCGGATGTGAGGCTGATCCACGGGGGATGTATTTTAGCTGACTTTAATTTTGGATAGATCTGACGGGTATCTCGTTGGATAAGGTGCGTGCAGCCGATCTTGATCCGTACTCAGCTCACTGGCGCACAGCTTAACCTTCTGCATCGGGTGGCCGCGCGCGCCTTGTGTGTGCTGATCTGGGTTCACGGTGGCTCACAGGTGAGTGTCATGATCTCCATGTGCGATCCATTCACTGAAGGAGGAGTTAGATGCATGCGGCGTGCGTTAAGTTTCACTGTAGACTCACCTGAAGCTCATCCATACCCACTGCACAGTATTCAAGGACACTATATGACGTCGCTCCTGCAGCTGTGGTGGGTGCGGTGGGGTATCACCGCTGTCACTGCATTTACCCTGCTCTGCACGTTCTCCGTGCGTCCGATCCGGCAACGCGCCTACGAGACGTTCCTTATTGGCCATTTACTTGGTGTTTTGTGAGTCATTTGCGATCCGGAACAGCATACGAGAGACTAACGAGGACAGGTTCTTGCTCGTCGGGGCGTATCACCACACTAAGGGCAAGCAGTGAGTGAAACGCTATGAGTATATTCATGTGAGCACTAATGCGAAAAACAACAGACAGTCCATGTATATTTGGCCCTCCTTCGTCATCTGGGCCTTCGACCGTGCCCTGCGCTTCATCCGCACGTTCATCGTCAATAGCGGGTACACCTATCTGCTCGGCAAATCCGCCGCCCAGTCGGACATTCTCGACGCCACGGTCGACGTCATCTCTCCACACCTTCTGCGCGTCTCGATCATGCTCCCCAGCCGCGCCAGCTGGCGCCCCGCCCAAATTGCATACCTCGCGATCCCAAACGTCAGCCAGACACCTTGGGAGGCGCACCCGTTTTCCATCGCGAGTCTCGGCGACGGTGCGCAGGATCAGGCGTCGATCGGCGGGGGGTCAAGTAACTCGGGATTGGAGAAACAGCGCTCATTCACAGAAGCCAACGCCTTGTCTTCAGCCTCGTCGTCGTCGTCGGTGCAGAAGCAGAGGTCCATGCGTGAGATGGTGTTCCTGATCCGTGTCCATCGCGGCTTCACACGCCGACTTCTCGACGCGGCGCTCGCTGCGAAGGGCCCGGCCAGATTTGGGGCGCTGGTGGATGGCCCCTACTGCACGCCGCCCAGTGCACTGGGGTACGCGTCGTTACTGCTCCTTGCAGGCGGCTCGGGCGTCTCGTTCACGCTTCCGCTCCTCCTCGATCTCCTTCGGTGTGTCGCGCTTCTTCTGGCCGTGGTGTTGACGCAATCTGATGATACGGCCATGCAGAGCCGCATGCGCGAAGACCAATCTGTGTTGTACACGCGTAGTGTTTGTTTGGTCCGTGCGCGAGTCTGGTGCGTCCTTCCCTCCCGCTTCCTTCCTTGCACCCGCATCTCAGGCCTTCCACAGACCAGATCCCCGCGATATCACCCCTCCTGTTCCCGGCACTCATATCCAACCCGGGCTCGACGTCGACATTCGTATCCATGTCACGCAGAGCAGGGAGGACACCGACGGTGCGGTGGACGACGACTTGGAGACACCGACCGGCCCAGAGGAATCAGACACCGATCTGGCGCGCCTGCAGCGCTTCGCGTGTGTGCGCGTTCAGCGGGGACGGCCGGACATCGACGAGCTGCTTGCCAGTGAGATCGCCGCGGTAGGCGGTGGGTCGATGGCTGTGAATGGTGAGCCCTTTTGTCCGGGTTTTATGCACGGGGAGCTTACGGCGCTGGATTCGCGACAGTGTGCGGCACACGCGGGTTGGCGAATCATGTCCGCCGGGCGCTTAGACGAAGCACTAGCGTAGGCGGATCGGGAGTGAGTCTGCACGTGGAATCGTTCGGGGGTGCATAACGGGGATGAATACACGAAACGCAAATGGACGGCACTCTAGAAGATGCTTGCTCATCAACTCATAAGCACGTACCATACGGTAGCGGTGCAAAGCTGCTCCAGCAGTCCCAGTCTGGTGCCCTTCCCCGACCCTCTCGTCGTATGTAGAGTGGCAGATAGAGGAAGTCGGTGGTTCACTAGTATTGTAAGTTCAATAACATGATTAGATTTTTAGATCAACACGAGCTCCTTCAAAAACTCGACCAGGGGGTTATGGAAAGATGAAAGGTGACGGTCATGATCCATGTGGTTCATGGATGCGTGCGATTTTGTGTGACGCGTGACGCGCGCTGACAGCTTTGCATCATTCAATTGATCACTTTCCCTCCTCCTGCAAGCTCAAACAGGGGCGAAGCTCAGTCGAGTTCTAACACAAGCGCGAAAGAGCTCTGAAATAACATTGACACGAGAAGGAAACGATCAGCCTACTCATACCCAGCCCTCCGCTCACACTCAAATTCTCCTACAACCGACTCGATTATCGAAATCGGCTCACCGTCGAAGCATCATCATCGAAATTCCCGACTCCATCGAACGCCCCGACATCATCGAACTCGACATGGAGATCGCCGTGTGTTCCCGACCCGCTGCAGCCGCAAAGGCCGATCGGATCACACCGGGGCATCTTCGACCGTTCGAGAGTTCCTCTGGCTCTTGCATCTGGACACGTACGAACCCGACTAAGCGATCGTTTATAAGGCACTCTGCCGCGACTGGATATGCCACCATCGCCAGCAGCCATCGGTGCACTTCCAGCTCAACTCACAATCGTACTCACACTGCAACCCACCCACATACATCTGCAATGTCGTGCTCTTCTGTGATGGCGTATTACGGCTACGTGAGTCGATCTCTCCACGGGTGCTCTGAAATCCATTCTGACTCCAGTTCTCTCCTCATCAGACTTCCCCACCTGCCCGTGACACATATCAACCCCCAGTCTCAACCCCAAGCAACGAGATTCCGGCAGCAGAAAAATCTCCCGTGCGTCGCTTCTTGAATTTGCACCGCTATCCGACACTGATGGATCTGCAGAAGAGAGACTCAACCTCATTGCGTCGTGTTGTCCAAAAAATACTTCATCCGCGCCGAGGTAGCTCGATTCGCTCCGAATTATCACGCAGCAGCTCGCAGTCGAGTGTCTCGGACGCGGAGGCAGAAACGGCCTAAACATGATGACGATCTATCTCCCGGCCTAGACTGTATCCTTATTCAGACTCAATGTATTTTTATATCGAATCACTATCAGCTCTTCGTTTTCATGGCTCAAGGGGCGATGTGCGCATCGTCCGTGGCAAAATGTTTTTGGCAAGCACTATGCCGTAGTTGAGCTTCGTCCGTTCCGCGCTAGATCTCTAGTGAAGCACATCGCCTGCTTCTGCCTCATGCCTCCACGGAATCTCGAATACTAAGCGATGTTCCCTGGGATCATTTCGACGTCCGTCGCCTCAGCTTCTGACCCAGGTGAGAGACCCATCGTCAGCGAGAGCACTGGAAAGTCCAATGTACGACTCGGGAAATTCCAAGATGGCCAGCCTTTTGGGAAGAGTCCAGAACGGTCACACTTTCTAAACGTCTCGTGCTGACAGCTGCACACGAACCACCACACGAGCCCGTCGTATGCTATTTTCTACCGTGGGTGTCACTTCATCATAGTGGGATGATCGCTCGGCATGCTTTCTCCGACAGCTGAGAGATGCAGAACTTGACTTCTTACAGTGTTGAAGCTTGGACTTGAGACTGCTGCACGTGACGCGCTGAAGGCTAAGTGAAGAAATGGCCTTTTCTGGACGCAGTTACATAAACGGATTCAGAATGACGACTCTTTACTTTCACAAGAGTTCGGAGCCACAGGCTCATGAGCGCACGCACGCACGCTGTGTGATTATTATAATGGGAACCAACCCAAACAATGTCCAACCCATTATCGACGCTGAAGCCACCGACTTTCCCGAGATCGATGCGATCCAATTGATTCTAGGCACTCAGTTGATGAACGTGAGTTTGCATTCGGAACAACGCAGGGGGCAAAATACATAGGCCGCAGGGGTTCCAGGCAGCGCTGGATCTGGGTGCACTTGAATCAATCCGGATCTTATTGAGGAGCATTCTTTCTTGCAAGCAGGTGACGGTACACCAGATCATGCTCACCAATTTTATCTTCCGTACCTCGCGCGAAGGATGTGACCCGCTCCGCGAGTCAAAGGGACATACCAGAGTCGATTCCATGCCCGCTGTTAATCCTTGGCTTCGAGTTCTTGCCAAGACGCCCAACCGATCTAGGGTCCAAAGACAATTCCTCCAGAGCAAAGTCTCGGACCGATTCGCTGCAACTGTGAGATGCCCGGCATCATAGGTCGGATGTTCCCTTTTGGCTTTGCATCACAGACCAGCATCTGCCAAGGAAATTTCCTCAGTTTCTTCTGGGTCTGCCCAGTGCGCCTGAATGTTTCCCGCCCTCGTCGGTTTCTGCGTCGGCAATAGCCGAATCGCTCCTTCGCCAGCTGCTTGCACTGATTGCGGACCTTGTCTCAGAACACAGACGTACTGTGTCTATTCGCGCAATTCTCCCTGTAATGGAGACTGGTTGGGTCAATCAGGTTTAGGGGAGACATTAGAATCAGATAACCTTGTAATTGCTCAAAGGATGCGGTGAGCGACCGACCGTGTGAATGTAAATGCTGAATGATTCTCGGCTGTCCTCGCAAGACTCCTTCACCTTCCGCTATGCGATTGATATCATGCTATGAGAATCAGATCATACTGAACCATGCGTCTGCTTTGTGTCTCGCTGCATCGTGTTTGCCCAATCTGGCAGCGTGGGATTGAAGAGGGCCGAGATCATTCAGCTCGTCATGATAGCAGAATCAACGCGAAGGCCCGCCGGTACAGCAGAATGTCCAACATCGGCGATGGATTTTTCAAATTCAACAAAATTTGACGATATGGAAAACTAGAATGCGAAAGAGATCGTGTGATCGAGCTCAAGTTGCGCACACACAACACAGAAAGCAACAGCACGTGATTCAGTTCGACAGCTTTTCTCGAGCGCTTCTCTTCTTTTGCTCCTGGACTTTTGAGCCTTGTCCAGCCACGAACCTGCTGCCATGGCATTTCCTCAATGCCATTCCACTGCCCGACACCGGCGAACGACGAGGGTTCCTAATGCGCTGAGGCCGGCCTCAGACCTCCCGGATCAATCCGGAGCTTCTTCGACCGTTCGAGATTTCCTCTGGCTCTCGCGTCTGGGCGCGTACTTACAACATCGAGAGAACGTTTATAACGTTCCCTGCGGCCGGTAGCATGCCTCCATCTCCAGTGCTCTCAGCGATAAGCCGTGTCCAAATTCACACTCCCCTCTCCCCATTTGTCTTTTGACAACTGCGATGTCGTGCTCTTCTGTAATGGCGTACTACGGCTACGTATGTTCGCCGCCTCAGAATTCATTTCTAAATGATGCTTATCGTATGCTTTTATTTCTTCAGCCTTCCCCACCCGCCCGTGGGACTTACCCATCTCCCGCCCCATCTCATGTCGTCAACATCCCGACTGCGCCGGAATCTCATGTACGCAATCATTCAAATCTCCTATGCACTTCTGGAAACTAAATCACGAACAGAAGAAGAAATCACCATCCCTGAGTCATGTTGTGCGCAAGATCCTCCACCCGCGACGAGACAGCGCTGCGCGCCCCGATCTGTCGCGCAGCAGCTCGAGTTCATCCGATAACGACACGCTCGCGGACACTGAGATCGAATCGAAAGCCCCGCATGCTCCGTGTGCGGAGTAGCACTGCGCCTCCTGCACATGATTGCGATCCATGCGACCACTCGCGACCTAGACCTGTATCTCTACCTAGACATAACATCCAATGTATTTGTGGCTTATAAACGATTCGGCGGCCCTTCTTTTTCTTGAAATGATTGTCAGACCTTGCGCGTATCTGCCCGCCGATTCAGCTTGTTGGTGCACCGTTGTGCAGTTCAGTCATTTACGCCAGCATCCAGAAAGTGATTTACCAGTAAGAATACGAGAGACGCCCTTCACTGACAATGATCCTCCTTTGAAGGAATGCTGGGATCCTTCAGCACAAGTTTTGCACATGCACTCAAGGGCAGCAGTCGATAGCAGAGAACAACATCTGTACATACACGTGTCAAACCCCAACTCCAGGCTCCAGCTCCCCAAGCAGCATCGTCCCGTCCTTGCTGCCTGTCAACACTAGAGGGATACGATTAGCTCCTGAGACAATGGCAAGCAACAAGCAGACGTACAGATCGGTTCCAGAGGGTGCCAATCGACACCAACAACCGTGCCCTTATGCCCTGGCAGCTTGTACAACACGCGCCCACTCTCGACCTCCCAAACGCACACCATCCGGTCTGCGCCCCCCACAGCGACCTGCAGGCCCTTGTTCCCTGCCTCGTGCTTGCTCCACGCGCCCTTCAGCAGCGTGTTCTCGAAACCGGCAGGGGCACCCGTCAGCACACGGTGCACGCGGGTGGGCGAGGGCGCGAATGGGCGGATATCATGGATGATGGTCTGGCTCGAGAGCGAGGGCGAGAGGAGGAAGTTCCCGTTCGGGGATATCGATAGCGATGTGGGCGTGTCGGTGTGGCCCGACAGGGTGGACAACTGCGCGCCTTTTCGGACGTCGTAGATCTGCAGAGACGATTGGAAAGCAAAATGAGTGATCAGGTGGATTGGTAAAGAAGAGAAAGGGCCGCCGTACATGGATCTCGTTGTCCAGAGCTGCCGCATACACACTCGCGCCGTCTGGGCTCCAGCACACCGCTGTGACCGGGCACCCGACCTCGAACTCGACGACCGGTGTGCGCCCACCCGCACCCTCCGCGTCCGCGTCCCACACGCGCACCACACCGTCATCCGAGCCGGTGACGACGAGCTCGGCGCCGGACCCCGCGACGACGCGGTCGACGCTGTTCACGATCTCCTTGTGCGCGCGGATCTTTCGCAGGCGCTGGCCCGTCGTTACGTCTGTCGCGACGAGTGTGTGGTCTGCGGACACCGTGTAGATGGCGGGTGACGTGAGGGACCACTGCAGGTCCGTGATGGGAGCTTTGGCAAGCGCGGTGAGCAGACCGTAGTTGTTGTTCGGTGGATAGGTGCGCCAAAGGGCTATAGGAGAGACAAAGAGGAAAAGAGGGCAGCGTGTCAGTGCCGCACAATCGAAACGAATTGGAGAACGAGCACCCACAGACACTCCGATCTGTCGAGCACGCCGCGATGTTCTGCCCCGTCGGGTCAAACCGACAACTGAGTATCTCACCCTGTTCGAAATAAGCCAGTATACCACCAAGCCTCCGTCAGACCCACACACCGAATGCGCTCCCGCCAAGCTCACGATGGGAGCCTCGAGGTTACTCGTCCGCTGCACCGCACGCATCAAGCTCTTGCCCTTCCCATCCGGGCCAGTCGAGATGGCAATTTGGTTTTCGGGCACTGGAGACGCGCGGGAGCGCTTGATGAGCGCGCCTGGCGCCGAGGTGGGTGAGGCGGGTCGCTTCGACATTTTTGGTGCGGTGAGAGTGTTGGCAAGCAGGGACAAAGAGATCTCGAAACACATGACTTGGATGTTTGGTCACATGGTCGTGAACGCGTCGTGGACGACCTCATCTGTACGTGTCGCAGCAACAGGGGAGATACGTACTTTTGTTCTCTTACACGTTTGGGATCCCATTCTCCATTGAATAGATCATTAATATTCTTGATTTGTAAGCAACATCGTACTGGAAAGTTGACGCAAGGGTAGCCTCCATGGCATCAATTTGCAATTGAATCCTCCACATGACCGTTTGAGAAGAGAGAGGGTGAGTTCACGCAGGCTCCTTCCCACCCGTTTGCGAGAGGTTCAATCCTACAACGGGGATTCAAAGCGGATTCAGAGATCGGGCATCGGACGTATCGGATTTATTCGGAGAGTGACTGTGATGTGACGGAAATGAGCAGGGAACCTCTCTAGAACGGCTGGCAGATAACATATACAAACACCATCTGATGTGGACCCCAGCTCCGTAATCACGATAAGATCTGGTATCTCTCTCAGTCATGACATCGCGCGCAGCTCCAGAGCAGCTCCGCGCAGTTATCGAGACTATGCACAATGAAAGACTGACTCTGTCAACATTCTTGTCTTCTCTATTCACTCATGAATTGTTCGCCAATGGCCCCGACGTCCTTGATCTTATATCCTCAATCAACAAAACTCTTGAAATCTTCCGCACCCATCCTCTTGCTCAGCAGCAGATTGTAGAATGGGCAAATCTTGTCACTCAGCTTGACTGTCGAGATCTTGTCAGATCCTTAGCCGATGTTGATAACGGGTGGCATTTCGTCGCGTCGCGGACTAAAGCAGCGCAGTTGGAACAATTCCGGATCGAGAACTTTGCTCGGGACATGCGCAGCAAGGCTCCACGGCTCTGGAATCTTATTGGGGGCCTGCTAGGCGCCAATTCTCCACTTGCGGATGAGGAGATCAACCCACATGATGAACCTATGGAGATCGACTCCGAGGATCCTGAAACGGTTACGCAAAATAGAAAGGATCGAGAAACGAGGAGTTCCGAGCGTCGAAACAGTTTGATAATCATTGTGAGGGTTGCCTTTCATTCATTCAGTGGCCTGTACTGATCAAACCTCCAGAAACAGGTCACTATCACTAGCATGTTTCTGCAGAGTCAAAACCGCAAATGCAATGCGTTCCAGGGTGTTTTTGGAATTTTCCTTCACGCATCCAATACTCCATCGCGGGTTGTCGAAACTCTGGCGCACTCTGGACTTTCCATTTCAGAATCCGCCATCGAAAGTGCCGTCGAGTCTCTGTCTCTCGAATCCGAATCTCTCATCGAGAAGACCGGACAAACCAAACTTGCTGCATATGCGTACGACAACTTCGACATCGATTTCCACACAGTAACAGCTACGATTGAGAAAGGGAGAGATACCTTGACCCATCTCACATCTGGTATGTTGATTCCTCTCGAACACGGTGCCAGACTCGACGATCTGCGCTGCTCCGAAGAGCTTTGGGCCCAATCTAAGCTGAATCCGAATCCGACTGCCCCATCCCACTCCTTTTCCACGAACTCACTTGCCGACATCGAAAATATACATCCCGAAACAATTCCACCATCTGGCCTTACTCGACGTGATCGATTCAATGCCTGGAAGTTTCGTGCAGACCTTGTTCAGAACGGACCTCCGTACTTCCGTCAATTTACCTTCGAACTTGGCCTTCCCGAGACTGTTGATGTGATACCACCAGTCAAGTCACGGTACATCCCGCTCCGATCTCTGGACGTGAAGCAGTCAACTGTGGAGGGGAACATTCGGGCTATAAGGGAGTTTCTAAAGCAAGGCGGGATCGGGGAGCCATCGGAGGATGATTGTGGTCCGTGGGAGTCAAACCTTCGTCCCGTGGCAGCTGAGCATGTCGTCTTGTTCCATGGTGATCTTGGGACCGGGGAACGCATTATGTCTCTGATGAAACGTCGAAGCATCGAGGAAACTCCTTGGAGGCGCTACCAATACGTGATCTACATCATGGGACTCTTTCATTTGAAGATGGCATGCGCAGACGCGATCTGGCGCATCTTCATCAAATCGATTCAAGGTCGACGCGATCCAACTTGTTTGATGAATCTTCTTGCCTTATACCGAGAGAAGGAAACTGGTCGCATTGGGTCAGACCCTGGCTTTCGTCGGATGCACGAAGTCATCGGTCACGTCGGAAACGCTCTGCGAAGGGACGCCTGGGAGGTCGAGTTACAGAAGCGAGACCCGAGATGGGCTTCTCTATCCGAACTTGCAGCATCAAATCCTTCATGGTCCGATATCATTGCTATCTCCGAAACGCTTGCCACTGAATATGTGGCTGGTGCTGACAACACTGATCTCTTTGAACTGCGTTCTCGGTCTGATTCCCAACGCGACAAACAGCACGAAAACATTCTTCTAATGCATCAATACTTTCTCCTGTATGAGGAGATTACTCACGCAATGAATCATGGCGATATCGGGCGTGTGGAAACATGCTTTCCGGCCTGGATATACATTTTCAAGGGCACAGGAAAACACAAGTACGCTGCACACATGATTAAATTCCTCCGAGACGTTCACTTCATTTATCCTCCTCAACTGCGGTCGGCCTACAATTTTCCGTTTTTAAATCAAGCCTAACACTTCAAACAGAAAAATTGTTCGCTATAGCATGCTGACTCCCCCGGACGGAAAGCCTGACAAATTTCGGGCGATTGATTGGATTGTTGAACAATTGATCAATCTGCCGACCAAGGCAAGTATGCTACGATATTGATAATGCCTGACGGGAATGAGTGCTAATGACGTGGATTAGGAAACGTACGGCGGTCGTGGATTCAACTATACCAAGGAGCGCGTTATTGCAGAGTCAACATTGATTCAGATATATGGACAGTGCTGCCGCAACATCGAAGATAACTTCAGAATCGCGTCACGTACTCAGCAACATGCGCCCCCTGATATGTCTAACACCTATCAGAAAATGGCAAAACATCTGCGGGAAACAAAGCCCAATGTTCACATCCCAGAACGCACTTCATCACTTGAAATACCAAACACCATGAGCGTTGGACAAGGGAAAATTTCTGCCATCAAGAGTACAGAGGAGGAGACGGAGGAGAATGCAGATCCTGATCTAGAACACACACCCGTTGAAGCTGAAGATATACTAGATTAATATATCATACGTGAAATATCTACAGACTAAGTACAATGAAAATTAGTAATCATAAAAGCGTGAATTGGGAACGGGGGTATTGATAGTACGCATTGGCGGAACATTTTCGTTGTCCGCCGGTGATGGAGTGGCAGGAGTAGAAGGCACAAATTTGGGACAGAGTTTGTTTCGTCGGTTGTGTCCCAGCTGACCACAAACTCCGCACTGACGCATCGGTATTGAAGCAGACTGGGGTGTCACAGGGCCAGATCTAGCTGGTGTGGTTGGCGGAGGCGGCGGAGGCGGCAGGGCACTATGCAGTGCAACAAGTGAGAGGACAAGATCACCGTCATCGTTTGTCCGCTGCCATTGGGTTTCGCGAGCCAAGTCGTCCGGTGTCCTGAGTTTATGGAAATGAGCACAGTCCACGATGCGTTTGAGTACTTCGTCGGACATGATAGAACCGGGGCCATGGTTGCGCAAACTGGCTTTACCGAATACCTCCATCGTTTTGTTCTTCCGAAAGGTGTGGAGCGCATCCTGTAGTTCCCGATCTGACGAAGTTGACTCGTAGACCTTATCGACGCGCGATCGCGAGGCCATTTGCTTTGGTTTAGGAATGGAAACTTCGGCAAAATGCGCAAATTCTCCTGGCTGACAGAGCTCACAGCAAAGGAGACATTCGCCAGGTGCGCAACGCTTGCAGCCAGCCGCATCACATTGCATGTGGTCCCCACCTAGAAGACATTAGTCAGTACATGGCCATGAAACAAGCATCACTGATTGAATACCCGTTAGATCGTTTCCAAAATAGATTGTTGGGGGAAGACGGAAGCAGGGTTTGCCTGGCTGTCGTGTAGCAGCGTTGATCATGTCGTCCATGGCTGGGTCAAGGACGTCAATCTTCTTGCGGGTTGCCTGCTTTCGGACGGGCTCGTTTGTCACGGGATCAATGGCACCATAAAAACGGCGGCGATCCGCAAGGTATTCTGCACTGCTGATCACGACATCAGGCAGAATTACCTCAGAGTCATCGACCGTTATTCGGTTATCAATCGCTGTCTCGTGGTCGACAAGAAGTTGCTCCTGCTCCTCGGGGTTACTGTCCGTAATCACAGGCACCGGCACAGATACGGGGATGTTTGGATTTGGAATACATGCAAGAGCAACATGTTTGGGAGCAGGAGTAGTGAGCTGAGATGCGGGTTGACGCTTCTTCGTTCGTGCACTCGCCCGTTTCTCTGCAGCAATCCGAGCTTTCTTGATGTTTTCGTCGAAGTGTTTGGGTTCTGCGAGAAGTAATGCAGTTGCGGTCGAGCCCAACGCGCGTGCACCACGCCCAAATCTCTGCCAGAGTGTACAGAGGTCACATGTGGCACGCCATTGAATAACGAGCGCGATATCCGGAAGATCAAGTCCCTATATACTGAATAAACAACCTCATCATTGAGCGGAGGAAGACTGCACCATCCCAAATGAATCTGTACACGCCAGCCCGAATGTCACGCCAGCCTTCAGAGAATCAGCCTCTTCCACTTTGAACTCGGATGACATCTCTGAATTGAACCACTTGATGCGGTGCTTCGCTTCGGGAGGAAGACATCCACGGAGATACTCTGCGGCGTCGATCGAATCCGTGATGCTGTCAAAGAATATGAGGAACTTGGGCGGTGGAGGGTCTTCAGGCTTCCAGCCATCGGGGACGAGAAAAGCAAGGTCCATGAAGCTGGACATTGGATACTTCATCTGTCTGATGACAAGACTGATGTTTGCGCGGTCGTTTGAGCGACGAATGAGGGTGCACTTGTCTGGATCAACTTGAAGAATCTTCTTCACGTCAGCAAGTACCGGAGCAGGAAGCGTGGCCGATACAATCACAAACGGCACGCTGCGCGGAATGAGATACCTGAGCTTCCCGGCATCTTTGTACTCTGGCCGGAAGCCTCCCCACTTGCTGACGCAGTGAGCCTCGTCCCAGATTACACTGATCAGGCGCAACGTAAATGCGGTCTTCTTCCACAGCTTCTCGAAACCGCCACCCGCTTGCATCAAAGTCTCGACATTTGTCACAATGACGCGGTATTGGCACTTCTCGATGTCCTGAGAATTGTTATTTGCACGGCAAGAAGTGAGCGTGTACACACACCCGAAACGTCTCTTGCGTAGCTGTCTCTGCCGTCACGTTCACTGCTCGGATGCCCAGCTTCTCCAGTTGCGATACATTTTGGTCTCCGAGGATATTGAGGGGACTGACAATGATCTGGATGCCGTCTTCGCAGAACAGTAGCGGCATCCAGAATGTCAACGTCTTCCCTGCCCCCGTGGCTGCGATAGTAATCACGTCACGGTCATGGGCAAGAACAGCTTCGACCACTCGGATCTGCCACAGACACGGTCGACAGCCAAAGATCTTCAAGGCTTTCGCGCGAATTTCAAGGAGCGTGGGAATGGGTGTTGGTGTGATTGTTTTTGAAGGAGCGGAGGCCATCGGGAGCAGGGGAGACGCGTTCCCGACGCGTCTGAGGACGCGTCGGTACGGTTGCCGTAAGAGCGCGGTGCCGGCAAGTGATCGGGGTCCTCTCTTTGTATATGTTATCTGCCAGCCGTTCTAGAGAGGTTTCCCCCCAATTCCGTCACATCTTTTGTCACATCACAGAGACGCCGCTTATCTACATCTATCGGAATCTGCTTGTAATCTGCGTTGTCTCTCTGAAACCTCTCGCAAACGGGTGGGAAGGAGCCTGGGCGGTTCCTATCATGTCAAGAAAGGACAGGGAGAATAACTGAGGATACTTGAGGGTCCATTTTCAGTATATGTATGGATTTCTTTCAACTACCTACCACAATTGGAATGAATCACTACTTGGGAAAAAATACAAGCTCATACAGCCAGGGAGTCAAGTAAGTTGAAGTAATGTCTAGGCTTGCTCTCGAGTATCATTTTGGTCCAACGCTGCAAGATCGTACATGTTTGTCCTCAAACGGAGACATCTCTGCTGGCCATCGGCCGATTTTAGTTAAGCGTGATGGGAACTGTCAGGACCTGTCGGGTTCATCAAAACCTCGTGAACCCGGTTCATGAACCAAGAATTGAGCGGACCTAATCAGACGGCTGGATCGATGCTTGACTCCTGGTTCCCCTGGCCTCGACACGCTGCTAAAACCACACCAGCCGATCTCAACAACCTCCTCTCAACAACCTCCGAGCGCTCTTTGAAGCGAGCCCCCGTCGGGAACCGCACCTTGCGTTTCATCTCTCCACTTGTCGCTTATCAATCCGTGCATGACCAACGCAGAATGATGCGTATGGCCGCCGCCCATTTGTCAAATCCTTTCTCGAACCGGGGCCCTGCCGATTGTGCCATCGCATCGAGAAATTCGCGGAGTGATGGTGCAGCATTATTGCTCGCCGATAATCAGTGCTGCTCCTGGACTCGATGTGTCCAGTCCTGCCCACGCGCGAAGTTAGGCGCAGAGGTCCCACTTTCTTCCGGGCTCCACATGCCCCGTATTGACTCACTCGAGGCGGGTAGCTGGGGCCGTAATGATCCCGCCCGCCGCGGAAACTGTGTGCCTTGAATAACTGCTGCTGTACCGAGCCTCGGATGTTGAACGAAAATGAGCTTGTTCTTGAAAGGTGTCCTGGCTCCTTGTTGGTCATAAAACAGTATGTATGTCTGTGGGAGTCCGAGATGCTTCCAAGCTGCAGCATCGTGTCGCTCTACTGCTGATAGATGTTCACGAATAAAGATCTCACCTCCCCATTCACTACGCATCACTTGGAATTTATTTCAACCCGTCTGCATAGCCGATTGTATCAGGGCTCCAAACAACAGTCCAGTAGGTAAATACTGTGCAGGCGAGTATCATATAAATACTGCTCTGTTCGACAAGCAGAGTCCATCGAACCTCCTCCCACTTTCGACTTGCAGCTCTACGACAAGTTACCATGCAGCTGTCCTCGGTCTTCGTCTCTCTCGTTGTCGCCGCGCTCGCCGTAGCCACCCCCACCACCCCCGCCTCAGCGCCGATCCCCTCGCCGCCGGTATCCCCAGCGACCCATGCCAAACTCGAGGCGATCTTCGCGGAAATGATGGCGAAGAGCAAGAATGGGACTGACGCCGGTGCGCTGGCCAAGCGCAGCGTGCACTGCGAGACGAGCGGCGGCAGCCCGTCGACAGGCGACTCGATCAACGCCGCGCACTACATCCAGGGCCTCGGCAACCAGAACTGCTGCAACGAGAACGGCGTCGGGTCGTACTGCACCACGATGTACACCACCGGCTCCGCCGCAGGTGCGTCAATTTTGCGATAGAATTTTATCTCATTTGATTGATGGTCGTTATCGTTCAGTCGGGATCTGCTCGACCCACGGATTGACCGTGATTGCAGAGTGCGACTACTGCTGGGATGCTGGCAACGGTCTGCTCGATATCGCCAACACGTGCTCTTCGGGTGGACGCTCGGGTGGTTGGGCCGATGCGCCTCCCGACATGCACCTCATCCTCTTCCACTCCTAAGTAATGTGAGCAGATCACAACTGTATCGTCCCTTCACTTGCTGAACGCCGGCAGAAGAGTCGAAATCGCGCATAGTGCACCCAGAAACTAGGCATTATCAATAGTTGACGTCGCCTTCAATTCAATAATGAATACAGTGTTCGCGTCGAACTTGATGAGCCTCCGTCCATTTTGATCGCCTCGTCATGGAACCGACGAGGTCAGGTGATTGTGTGGTGGCGTACATGGGTGCCATCAGAGCTGTCCGTCCTGGTCATTCCACACCGAACTTGCATCTCATTCTCAAAACGAGGTTACCTTGGGAAGCTTTGTTGTAATTGGTTCGTTCATCGCATTCAAATGGCTCTTTCAGAAACAGCGCTGCAACAGAAGCTGGTGACAGGCATCCTTCATTTTCTTGCTCATTCATCTCAGCTCTCACACCATAATGCGCCTACTTGAGCTCATAATTTACATTTCTATGCTCCTTGTCAACTATCGGTAGCCCCATCTACTTTCGAACTAACAGCAGCATCGAACGTCAGCGCGACAACGATGGCCCCTAGAGCCGAATTACCACCCAGCCGCTCTATCTCTGCCAAAATCTGCTTGCGGAGACTGGCCAGCGCCTGGACTGTATATCTAAACGAGCCGGACGTCGATGTGAGATGAGCAAGCACGCGTAGTTTGCGAGTGGGAGTCTGCGGCCGAGCGGCGAGCACGTCTTCATGATTGATGTAAGCGCCGATTGTGAGTTGCGACACGGGTGCTCACGCACCGATGACGGTTGAGTCCTCAGGGCCAGACTGGATCGCGTGGATGATGGGGAAGGAGAACTTGCCCTCGGAAAGATCTTCAGCAAAGCCTTTCCTTTTCGTATACTGTAAGGAAATTCAGCCGTCTATGCTCTAGGGCATGGTCTGAACGAGAGGAGACTTGCATCTGCGCTGGTGATATTCATAAGATCGTCCCGGATCTGATAGAAAACGGCGAGCATGTTGATCAGCGGCACGTAATCGCTGCGTTAGAGGATTACTATGGCGAGTCGAAGAGAGCGGACAGGGATGTAAATCACATTCCGATATTCTTCGTAGCACATGCCATCATCAGCTTCACACAGAGCCGGAGCAGTCCGCCCGTTTCTGTGAAACCCAATCTCCTTAGCTACAGGCAGAGAACACCGACTAACGAGCAGGAGGACGCACTATCGCTGACCATGCGGATGTACTCCTCCTCCGTCGGACACACCAACGAATCACGCCACAGGATATCCAGCCCCTGTCCTCGATGCAAAGCCAGGACTTCGTCTACAGCGGCGGTGTTCAGGCGGCAACGAGGCGCGGCGCTAGATGGGCGGCCGTACCGTTGACGAGGGTGAACAGCTCAAGACTGGACAGGTGCGGTGACTCGATGGACATGAGCTCGCGGAATGCGATAAAGTATACGTAGTTCGCAGCGTTGATGGTTTGCGGGATGCCAAAGATGGTGTGCGCGGCTGGTCATGCTGTGAGCTAGCGTTCTACCAGACACACCAGTGCGCAGACAGACCGGGTTTGCCTCTCCTCAGCTCTGAGCTGTCCTGCACATCGTCCACCCTGCGCAGCATGATGAGCTCCTCGCTTCCGAGCTAACCGCGACACCGACACGCACATGAGACTCGCTGTCTTCAGCCGATCTACAGCTTTCGCGATCCTGGAACACGTCTCCTTGGGCACGAGCATCCATGCATTGAGGGCCTCGATGATGCGGACGATGATGTCTTTGCCGGGGTTGGTTTCGAGGTACGTGAATGGCTTAAGGACGTCCTGGAGCCCTCAATGAGGAGGCCTGACGCCCTGGAAACATCTAGAGCTCACAGATTCATTCTCGTCACCACGTGTCGATGGGTTTGAGAGCTTCAGCAGCAGATCTTCGTGGAAGGTCATGAAGAGGTGTACGAAACGAAACAACAGCCAGCTGCCAATCAATCGATCACGTGCGCCCAAAGGACCCTAAGTAGCTGTTCTGCATAAACCGAACACGATCTTCCACCGTACTTATAGCCAAACTACGCAATGACACAAAGGTTTTTCGGCTTCCCAATCTTCAGCTCTTCCTGAAGCGGCGCGTGCTGTCCATCCTCAGGTCCCGAGGAGTCGCCCTTGGCTTGGGACGCTTCGTCCGACTTGGATTGGCCATCTCCGCGCGCCTGGGAACATCAGCCTTCCATGCGCCGACTTCCCGCGTTGTAGGATCATACCTCGACAGAAGCCAGGTCGAGCGGGACGAACACATCGCGAGTGACCAGGTCGGACAGATCCTGCGGGTGATCTGTCAGCGTACGAAGCTGATGCTGACACTGAGAGAGCTCACAGCCAGATCGGGTGAGACCAGCTCGACTTGGCGACGCTCAGCCGGGGCCGGCACCGGGACTGCGGCCACGAGCGTGGCGTAGGCCACGGAGAGCACGACGGCAACGAGGAACGTGGGCTGCATAGAGTCGAGTAGAATGGAACAACGAACGAAAACAAAGAAGCGAGACTAGCTCGGAACGAAAGCAGACGGGTCTGAATAAGTGGATATGGGCCAGCGTTGTGTGAACGTTTATAAGTATATGATGTTTTGGACAATTATAGCCTCGAATGGGAATCTATCGGTCGCAGCTGCTGCTCGATTCCGGCATCAGTGAAACAAAGATCAAGCATCCTGCTGATCGTGGGCGAGCATTGGCTCCCATTGTTGTGGGTACGGGCTAGACCGCAGCTATTCACGTAGCAAGTTCATTGGTTCCCAGCAACGACACCCAGATCCATCCATCCATCCATCCATTCGTCCATTCATGTATTCAAACGTCATACGGAAGTGGCGGCAAGTCCTTATACAGATTGGCACACTGAGCCTGTGAGTCCGATGCACACGTCGAAGTCGACTTGAGCAAATCGAGCGTGCTGGTGATGGGCTGGGGACCTGGACGCCGCCCCCGCCGCGTGCCGCGCAATAACCAGGCCACCACCCCGCGATAGTCCTGCATCGCATCCGCGCCGAGCCCGAAAAACACAAAAAAGCAGAGGGAGGACATGGGCACCGCCCACCAGAGGATGTAGAGATAGTGTTTCGCCCCGGGCGAGAACTTGGCCGCGGGGAAGAGGCCGATGTTCCCGAAATCGTCGTGCACGAAGGCCCAGCTGACCCACGGCTGCAGCCCGCCGCTGTACTCGTTCGCGGCGCTGATGGACACGAGCACGGCGTTCCACGTCCCGAGGCAGAACGTCATGACCATCAGGCGGATGTAGCGCGGGGCAGTCATCGAGTCAGCGAGCCCATCGTCGCAGATCTCGACCACCTTGCGGAAGGCAAGACGGCGCCGCCAGAGTCGGACACTCGCAGATGAGCAATAAACCAGCGCCAGCGAAGCGGGAATGAATGCGGAGACGTCGAGGATGATGACAGAGGGTAGGGAGATGTAGATCGCGGGGAGGCAGCCGATGTTTTCAACAATATCGAAGCGGTGGCCTTGAACAATCACGTCTGCAATGGTGTGTCAGCCAAGGAGTGAGCCTCGAAAGCGGTTACGCACGAAGAGCCATTATGACCACTGGAAACCCCATACATAGCATGAAATCGAGCAATCGATGGGGCCAATCCGTTCCCGCACTCGGCAGTCCTCGTGCAATTCTATTAAGCCGTCGAGCCAGACACAGCACACATCCCGGCAATCCCATATCTGCCCCAATTTTGACCTTAGTAGCTGTGACACGAGGACCGAAACTGTCAGCAAGAGCCAAAAGAGACACCGGAGCACGAACAGATATCACACCACACAGGCACTACGATTTCCACGTTCCCTGCCCATACCGTGGAATTGACGGCGTAGATGAGGTTGTATGCGAGGAGCCATGCGATGATGGACCGAGTGGCGATGTTTCCGACCCGCCAGTGGTGCGGAAGCGTCGCGAGCACCAGAACGCCGGCTGCCACAGGCGCCGCCACCAATGCGCTCGGCATTGGAAGAAGATAGATAAAGGAGCGAAAAAACGAATAGCGAAGAGAGCGAAGAGCTCGCTGGCACCCCTCCAGGGCGGCGACGATCTGTGAGGGATTCCCAAGTTGTCAATCCCCCATTTGCTGATTTGAAGGGCTTTCTGATTTGAAGCGACCGCATCTTCGATGTGACCGCGGCGTGGGCTCGCTGATGAGGTCCCTTCGTCAGAGATGGATCGATGGTCGTCGAGAGCGGGAGAGAAACACTGACAGACACAGCAGTGCACAGCTTTCGGCAAAGCACCGGCATGATTGATTGGCTGATTCGCCTGCTGTCTCTTCCTGATGGTAACGGCCGCACCAGATATCGATGTCTAGTGTCTGTACAACCCGGAAGAATCGTGGGAGCATCGACGATCTCGTAGGATGAAACTGTTACTCCTTGAAACGTTCGTGATCAATACGGGAGTTGATCAGTCTTGAGCTGTAACAGATGCAGCCGCTTTGCATGATAATGCAACTTCTCAATCCATGCCAAGGGAGTTACGATTCAGCGCTATGTTGAGTAAAAGATGAACTGTCCAGAAGAATGCAACGGAATCTACGGGGTGTCATCTAGGTCAATCTAGTCGCAATCGTATAGGGAGATAAAAGCCCTGAGCAGACCACACATCACGCATTCCTTATTTTCCCTGCACAACGGCTAGCAAGCTAGTCCGCCTTAGGCCCTATATCTTATTTCTTTCTCCCTTCACTCATTTCCTTGCTGCGTTTTTTGCACCATGCGTGTCGTATCCGTCGTCCACGTCCTCTCTGCCATTGTGCTGGCGACTATCGCCGCCCCCGTCGATCCTGCCCGGCCCGCGGCACCCGTTCAATCGGTACGGACCGTTCCCCGCTGCATGTGATCGAGCTGAGACTGACTGTGCCCGGCAGCAGGTGGCAGCAGCCTCTAATGATCTGTTCTCCACACTGAGCCTTTCTGCAAGCGTGAGTGCTTACGTGACATTTTTGGCAAGAGATGTTGGAGTTGACGATTGCGTTCCGGACAGCCTGCGGCGACTCATGCGCCCATCGTTGCGGAGGCAGCTCCCGCTGCGCCGGATCCTGGCTGTATAGTTGTATAGTCGTACCCTGCAAAGAATCAATTTTTTTCACTTCGATCAGCCATGTTTTACACTCAGATGACGGATGGAATGAAAAGTGTATTGGGGGTACGAAGCGGAACTATCCGTGTTCATAATCGGACCAGACCGGATCGCGCTTCATAAACTGTGTTATCACATGATACGGCAATGGTCTAGGGTTTGGATCCGACGGTTGCTCTCAACACATCCAACGGAACACCGGTCCCGCTCTTCTTCGGTCCCATCCGACCCCATCAGCCCTCCGGATTCCTTCGTCTGTTATGATCACAGATAGCGCGTACGACTGGGCACGTCCGGCCCCCATTTCGCGTGTCGTCTTGATTAGTGCGCTTCTTTGAGCACCACGGGACGTTGAGAATCTTATCTTGCGCGCCCGGGTACGAAATTCTGGAGTATGATAAGATGGGTGTATGTCCCGATGTATCCTTCGAGTTTGCGGAGACCGAGGAGTACTAGCATCCGGATAGTTTTATGTGAACGCAGCGTGAGGCTGGCGTGCGCTTGACGGACGAGTGTGCACGCCTGACTGGCTTCCATAACATTCCATCACCCACGAGACCGCTGACCATGGGCGCCTTTTCCGTGCAGGCGCACGACGAGGGATCGCGTTCGACCCCGGCAGTCCCATTTTGCGGGTATATCCCCCGAGATCAGATAGCGAACCCGCGGATCGGCAGCTTCTCGCACATGCAGCCTACACCTCACGCGACCGCAATCCTTATAACGAGCCCAGCCCGTGGAGGCGCCCCTGCTTTTTGTCCGCGTCCTCGATTTGTTACTCGACGAGATGTTCGGAAATCGCTTTTTTGCGCTGCTGGCCTCTCTTGCTGTGGTGCGCGCGGCCACGTACAACGTGACGCTGGGTACTGGAGGGCATGCGGTAGCGAGCACGCTCTATGGGATGATGTACGAGGTGTGTTCGCAACGATGGTGTGGGCCTCTTCCCCGTTCGAGCTGACGGGCATTCTGCCAGGATATCAGTGTGAGTTTTCCTCCTAAAGCTGCCTAGTTCATGGACTGATCTCCGCCTCCACAGCATGTACGTCACATTTCTAGTATTTGCTTACCGCTGCGAGATTCTCAACGCTATGGATCAGAGCGGGGACGGCGGGTTGTATGCAGAGCTGCTCCAGAACCGGGCGTTCCAGCAAGTCACACCTGGCTCTGCGGCTTCGCTGACTGCCTGGGCCGGGCTGAACAACGACTCCCAGATTGTCGTGGTCGCACCGGACGTGCCGGTCTCGAGCGCGCTTCCAAACGCTCTGGCGCTGACCACCACCTCCGGAACGACCTCGGCCGTCGGGATCACCAACTCAGGATACTTCGGTGCGTTTCAAAGCGCTGGGTAGGCAGAGCTCGCAAATGCTTATTCGTTCATCCTTCACCAGGCATTAACGTCCAGAAAAACTGGACATACCATGGATCGTTTTACTTCCGCTTCCCATCCGCACCGAGCACACCCGTCAAAGGTGTCTTTACGGTCGGGTTCCTCGACTCGACGGGCAACGCCGTCGCGAAGTCAACACACGCTTTTACCTCCTCCTCGAACTGGCAGCAGATCACGTTCTGGTTCACCCCGTCCTCAACGCCGAGCGGGTCTGGGAACCTGTTTTACGTGCAGCTCCCCGGCGCAGCTGTCGCCAGCGGCGGAGGCACGGTGCAGTTCGGGATGCTTTCTTGTTTCCCGCCGACGTTCAAGAACCGGGTGAATGGCATGCGCATGGATATCAGCAATGCGCTGAAGGCGATGAATCCGTCGTTCTTCCGCTTCCCCGGTGGAAATAGTAAGTCTTTTCGAGCGCTCGAATTTGGCGGGGAGTTGACGGTTCGTTCCAGACCTTGAAGGACAGACTGCGTCCGATCGGTGGATCTGGAGCAACACGGTCGGCAATGTCGAGGACCGGCCCGGCCGTAACGGTGACTGGGTATGTCTTCTCCTCCCTTCTATTCAAGCATTCAACTTGTCTGCGACAAGGGATATCCTAACACTGACGGGCTGGGATTGTACGAGTATCTCCTCTGGATAGAGGATATGGGAATCGAGCCGATTATGGCGGTTTGGGCCGGTGAGTGCCCCGCCTCTCCCCTAGCCTGTCTCATCATCGTCGTTAGGATTCACACTCGATGGGACCGCGCTCCCTGCCTCGGCCCTAGGCCCTTACATCCAAGAAGCAATCAATCAGATTGAGTTTGCTATCGGAGACGCGTCGACGAATCAATACGGTGCGCATGAATCTTCCTTGAAGATACCGACGCATATCCATCATTCCTCCCCAGCGGCCATCCGTGCGAGCATGGGCCACCCCGCTCCGTTTGCGTTGACGTACATCGAGATCGGCAACGAAGACTTTTTCGATCCGGCGACGTACGACGGCTACCGTTGGACTGCATTCTACAACGCGCTGAACGCCCAGTTCCCCAAACTCAGTGCGTGTGATTCGAGCGAACTCCATATGTCATACTAATGATTCGCAGAATACATCGCCACCAGCGCGACGAGCGGTAGTGTCCCGGCAGTGACAGGATCGTCTCCCCAGTACTGGGATCTGCACGAGTACAATAACCCCAGTGAGTTTGAGTTGATTTGTTTCTTTGGGTTTAGCCCATGTTCACCCCTTGCGCACAGACTTCTTTACTTTCGGATCTTATAACTTCGACTACCTACTCCGCAACGGGCTGCAGTTTTTCCAGGTGTGTGGCAGCCCAAGATGGTAAAAACCGGTCTCAAATTCTCTTGCAGGGCGAGTACGCTGTGACGACGATGAACAACGGGGTGGGAGTCCCATATCCGTTCATCGACGGTGAGCAACTTTGCAACTGTAAGAGTCTATTTAAGACTGGACAGGCTCTATCGCGGAGGCTGCTTATATGACCGGGTTTGATCGAAACAGCGACATCGTCTTCGCTGCGGCCTATGCTCCGCTGCTGAATGTGAGCCATATTTATGCATGTTGCATTGGTCTGATGGTCCTTCAAAGCACGTTTCAAGCACACAGTGGGTGAGTCTTCAGCGATAATGAGCTGGAAAAGGAAGTAATCAGCATTTGCAGACACCCAATCTCATCACCCACACGCCGAACTCTTTGATCCTGTCCACCTCGTATTACGTGCAGCAGGTTAGATCCTCGAGGTGAATCAAGGTCCTTGCATCGACTGACTTGAAACAGATGTTCGGGCTATACACTGGCGACACGTACCTGAACTCAACCACCAACGTCGCGGCTACTCCCGTCCAGTGGAGTGTCACCAAGAACACTAAAGCCAATCTGCTCTATCTCAAGGTCGCGTGGCATCCTTTGTTATTGATCGCCTAATCTAATCTAATCTTACCTCGTGTAGGCGGTGAACACGGGCACCAGCGCAAATACAATCGTGTTCAACTTGCCCTCAAGCTTTACGATCTTGTCCACTGCGGGGACTGGAACAGTGCTGACTGCACCTTCGGGCACAATGAACACGCCAGCGAGCCCGAGTGCGGCTGTGCCTAAGACCTTCACGTTCACTGCTGGGAAATCCATTTCGTACGACACCCCGGCGCTGAGTGCGAGTGTTTTGATTGTCAAGGCCCGATAGACTCGTCGACTGTACGATGTATTATATACCTGTGCGATACTGTTCACTGATCATGTGACTGTGGAAAGAATTTCGGGTATCTCCGATGCTCCTCGTCCCTGACGTATGTCAATCTTGGCCCTGATGCATGCAGATGCACTTGAGTCCACAGACCCCCTTCACCCGCTCTCATCATGCCCATCTCATTCAAAGTCGCTGATCATCCCACGGAGAGTGTCAATGGTGAATCGCTTGTGGGACCATCTGCCGCCGACATCCTGCACGATATCACCGGCAAGAGGAAGGAGAGCCAGGTGAAGGAGCTGTTCCAGTACGGGCTTAGTGGTACCCCATCTTCCTCGTGCGTCCACTCCCGTAACGCTCCGGAGTTTCCTGCTCAGCACCTACCCCAGCTCCCGTGACCTCACCGCCGCGCACCTCACGCTAATCCCGGCGACCAACGGCTTCGTCGGCAGCGTCATGCGTGCTTACAACGACCACCACGCGCTCGTCCTGCGCCCAGACGACGTCTGGCTCGCTGTCCTCTCGCAGTTCAGCTTCTTCGTTTCTGGACGCTCGGAGGCCCTGCGCGCGGCGTTCGTGCCACACGAGGACCGCAAGCCGCTCGTCGTGCGGTGTGTGGGGTCGCGGCACACTGTCGACTTCGCGCGTCTCGCGCGGCAGATGGTCGACGCCATCGACGAGTGTGTCGTAGATCCGGCTCTGCGCGCGTGGATGATGCCGGCGTTCTCGACGACCACGGACACGGACCGGACGGTTGCCGCGGTGCTGGGGATGGCGACGCTTAAGGACTACTTCACGTACGAGTTCTACTTGACGAGGTGTGGAATCCCGCGTGTAACGCTCGAGGGGGAGAAAGCGGATTGGGAGGAGATGCTGCGCCGGGTGGAGAAGCTGAAGGAGTACGGGGTGGAAGCCATCGCGTGGTACCACCTACTGCGGCCGGTCTTGGCGCGATTCGCGGCTGCTTTTGACGATCCGGAGAGCCAAGACAATGTCCTGTTCTGGGAGAACGTCGCAAGTCGGCTCCGCCTCGGAAGCGGTGTCCGGTACTATGACGGCTGGATCAACGCGTTTTGTGTCTTCGACCAGAAGGGAAACTGGAATGGCGCCCCTTTGGCTCTGGTCTGTGCTGTCTTTTTGCTCTGCTGTATTGCGCTCATCTTTTTCCTCGTAGGATGTCACCAGCGTGCACTCTCCGGACTTGCTCTCCGCGAAAGACTTCTGGGCGACGTATGGCTGTGCGCCCACTCGCTCGACCCAGCCTCTCGTGCTTGACGACACCCCCTACCATGCCGTCAATACGAATCTCGTCCCCCTCGGCTACGCACGGGTCGATGTAAAGGTCAGCGAGGAGGACAGGCTGCGAGAGTACGACTGCGAGATGGTGGCGGGGGTCGTTGCTACACGGGTCAGTGGGACGGCGAACGAGATGGTGAGTCCAGTGGGAGGGTGGTGGCTCTACGAGAAGGCTTGAGATTCTTTCTTGAACTGCCCGCCGTCCCACTGCGAATTCTGGTATCAGGGGAGGGACCATCTTCGGACAGTACGACTCACATGCAATGCATCTGTCCTCTCTCGCCAATTCGCTCCGAAATCTAAACATCGTTTCCTGGGGTCAAATGCCGCACGCTGTGTCCCTCCAGTGTCGAGTCTATCCTCCAAAGATTTCATCGCCGAGACTGCTTCGAATTGAATCGGAAGAAACGCATCAAAGTCGGGAGGCATGCTCACTGCAATGCAGCATGCACTTCTTTCCTGCATGACGTCGACAATCACGCAATGGCTAAAAGTACTTTGAGAACTAGCATCGCCTTACAAGAAAGGCAGTCCCATTGATGTGTTGCAGTGTTGAGTGATCATGTGCATCCTGTATAACGCAACATGGAACATGCAATGAGGCATAGAGCTCTGTGGCAAAACAATTGCTGTGTCTTAAAAAAAATGGATGTGGGACCACTTGCAGACTTGTGCGGGCAAGGGCCCGCCATTGTCTTGAACGATTTTGATGGAATATTTCGGTGCATCCACGCGCAGACCACTTTGATCAATGCCATGTCATGTAATTTGCATCAAAGGGGAGACAACTAGGTTCTGATTTGATTTTTATAACAACAGGCAGATGACCCCAAACACTTGGATCTTAGGCAAATATGGCCCTATTCTCCACTCAGACTGTATGATGGGTAATTTAGCAGATGAGAAAAGATGTTGGGGACTTCATGGACTGAATTTTGAGAAGATTAGTGTGGTATCTGCATACAAATCCTTCAAAAAATTGTAGAGTTGAAGCTAGGGCGTTGGGCTTTACATCAGCGGCCCAAGACTAAGACTTCTCCGGCCCACCATCAGTTTTGTCGCGGTGGTATCTTACCCTGGGGATTCCGCGATTCCCCTGTTGGGTGATAAGGATTGTCGGTGGTAGAGGAGCCTATCCATCAGGTTCGAACCAGCCATCAGTTTGGAGGCGATGCATCTCCCTATCACACGGATCTACCGCGGAAGTTGCCAGATCCGAGACATGTGTACCACCAGAAACTTCGACGGTTCCCGTCGCCCTTCTGGTTTCGATGGACTTACGATACGAGGCAACAATGATCATGAGGATACAAGAGCGATGTTCGTCGTTTTATGGGTTCGGCTTTGGCCGATCGCCGCGAGGAACACTATTCCGAATTGCTTAGTGCGACAAAAAGCTGGATTGTGATGGCGCAACCACCAGAGTGTGAGGTTGAGATGTTCCTCAGAAATTTGTGACGCGGTGAACCGCACAAGGAAGTGGGCACAGACACTGAGGCAATTCGTTCAAGCGTTCGGGTATCAGTAGTTGCACTTCTTCCGCAGTCTCGCCCCGTTATATCCTTTCCGCAGTCTCATTAATTCGATCCCGGGAACGCAATGAATACCGGCCGAGAATCCGCGTCGTTGGTCATTCCCTCCGTCTCTGAGTCCAGTCTACCAGCAAAAGAAGCAAGGAGCGAGAAATGGCTGCCAGCTCGGCGTGGAATGATAAAATCGGTTGCGGCACGCTTTTTGAAGAGGTATGAGAGCAGCTAAGCTGCCTCACAAACAGGCTTGGCAATTCGAAAATGGCTCTTTGGTCCCCTGAATATCCTTATCTGGCACAGCAATGCCCTCCGTCATCGAAATCACAAGCAGCCAGCTGATTTGCCAGGTTAGAAGCAAGCTGAACTGTAACTGACGCGATATTCGTCTGGGACCCGATTGAAGGATCGTCTGGATGCTTGTCTCTTTACACCGGGACTCTATAAATGCTGCGTTCAAACTCACTCGAGAGACACAACCAACATATCTCTTTCGTTCTCAGATGCTTCTTTCTTTCCGAACGCTCATTTTTCTCGCTTCAGCAGCGCGAATCGTTTCCGCCGCGACGGTGGGACCGATTGGTTCACTCGTAGTGGCCAACGCAACGATTTCTCCCGACGGTATTCCCCGAGCCGCTGTGCTGGCTGGGGGCACCTTCCCTGGCACGCTCGTCACCGGCAACATCGGCGACAACTTTCAGCTCACGGTCGTTGACCAACAGGAGGACAACCGCATGCTCGAGCCGACATCCATCGTGAGCTGGACCCCGTGCTCTCTTGATCGCACCGCTAACGACCCACTCCACCTTTGCAGCACTGGCATGGACTGTTCCAGAACGGGACAAACTACATGGATGGTCCCGCGTTCATTAACCAGTGCCCGATCTCGCCTGGAAACTCGTTCACATACGACTTTACTGCTTTGCAGTCGGGGTATGTGGCATTTGCCATCGCTGCCGAGCGACGCTCTGAATAAAATTGGACAGAACTTATTGGTATCACTCTCACCTCGCCACTCAGTACTGCGATGGTCTGCGTGGCGCAATGGTCATCTACGATCCGGCAGACGCGTATCTCTCTCAGTACGACGTCGACGACGAGTCGACGGTGATCACTCTTTCCGACTGGTACAACGTCTTTGCTGAGACTGTGACCGGTGTCGGGTGAGTGGCATTTGTTCAAAAAAAGAGCGAATCAGATGCTGATGGCTCAACTGCGCAGCACGCCCTCTTCGATGCTCATCAACGGTCTCGGACGTACCGCTGCGACGCTCGACAACACAACCCTCGCTGTGATCAACGTGACGCAAGGTTTGCGCTACCGGTTCCGCTTGGTCAACACCGCATGCGACTCGAACTATGTGTTCCAAATCGACGGCCACACGAATCTGACGATCATCGAGGCCGATGGTGTCCTTCACGAGCCGTTGAGCGTCGACTCGATCCAGATCTATGCGGGTGAGCTTTCCTCCGACCTGGTGCGCCGGGAAACAGTCCGTGAATGAACATGTCTCCAGCCCAACGCTATTCGTTCATCTTGACTGCCGATCAGGCCATCGACAACTATTGGATCCGCGCCGATCCGAACACCGGTCCCACCGGCTTCACCGGCGGCATCAACTCTGCGATCCTCCGCTGTGAGTCGGAGTCATGCAAAAGATATCTATCTGCCATTCTGATCTTGATCTTTCCAGACGTAGGAGCCAACGCATCGGAGCCCACTACCTCGCAAGACACTTCGACCAACGGACTGATCAACGAGGTCGACCTGCACCCGCTGGTGAACCCTGGTGCTCCCGGCGGTGCGTTCATCGGTGGTGCTGATGTGCAGTTGAACATGGATTTGGCGTTCGACTTGGTGCGCTCATCAACAAGAATTGCACCATTTTGAATTCGATCGCTGACAATTATCCAGACCACCTTCAAGTTCACGATCAATGGCGACGCCTTCGTTCCACCCACTGTTCCTGTTCTCCTCCAGATTCTGTCCGGCGCCCAGTCCGCGCAGTCGCTGCTGCCCAACGGCTCGGTGTACTCGCTCCCGCACTTTGCGACGGTCGAAATCACGCTCGCGGGAGGTGTGGTCGGTGGTGGCGTCAGTTCTTGATACTCCACGCGCGTTCTCTGCGGGCTCATGCTTTCTCCACAGCACCCATTCCATTTGCACGGACACACCTTTGATGTCATCCGGGCTGCCGGAAGCACGACCTACAACTACGTGAACCCGGCCCGCCGCGATGTCGTCAACATCGGAGTCGCTGGCGACAATGTCACGATCCGTTTCTACACGGACAACCGCGGACGTGAGTCTCAACTTGGCGCTTCTTCTAACGCTTGATGGCTGATCGTTTTTTTTTCTCACCAGCGTGGTTCCTGCATTGCCACATCGACTGGCATTTGGAGGCTGGCTTCGCGGTTGTGATGGCCGAAGATGTGGCTGACTGGGTGTCGGAGCTGGTCCCGACATCGGAGTGGAACCAGCTGTGTCCGACCTACAACGCGCTGCCAGCTTCGATCACGTCTCTTGCTGCTTGAGCGTCGACGGTCTCTGACTTTTGCAGTGATACTGTCTTTACTGTCTAAATTTACTTCGATAGGATATTTCTTGGACTTTAAAAATGACCAATCCTCTTTGTAATGTTGATATCTGCTGATGGGCCTTTTCAGTGGTTGCTAAATGTAGCCTCAATGGATGACCTTTGTCTGTGCAGCATGTATCTCAGATGTCTTCTTTGTTCCCTGCACAATCTTATCCCTGTGAGGAAATTTAGCTGGCCTATTGCCACATGGAGGGCTCTCTCCACAGCAGAGGGGTTTCACTGGAATTGGAAGAAGCTGGGCAACTTGCTTCATTCTGAATGGTTTTGGACACAATTGTGGTACTTTGAAGGTTTTATTGTTCTTGAATGATCATTTATAACAGACAACTTTCTCTCCTCGGATCAGAATATTTGAGTTACTAGCTTCTTCAGGAGATAAGGCTCCAACCATTTTGTTTTTGTTTACGGGTGGCCATAAAATAAACAGAAACAGTATTTAAACATTTATAAACAGTTTAAACCGTTTAAAACGGTTGCTAAACAATCTTTTTTTTGGTACAGAACTTGTATGCTGATGATGTACAAGTAATCTGCAAAGGTAATACAACAGACTACAGTTGGATATAGCCGGCCTTGAGCCACATCTTTGTCAACATCGCCTCCTTGATTGTCGAGGCCTTGAGGGAGCTACGGGTGTCCTGGCACACATTCCGGGCTTGAGAGAACAACCTCTCAACCGAAACACTGGTCCCGGGTATGGCTAGGAAGTCGCGTGCCATACGCGAGGCGACTGGGAAGTGTGTCCCGAACTCCTGTGTGTCCATCACTCACGTGCACAACGAGCCAATTAGAAGACGGACCTTCCACCACAGTAACGGTTTCTGAGCGTCGCCAGCACCATAGACCTGAGCTGCACACCAGAACTCATTCAGTTCGTCTCGAGTGACCCTGGGCTGGGCCTCATTCCGCGAGTTTGACGCAACCCGAGCAACAATCTGACTTGTGAGACTGGACGGGTTAGCCACAGGTGGCGGCGGTGCACTCTTCGCCGCCTCCATTTTCTCGCTGTCGTACGCACGCTGATAGCTGCGAAAGGCATGCTCAAAGAGGGTCGTGGCATGCTTCACCAAATCCCAGCTTGTCTGCTTGCGTGTTGCCCGATCTGCATCGACCGCAGCAAAGAAACCGAGCCCAAGGGATGGGTGTAGCACTGTGAGCAACATGAGAGCGGACCTGGAGATCAAAGTTTGTTCGTACATGTTGCGATCACGTTGAACTGATTGGCCTGCGCCTTCGGATAATACTCGTTCAGCTTCGTCAGCCCTGCGCCGGCGGCGACACGCAGAACCTCGGGGTAAGAGATGTTGTCACGAGCGTTCTCCAGGTGGGTCAGCATTGTGTCGTACATTGGAAGGACCCAGGGCAGTGTCGGGGTGGAACGCTTAGACATCTGAAGCGTCACCGCCGTGAACAGCTGGAGTACGTTGAGTACATGAGCATACAATGGGTTCCGGCTCACCTTGAGGAGCTTTCCTAGACTCTCAAGAAGATCCCAGTCAGAATTGCTCAGTAATAGCGGTCGAAGTTCTCGCCGCTCAAAAACCCACGCGTCAATGGCCTCGGAGAGCGTTCGATGAGTATGACAGGTCACAAATATGAGAACAAAACACACCTCTCGCAGAAGGAGACCCCGCGTGATCATGGCTTCGGTCGAGTTCCAGCGATGACGGACATCACGAATGACCATGAGTGTCGAAACGAGTGCGCCACGCTCATTGCGGCTAGTAGTATACTTTGTCTGTGTAATCAAACGAAAACGGGCTCGGCGCTGCGGTGACGAACATATCTTGACGCAGAGGTATCGGAGCTGTGAGAGTGTCGATGTCAGATGGTTGTATCAGGGGCAAAGCAGATTCACATACCCGGCGCAGCGCAGAGAGCTCCCGCAGCTCATCTCCCAGCTTGTACATGACATCCATGTTGAAGCTTGTTTGGTGCCACGACGACAACTTGCCACATGTCAGGATCCATTCGATCACGGGACATTGTGGACGTGTTGCGGTGACACTTCCAAGTGTCACGGCGAGTCGCGTCCATACCCAAACACACTAAAATCAATACGGCTAGATCCGTGAACCAAACCATGTGAGGAACGTCTGGCGTGCCTAGGACCATACAGCTTCTTGGGGCACCCACATTGGACTCACTCGCCAAGACATACCCGTTGGCCAATCTAACACGCCCTATGTTGAAGCTTGTTTGTATTAGCGACTATCACAGTATGTAGACATGACATCATAAGTAGTATTCTTAGATTACTTTGGCTCGCTCCACAATGACCTCATACCTGACCTCATTATTGCGTCATCCATTACTCATCTATGATATCATTACATCACTATGACATCATGATATCTGCTCCAGACTGGTATATAAACCTAGTACTATACGCTCCATATCCTCAGCTCCTGTGTCTTACACTCGCTGAGGTATGCATTCTCCCTTACGATCTAATGACCCTTACTTATGACTTGTACCACAGACTCTGTGTCTTTAGGTACAGCTAATGCTTAGCTCCTGTGTCTTACACTCGCTGAGACTCTGTGTCTTTAGGTGATCGCTACTGGTCGTATCTCCACTGCGCGGTATTGTCTGCGACAGGTTATGGGCCCCGACTGAACCACTAGCGGCAAATCAAGAAACATCGAACTACTCCCTTTACTAAGGCGAGTATCTTTCACTCGTTCAGCCCTTCTAGAGCGCCGACTTTGTGCGCTCGTCCCACTTGCTGGATGTCGGTCCTCGCATTTGTGCTCTCACCCTCAAGGGGTTACGCGAGCGGCGTCAGGGAGTCATTCAGTTGGCAGACGCGCCGTTAGCTATTCCGTCCATGATTGCTCGCGCGCGTTTTACGTTACATCTTTTTATTGTACAGCGGACATACCCACCAGGCACTGGTCCTTTGGTCAATCCCACTCCTGAACCTTGCGCGAAGCGCCTAGGTGGTGTGGTAGCTCTCAACAGCTGCTGGAGGTCAATCCCTCCGCCAGGCAAAACAATCCTTCGGGGTTGACTCGCATTCCTCACAAGGGACCCTGCGGGCTGGTGACACTACGAGGATTCATGCAATGACGCTCTGCGTGTACTGTAAGTGAGTGTACCGATGCAACGCTAACGCTAACGCTCACCTCGGTCGCGTCGCCTGGGGCAGACTGAGTAACGCGTAACACATGGTCTGGTCGCCATCTTGCGGGCGTTACTATTTACATAATAAAATCATATTTTCTGTACGAAATAAAATTGAATACTTAATTGATTTCTACTCGCTCGAATCCTCTTCTGTAGGTGGTCCCGCTACTGCCCACTTCTCTCCCTTGTCGTTGTAGGCCCAAATGTTCTCCTCATCCCGGTTAGAACTCAATGTAGTAGTTCCTTCGTCGCCGTCACTGGCCTTGGGCTCAGAATCCGAGAATACATGTTGAATGACAGCTTCAACAGGAACGTCGGCATCATCTGAGATGCCATCTCCATGGCCATCAGCATCAAGATCGCCCTCTGGAACATCTTGTCGGTTGGCGGGAAGATCATTGGGAAGCAGAGGCAGATTGACAGATCCACAACGAGCTTTGATTTCCTCCGCAAGAATACGATCTGTCTTGAGATATTCACGGAGTGCCTTGCGAGAGGTGCGACTTGTCAAAGTCTCATATGATAAGTTGTAGGTCTTCTCTGGAACGATGCACTTGGCCCATGCTTGTTTGATAAGATCGTGTCCGGCAGATGTCTTGAACCAATCATAAAGATCAACGCAAGGACGAACAGAGGCATCACGAAGCACGGGCAATGAAGAGGAGAATTTGACGTCCTCGGGCTTGATGCCTGCTGCACTCTGGGATTGGTAAGCTCGGACAAGGAACTCCATGAGTCCTTGTCGTAGCTTGTGTTTGGCAACACGCTGAATACCAACATCTTGAGGCTGGAGCAATCCCGTGCAGTTTCCCGGGACGTAGATGAGGATAAGGTTTGGGAACTGCTGATGAAGGAACTCTCGAAGCTCAGTGGATGTATGGACAGGATAAATGTCATAATACACAATCCACTTTTGATCCTCATCCAGATCGTCATCTGCCGCGATGACAGAATCCACATAAGACTGGAAGATCTGCTTGAACAATTCCTTCATAGTTTTGATGGTGCTGAAGTGGCTGGTGCGCTTGTCACTAGCAGCAAATGTAAAATGGAATCCTCGAGTCTTGCCATCAGCAAACCCGTCGGCAGTGGCCTTCGGGAGAGAACGATTGGTAGCCCCGCCCCATACCTGCTCGAGTGGAAGGATAGATCCATCACAAGCAGTTGCAATTCCAAGTGTATAGGCCCGTTTTTCGTCCTTCGCCACAACAGAGACCTGCTTCGCACCCCTTTGCTCAAATGTCTGGCTGTTATTCGGCAGCAGGTACATCCCGGTCTGATCATAATTGATGATGAGCTTAGCGGGGATGTGCTCAGACTCGATGGCATGAACCAGACGGAAGAATGTGCGCTCACAAAGCTCTGATGCATTATCCGGGATATGTTTTGCTGCCCGGGTGGCAGCTCGGGTTGACCAGTCGAGGGTGCTTTCAAGGAAGGACCGCACAAATCTCTCGGAGCAGTGGAATCGAGATGTTAAGATTTCCGGCTTCATCTCGGTCATGATGGCCATCATGATAGAACGAGCAATCACAATGTTAACGGCGCATCCTGCCAGTCGCAGACCTCGAAGAGTATCCACAATCTTTTGGACTACCTCCCGGTGAGGCGTCAGAACTCCAACTCGTCCGCTGCCTGCAAGTGTCCGCTCAGCCTTGACTCGAGCAAGAACATTTGCGGTGAATCGCTTTTCGCCCTGAACAATCCACCGGTGGATGGTGCCTCGATGAATCCGGTTGCTGGGGGCATCAAAAAGGGACGGATATTTTGCTCGGAGATATTTTGCTGCTGCTTCTGCTGACCACAAATTTACCCGGACCGCATAGGCAATCAGGACCCAGAGGAACGGATGCTGCCAAAAGACTCGCTTCGAGACTTGATTCTTCACCACGCCGTGCTTGGTGCCATTTCTCCTCAGTTTCCAATCACTGGTAGCGGCTCGCAAAATCTCTGCAACACTTGATATCGCAGGGTCAGCCTGAGCTGAGCTGCTTCCAGGAACATCCATCAACACATCGTTTATGGTTGGTGTGGCAGCGGTGGCGGCAGCGGCAGCGGCGGCCTCCTTCTTCTTTTTCTCGCGCTCTCGAAAGAGCCTCTGTCGCTCGCGGTTCTGCTCCCGAGCACGCTCTGCTTTTGCTTCCTCAACACGTTTAGCTTCCTCTGCTGCTATTTTTCGCTTCTCTTCTGTGTCAACACGAGCCTTCGCCCAATATCGAGCAATATCTTCGGCAGATGCAGCGGGTTTGAAAGCAAAACTCTCGAGAGTTCCGGTTTTCTTTGTCACTACTCCAGAAGACTGACTGGGAGCACGGGTGGCTGCTGCGTCACTGAGAAATAGAGGAATCGTTGGTTGTCTTTTAGGGGGTCCGGCTGCAATTGTGAAAGGATTCTTCTCCTGTCCTGAGTGAGTGGCTTGCCTAGGACCGAGCAGAGGCAGAACTGACCTTCAAGGAACCTGTTCCGACACGCCGAATCTTCTTTGGCGGCGGTGGCTTTTCAACAATAGTAATCTCGTTCACATCATCCTCTTCCGCATTCTCCGAATTGAACTGAGACTCTTCAGCGTCATCAGTCAGGTGTTCTGCGCCTCGTTTTGTGGCTGTCACGCCTGCTGGTATCTTGGCTCCAGAAGCAATCGCACCGTTGATCAGCCTCTCCAGCCATGCGCTCTGGAAACTTGTGCGTTCATCTTCAGTCATCCACTTGACTGCTGTCTTGAGGACGGAGATGAGGGGCGCTAGACATGCTCCTCGCTGGCGGAACAGGATTGGACCACCTTGAGGCAGCTTGTGGGTCTCAAACGAGATTTCAATTAGATGGCTGACTTCTCCGAAGTATCCTCTATCATCGAGCCTTTCTGCGTCGAAATAGAAGTGATATGGAGACTCGGGAAGACTCTCGGGCAAGGAATTTGGAAGGCCAGAAAGGAGGGATTTGAGGTGCTGGATGCGTGCAATCAGTGCGCGAGATGGCCCAGTGACTGTTCTGTTTTGTTTCGGAGGCATAGGTACAGCAGCGTGCGTCAGGGTACTATTGCAAGACACTCTAAATACTTTTTTTCATTATCCATGGTGCTTGGGCCATTGACCGAACTCAAAACTTTATATTGTTCGACAATTGGGGAATCACACATGATCGTGTTGGTCGCGTAACAATGCGACGGTAACGCTAACGCCAGCCCCCGTCGCATGTGTCAAGCCATCGCGTAACGTAACGGTGCCCGGGCCCGTTACATCAGTACACTCACTTACAGTATGCATGTCTTTAAAAGGGAGAAGATGGGCGGCCAAACCCGGTGCTTGGGACGGCCTTGGGCACGTGTCCCTTGGCCAGTGACGGACTGCGAGGGCAGTAATCACCGTCGGGTACTGCCGCCGCTGACGTATATAGTTACGTTACTTTGATACAAATATGGGCACTTACTATACCGCTGTATTTCGTTATCATTCCCCGCGCGTATATGGGCATCATGGATGGGATGGGGACGCTTGGTCGTTCTTGTTTCAGAGATTAGGCACTTGGGATTTGTTTCTTGGTCTGCAGAGAATCTGGGGCTGACTTCGTCGCTCTAGTCTCCATCTCTATCACCCTGTCATCACCAGACGACCCTCCCGTTGGGGTTATCCTATTTCCTGTTGTCCGTTGGGCTCAGGGACCTTCTTACACGGCCCTTCAAGACACCGATTGGGAAGACCTATACGAACTTGGTGAACACAACAACGAAGATCTATTTCACCATCAGGACAATTGGACTCCTGAACTTCGTTCCCTATTCGGTGATCCTCCCTATATCGAATTCCCCTCTCTTCACTACCAAACCGCCGACGTTATCGAGTATCTCCCCACCATGTCGGGAATCGAGAAACTCAACAACTCCATTCTGAGTGTCTTCGATGGCACCAATTGGAATACGTGGTCGGACAACTACATGAGCATCTGCATGCATCAGGGCACCTGGGGAGTGGTTAAACCCACTCATATTATGGTTAACGGCATATCTACCTCGAACCCTGGTTCTATGGAGCGTCCTGGAACGGCTGGTGACAGCCAATATCAATGGGACGTTGCCAATGAAAAGGCATTGGGTCTTGCGCGGGTTTATATCACCCAGAATCTGCGCAAGGGAATCTTTATGGACGGTCAGCGGGAGCGCACTGCGCGCGAGGTTTTTTCGAAGATGGCGACGGATTATGGCCAACCAAATGCCATCGATGCTTTCGTCGAGTACCGCCTCCTGAACACCACCACCTTCCATGGTGGTGATACCATTGAAAAGCAAATCATGGAAATGGAGACTCGTCGTTGCCAGTGTTCGGAAGGAGGAATCGAGATCCCCGACTACCTCTTCGCAACTCTAATGCTCGCCGCTTTGCCCGCTTCCAGCAGAGGTCTTGTCACCTCTTACCTGGCCAATCGTCCTATCGCTTCTCTGAACCCAGTCGATGTGAAGAACAGCGTCATAGGGAATATCAAGATCGAGAACCTCGACACGACGTCAAACTCGAAGATTTCCACCGTTCCGTCCCTCGCCACCCGCTCCACTCATTGCAACAAGTCCGGTCACGTTGCGGCATCCTGCTACAAGAAGTATCCCAACCTCAAGCCGACTGGTCAATCTTCTGACAAAGGCAAGGGGAAGCAGGATGAGGGGAAGAAGAAAAAGAAGAAGGAAAAGAAGAGCGGTGATGGTACTAGCGCTGTAAACAAAGAAGTTGTAGCCGCTCCAGCGGTTGCAGCTGCCTCCAATGGAATGCACATTTCATCCTATCTCATGAGTGACTCCCTCAAACACATCAATGATGGAATTTTTGTTGAAGAAATGGGAGACGACTCCAAAGTTTGTTTTCTATGGGACTCGGGTTGTACGCATCATATGACAAACACCCGATCCGATCTTCACAACATCAGACCTATCGACACCTATGTAATTGTTGGGTCGGGAGCTCGCTTCAAGAATGAAGCCGTTGGAGATATTGTGTTGCGGGGTCATACTAGTAATGGCATTGACTACACCTTCACGCTGAAGGATGTCATCTACAACCCGCACATAAGAGGGCGTTACCTTTCTGGGTATGCGCTCGATCAGGCTGGTTACTACACCGTGGTTGGTGACAACAAGGCAATCCTAGTCACCAAGGATTGGCTCAACAAGGGAAAAGCGCAAGGGGATGTCTTGATGACCTTTAAAGCAAGCAATCGCTGCTACTGGTACTACCCCGAGGAGCTCGTGGCACCATCTGTGTCTGCATCTCACGAGTCTACCGCGCTCGCTTCCCTGGAAACTACCAATCGTGAATTGTGGCATAAGCGTTTTGGTCATGCGGCTCGGAGGACCCTTTCTCACTTGCCGACACAAGTTGAAGGTGTTCCCCCCTTGCGACGCAATAAAGACCAGCGCGGCATGTGCGATGGATGTATGCTTGGAAAACAGCACAAGCATCCGTACCCTGCATCAGAGAAACGTGCTAGCAAACCCCTCGAGCTTATCCACACTGATTTGATGGGCCCCTGGCCGACTCAGTCGTTGGAAGGTTCACGCTACACAATTTCGTTCTATGACGATTTCTCGAGCTTTGGCATGATGGTGTTCATTAAATCAAAGGACCAAGCCTCTACTGCGATTAAAAACTTTGTTGCCCTTACAGAGCGTCAGCTTGGCACAAAAGTACTGGCCTTCCGGTCAGATCGTGGAGGCAAATATATGTCCAATGAACTCACAGCCTGGCTCAATGCACGTGGTATTATGCACCCTAAGTCCGCGCCACGCAAACCACAGCAAAATGGGAGGTCTGAACGTTGGAATCGCACAGCCTACGAGAAAGCGGAATGCATGCGCCTCAATGCCGGCCTATCCAAAGGCTTCTGGCAATGTGCTATGGATGCATCTGTCCACGTTCATAATAGACAACCTATGGCACGATTGGGATGGCGAACACCTGCGGAACTGTGGCTTAGAAAGAAGCCAGACGTCTCTTATTTCCGTGTGTTTGGATGCAAGGCGTCTCTCTATGTGGATGTTGAAAAACGCCCGAAAGGGTTGGAGCATGGACGCCCCGACCACATCTTCGTTGGATACGAACGAGAGACAAAAGCTTGGAAAGTGTGGGATCCGAATCAACGCAAGATACGAATCTCCTCAAACGTCGAGTTCGATGAGCGAGTATTCCCTGCCAAGTCCAAGCTAGTCACCGGCAATGTGTTCTCTGGACCGGAGCCGTTCACACCATTCGAGGAAACCTTCCCTGACCTTATCAATAATCCTGCGCCTGCAACGCCTTATGCAAGCATACCACCCCCTGCTCTTCCACCGCCCCCGGCACCCCTCGCGCAACAAGGTCCTGTCACGGGATTGCGAGAAGTACCCCCAATGCCTGGCCCGATAGACGATCGCCCAATTGCCCATCGCCGCCCTCGTCGGAATAAGCCCCGCATTATGCCAGATGGAACTACATATCAGAGGCTTAGCAGCATTGAGTCCATGTTATCAGCTGCCCAAGCTGAGCATGACTTGCCTCAAAACGTGCGGGACGTAGCAAAGAGCCCGGATGCACTCAAGTGGGAGCGCGCGATGCGCGAAGAACTGGACTCTCTCGAGGAAAACTGTACTTGGGATTTGACCAGCCTTCCACGCGGTCGAAAGACTGTCAAATGCAGATGGGTGTTTAGCAGGAAGCGTGACGGTCGTTTCAAAGCACGACTTGTTGCCAAGGGATTCACTCAGGTTCATGGGTTTGACTATGATGAGACCTTCTCGCCAGTATTGCACTATGAATCTTTGCGCATACTTATGGCTCTGGCTGCTCTCGAAGACTGGGAGATTCATGCCATGGATGTCAAAACGGCATTCCTAAACGGGGATCTGGAGGAAGAAATCTATATGGAACTTCCGGAATTACCCAAAGGTTTCTCGTCATGGCCAAAAGAAAAGGTGGCACGCCTTCGTAAATCACTCTATGGGTTGAAACAGGCGTCTCGTCAGTGGAATATCAAAATCCACAATGCCCTCCTCGAACTTGGTTTTGCTCGGACATACTCCGACGCCGGTGTCTACACATATCGCCAACAAATGGGAGATACGGTCATCATCTTGGTGCTGTATGTTGACGATATGCTCATTATGGGCAACAATCTGCCGGAGATAGCGCGGATCAAATCATTGCTCGCGAACCGCTTCAAAATGACAGATCTTGGTCCTGCAAAGGATTTTCTTGGTCTGAACATAGTTCGTGATCGCAAAGCGCGTAAAATCTGGATTGATCAGACTTCTTATATCAAGGGAGTTCTAGAACGATTCCGGATGTCTTCTTGCAAAGAAGCTCTTACTCCCCTGCCTTCCGGCATTGTGCTCGAAAAGCATGATGGAGAAGTTGATGAAGACCGTCGTACCCGTTACCAGCAGTTGATTGGCAGCCTTCTATGGTGCGGTTCACTTAGAGACCTCACCCTGGGAACAACTGCCAAATTGGCCGCAGGCCAAATTTTTTTACAGTGTACCCCTTTTGGGGCCTAGATTTCGATCTCATTCGTAGATTTTGTAACAACTGTAGCCATATCGGAATTTCGACTAGATCTTGACGCGTGACTGATCAATTTTGTGTATCTTCTGCTTCCGCCATGCCCACCAAGGCGCAAATGGCCGCTGCAGCTCGAGTGCGCGCCAAACATGTTCAATGGTTCAAGAGGTGGTCGAGGACGCAGGCCATCTGTGCCTCTTGCTTCCAAAGTTTCATTGTGAGTTGAATTTCATTGAATACTTCTGGGGTGCTGTCAAAAAATACCTGCGCAATAATTGTGATTACACTTTCAACACCCTCAAGACCAATATGCCCTTGCGCTTGCCTCAGTCAGCATCTCAACAATCCGGAAGTGGGAACAGAGGATGGTCTGTTGGATGGACGCATATCGGAAGGGGATGGAGACTCAACAGGCTCAGTTGGAAGTTTGCAAATTCAGCTCACGTTCATACAAATCACACTGACGCATCTTTGAAGGCGTTGCGCGCGCTTCTGACCAGTAGCATATGATATTTTGTACTACTGCCAAATTGACCTTTCTCAAAATTTCCAGCTCGCTCAGTGATTTAATTGAGGCTTATCCCTCTAGCCATTCTCTTCCTTGAGTGAAAAGGAGCTGTTTCCCAAGAGGAAAAAAAATTAGGTTAATTCTGGCGTGACCAGTCACGTTGTTCCCAGGGTGAGGTCTCTAAGTGAACCGCACCATATACGCCATGCTTGGTACTCGCCCCGACATTGCCTATGCAGTCATCCGTCTATCAAAGTTCAACAGCAACCCGTCAGAACATCATTGGAACATGGCAAAATACATACTCCGGTACCTTCAAGGCACCAAAAACTACCAACTTTGCTATGATGGTTCCACTGGCGCAGGCCTTATCGGTTATTCCGATGCTGATTGGGCTGAGAACAAAGACGACAGGCATTCCACCACGGGATATTCCTTCTTCATCGCCGGTTGTGCAGTGACCTGGGTTTCTAGACGCCAACCCACGGTCGCTTTGTCCTCAACAGAGGCCGAATACATGGCTCTGAGCGATGCTATGCGCCAGATTGCCTGGATCCGCAATTTGTTGACTGAGCTCGGATATGACTTGCCATCCACGCCTCTTTGTGTTGATAACCAAGGCGCTATCTTTATGGCAGTAAATCCAGTTCATGATAGGAGGACGAAGCACATCGACATCCGCTATCACTTCGTACGAGAATCCGTCGAAGCTGGCAATGTCCAACTTTACCATGTGCCGACTGATGCGATGATCTCCGACACGCTCACAAAGTCTCTGGCATGGGTGAAGTTCCAACAACATCGGCTGTCTTTGGGTCTTCGTGATCCGACTGTTTAGTCGAGTGGGAGTGTTGAAGCTTGTTTGTATTAGCGACTATCACAGTATGTAGACATGACATCATAAGTAGCATTCTTAGATTACTTTGGCTCGCTCCACAATGACCTCATACCTGACCTCATTATTGCGTCATCCATTACTCATCTATGATATCATTACATCACTATGACATCATGATATCTGCTCCAGACTGGTATATAAACCTAGTACTATACGCTCCATATCCTCAGCTCCTGTGTCTTACACTCGCTGACGGACTGGCCTATCTATCCGACAAGTCCTGACGTGTGGCAGTGCATGTCAATCAGCAATCAGTGGGCGCACGCTTCGCACACAACTGAGGGTCTCCTCAATATTCCTCAGCCCTGGCTATTCACTGGTTCGTCCAGCCCTGCATATATTTTTGATATTCACATCCCTGGACTGCTGTCTGCACATTTATCTCTACACCCCTGCCTTTCTTACTTCACCATCCACTTGTACCTGTTTTTCCCCTCTCACTTCCCTGGTTCCTCTGTTCACCGTCCCTTGCTCCATCCTGTCGATATTTCACCCACTCTGATGATTATTTCATTGTCTCACATACAAAAGCTTGTAGTTGGACAAAAGAAAAATAGATTTATTCTCCTCATAGTCTTGAGTTCAGTTCTCGTCTTCAGCTCGTTTCTACTTGGGTATTTCGACCCTCTGCTTCGTCGCATCCGTCCCACGCCGCCCTCGACTTTGTCCCACGTCTAAAATCATCATTTCTTACTGCCTGCCACAGCACTGAATCTTGTGGACCTCCTTGCACATCACACTTATTCCTGCACTGTTTTAGGTCGTAGCTGACCCCCATTTTGTGTTAGCTCGCGCCTATTCCGTCCGCAGGCACGTCATTTTGGAGCCCACCGCAAGGGGATTTCAACATAGATTCTGGTGCCTCTCGCAGTCTGCGACACAACAATCATTCTGAGCTACGTCGCACGCTCCGTGAAGAGCTAGCTGTTGCTCTCAACGACCCCACAACTCTCTCTTTCGACGACGAACACCTTTTTGACATTGTCCCCAGCGCCCTTGCACAACACAACAACCTCTCACCGCATTCCCCGAGCTCTCCAACGCTATCCTGGCTCTTTGATTCGCCTCCAACAACGCGTTCACCATCCCCCCTTCACAACACGAATATTCCTTCTCAAAATATGGCTACTCCCACTCCCATGCCAGCCAGAGGCGATCGAAACGCCCCAGTCTTTGATTCGTCCAAGCCCCACGAGTTGCGCCGTTATTTCCTCGATCTGGAGTTCCTTCTAGCTCGATCTGCCGTCACTGACGCTGCCCAAATGAAGGGGCATGCGGTCAGATTCCTTTCCGTCGAAGATCAGGAGATTTGGGAAGGTCTACCGTCATTCTCAGACGCCAACAAATCGTACCACGACTTCAAATTGGACGCCCTCAGCCTCTACGCAGGGAACGACACAGATCGTCGTTTCAGCCTCGACGATTTGGACATGCTCGTTGGGCAGACATCTCGCATGGGAATCCACACAAAGGACGACCTCACACAATTTTATCGACGATTCCTACACATCACAACATTCCTGATTAGCAAACAACGACTCTCTGTGGCAGAACAGAGCCGATTTTTCCTTCGAGCTATGAATCCAGCCTCGTTGTCCGTCTCAGTTCGCCAGAGACTTCAGATCAAGAAGCCAGACGTTCACCCTGAGGATCCATATGATTTGTCAGATCTGTACGACGCTGCTAAATTCGTCCTTTCAGGATCATCGACCTTACTTCCTGGAATGCCCACGTCTCAGCCCGGAACCGAGCTCACAATCAAATCAGACCCTGGAATTACTGCACTAGTTTCATCCGTCTCAGATCTAGTTCGAATAATCGCTGCTCAACACGCCAATCCTGGTGCCCCAGCACAATCACAGTCCGCCAACGCCCTGCCCCGCCGTCGCCGTCCTGATGGCTGCAGTTATTGCAGTGATCTCGAGCATTTTATCAGCCAATGTCCCCACGTTTCGACGGATATTCGAGACGGAAAATGCCGCCGCAATGTGGATGGGAAAGTCGTCCTCCCCTCAGGCGCATATGTGCCAAATATTGTCCAAGGAAAGGATCTTCGAGAGCGCATTCAGAAGTGGCATGAAGCGAACCCAGGTCAGGCAGCAGCTCCGCAGATGATTTTGGAAGTTTCTCACCAGAATTTGCTGTCTTCTGCGGCGCCTGGGCTCGTTCAAACGTTCAAACTCACGGACGAAGAACGAATGGCAGTTCTGACGGCTGAAATTAATCAACTACGCACACGGGCCCAAGCTAAACGCGCTATGGAAGTTGCTAATCAACCAGAAGTCCCTGAACGCACTATTCCACCGGCGGTAGCGCGAAATCCAGTCGTTCCACCTGTTCCAATCGAAACCGTCCCTCCTGCGACCGCCCCTGCTGCTCCAGTTGCCCCGCCTCAACCCCCAATCCATCCGTACGCCGCAGCTCGTGATGGCGCTTACGCACCGCCCAAAGAACGAAATGTTGGGATTCCAGCGCAGAAATCACAACCCCCACGCTCTTCGGCTCCGATCTACAACCCCAAAGATGCTGCAGCTGTTTTCGACGCCATTTTGGACATCCCTGTCACCCAGACGCTTCGCCAGACCCTGTCGATTGCCCCAGAAGTCCGTGCTCAATTCCGCGAAGCCACTAGTTTCCGTCGTCCCCCTGCCAAGACTGGCGAGGCAGTGCCTCAATTCCTGCATCCTGTCACTGATAGCACGCCCTACGACCTTCCATATGCTCAGGACGACTCAGATTTGGTCGAAAAAGTGCTTCAGCAGCAACGAAACGAAGATGCACGCCTTGCTTTGGCTGCGGAGCATTTTCCAGTCGCCTACAGCCAGACGTTGCCCCCAGACGCTTGGGTGGTCCCAGATAAATTCGCCGTCTACTACGATCAGACTGGAAGGTTGCCAGACAATCTAGTTGTGGCTGCCGAGTCCCTGGCCATCCGCTCGATCCTCCCAGTGATTGACAACCAGCAACAAGTGGAATGCATCGTCGACAGTGGTTCTCAGATTATTTCGATGTCCCAGGCAACCTGTCACGAGTTGGGACTTGCGTATGACCCTCGAATCGTTCTACAAATGCAATCTGCCAATGGAACAATCACACCGTCGCTTGGACTAGCCCGAAACGTCCCGGTTCGCATTGGGGACATCACATTGTACCTACAGATGCACATTCTGCGTGACGCTGCCTACGACGTGCTCCTGGGACGACCATTTGACGTTCTGACGGAAAGCGTCATTCGAAACTTTTCCAACACGGATCAAACACTCACAATCACCGATCCCAACACTGGAAAGACGGCTACTGTGCCTACTGTGCCCCGCGGATCTCCCCGTGCCCGTTCAGAGGGTTTTCGCAGCTCGAGGATTTGATTCCTGATCAAGGAGAGTACGCCTTTGTGATCGAGGCCAGCCCAGATCAACCAGAACGCTACGTATTTTCGTCCTATGCCCCCATTTCTCTCACAGACTCTCTTGCGCACATACAACATACTTATCTCTCTGCCTGTAGCAATTTATCCGCACACAGTTCGACTATTTCTCTTGCACATACAGTCGTTCAACCGGCGTTTTCCTCAGCGACCCAGGATTCAACTCCTGGTTCAAAATTCGTTCCCATATTTTCTTTGAACTCGTCTCGTACCTATCCTACTGCTACGTCTCCTTCATCTCAATTCTACCCGTCCACGTCACAATTTGCTAACAAAAAGTACAAGCCAGTGGCCAGGAAAATTCGGCCTGTTCTTGGATCTGTCCCAGACGAATTCCGCATCGAGCGCCAGATCCTGGGCGACCCACTCGCAGATTTACCATATCTGGATCCTATTCCGCCTCCTTTTGTGCCGACTGGACGCTACACCGCCGAACGCAAGGCTGCTCTTGACGACGCACACCGCGGTGACTTCCTGTGGCCTGCTGAGAGAGATTTAATGCACCAGTTCATGTGCCTTCACCAAGGAGCCTTTGCATGGCAAGAATCAGAACGAGGACGTTTTCGAACCGATTTCTTTCCCCCTGTCAATATCCCAGTCATGCCGCACACACCGTGGGTCCAGCGCAATGTCCCCATTCCCCCTGGGATCTACGATCAAGTCTGCGACCTCATACGCTCGAAAATCGCTGCTGGAGTGTACGAACCGTCCAATTCATCCTATCGATCCCGTTGGTTCTGTGTGGTGAAGAAAGATGGCACCAGCCTTCGTTTGGTTCATTCCCTGGAGCCACTCAACGCCGTCACAATTCAGCACTCAGGCGTCACGCCGTTCACTGAGCAGCTGGCTGAGCATTTTGCAGGACGAGCCTGTGGTGCCATGCTGGATTTATATGTTGGATATGACGAACGGTTGCTTGCGCCAGCCTCCCGCGACTATACAACGTTCCAGACGCCCTATGGAGCTCTCAGACTTGTTACCCTGCCCATGGGATGGACGAATTCAGTCCCCATCTTCCACGACGACGTCACCTACATCCTCCAGCCCGAAATCCCGGAATTTACTTGGCCATACATCGACGACGTCCCGGGCCGTGGCCCCAAATCGAGATATCAGCTAGAAGATGGATCATTTGAGACGATCCCTGAGAATCCAGGGATTCGCCGGTTCGTTTGGGAACATTTTGGAAATCTGAATCGAATCGTTCAGAGGATGAAGTACTGCGGAGGGACATTCTCTGGCCTCAAGCTCATACTCTGCGCCGAAACCATCACAGTTGTTGGACATGTCTGCACACCGGCTGGACGAATCCCTGATGAGAAGAGAGTCGACAAAATCGCAAATTGGGGACCCTGCAAGACGCTCTCAGAAGTCCGTGCATTTCTGGGCACCATAGGAGTCTGCCGTGCATTTATTTCAAATTTTGCGCATCGTGCCCACGCCCTGACACTTCTAACACGAAAGGATATGCCATTCCACTTCGGTACTGCACAGATCGCTGCCCAAGACGACCTGAAGCACGCATTATTGAGCTGCCCTGCGCTCCGGCCAATCGACTATTCATCTGGGGACCCAGTTATCTTATCCGTGGACACCTCTCAGATCGCCGTTGGTTTCCTGCTTGCCCAGTGCGATCCAAACACTCCCAGTCGACGTTTCTATGCCCGGTTTGGCTCAATCACGCTTAACGATCGAGAAGCTCGATTTTCACAGCCCAAGCTAGAGCTGTATGGATTATTCCGCGCCCTTCGTTCATGGAAGCTCCACCTGATCGGTCTACGAAATCTAGTGGTTGAAGTCGATGCTAGGTACATCAAGGGTATGCTACGGAACCCCGATCTTTTGCCCTCAGCCAGTATCAACCGCTGGATCCTGGCGATCTTAACCTTCCATTTCGAGCTAGTACATGTCCCTGGCGTCAAACACGGCCCGGATGGATTGTCCAGACGACCCGCACAGCCTGGAGACGAGTTAGAGCATGAGGACGACGGTTTTGATGACTGGATCGACGAGGTGCACGGTTTTATGCACATAATCAATGACTTACCCTTCGTTTCACGACGCCAATCCACGATCCACTCATTTTCCGCCGAAATTGCACCCACCGAGTCCACAACACCGCCTACACTGAGCTACGATCAGGTACCTCGCTCAGAAGCAGCTCGACTCGCCGATCATCGTGTAGATCTGGTTCAGGGATGGCTTGAGACGCTACGACGCCCACGGGACATGTCTGAACAGCAATATCAGGCATTTATTCGGTTTAGCATGGAATTCTACCTCGAAAATCGAAAGCTTTGGCGCAAGGACGCACACGGACGCCACAAGCTAGTCGTTCCCTCCCACCGTCGAATATTCATCCTGCGATCTGCCCACGACGACGTTGGTCACAAGGGATTCCACGCAACGAAGGCTTTACTCACGGAACGATTCTGGTGGCCATTCCTTGCACACGACGTCACCTGGTACCTACGCACCTGCCACCTATGTCAGATTCGACAGACAAAGAAGCTCCTTATCCCCCCTACCGTCGCGGTCCCGGCCCCACTGTTTTCGAAAATTCATATGGACACTATGCACATGCCGCCAAGCGCTGGATTCCGCTACATTGTGCAAGGACGATGCTCGATTTCGCTTTTTCCTGAGTTCCGCATGCTGCGCCGTGAGACAGCGACCACCCTGGGCGAATGGATCTTCCAGGACTTGATCTGCAGATGGGGGACGCTCACAGAAATCGTGTCAGACAACGGCGCACCGTTTGTGAAGGCATTGGCGTACCTGGAAGCTAAGTATCACGTCCGTCATGTGCGCATTTCGGGATACAACTCACGCGCAAATGGGCTGATTGAAAATCCACATTTCGACATCCGCGAGGCGCTCTTCAAGGCTGTAGATGGGGAGCAGAAGAACTGGAGTTCTGCTGCTTATTCGGTCTTCTGGGCGGACCGTGTCACTGTCCGTCGTCGCATGGGCTGCTCACCCTATTTTGCGGTCACTGGAACGCATCCATTAATTCCCCTCGATTTATCAGAAGCCACATACCTGCTCCCGCCGCCCGAAACCGTCCTTTCGACCACGGATCTCATTGCACGACGCGCCATTGCGCTCCAGAAACGCCGAAGCGATCTAGAAGCCCTACACTCTCGAGTTTATCAAGCACGACTGCGTGACGCTGCACGCTTCGAGATCGAGCACGCCGCCACGATCTGCGACTTCAACTTCAAGCAGGGCGACCTGGTTTTGATGAGGAACACGGCCATCGAGAAGTCCCTCAATATGAAGATGCGCAAACGCTATTTGGGCCCATTAGTCGTCATTTCGCGCAACAAGGGAGGCGCCTACATCCTGTGTGAGCTAGACGGCTCAGTTTTCCATCGTCCCATCGCCGCTTTTCGTGTTATACCTTATTTTGCACGCACAACGATCCCCCTCCCTCCCCTGGACGATTTCCTCGATATCTCAACCGAGAAACTGCGCGAGCTCGAGCAGTCAACATTGGTGGACCCAGAAACAGATCAGGAAGAGGAGGAGAGCTGTGAAGAGTTGTAGAAGAGTTAGAGAACGCGTTTCAGTCAGGAGGATGCACCTGCACAGCTGAGCACCCTCTCCTTTCGACTTTGCTGCCCATTCCTTTCCCCCCAAGTCGCATCCTTTGATTCATCATTGTCTTGCGCAGCTCCGAGGAGCTAAGGCTATGATGATCTACTGAGCCTTTATCTTCACATTTCTATTCCTCAAGACACTTGTCCGCTATTCTATGACCGAGGACGGTCATTTTTTCAGTCAGGAGGAGATGACGGACTGGCCTATCTATCCGACAAGTCCTGACGTGTGGCAGTGCATGTCAATCAGCAATCAGTGGGCGCACGCTTCGCACACAACTGAGGGTCTCCTCAATATTCCTCAGCCCTGGCTATTCACTGGTTCGTCCAGCCCTGCATATATTTTTGATATTCACATCCCTGGACTGCTGTCTGCACATTTATCTCTACACCCCTGCCTTTCTTACTTCACCATCCACTTGTACCTGTTTTTCCCCTCTCACTTCCCTGGTTCCTCTGTTCACCGTCCCTTGCTCCATCCTGTCGATATTTCACCCACTCTGATGATTATTTCATTGTCTCACATACAAAAGCTTGTAGTTGGACAAAAGAAAAATAGATTTATTCTCCTCATAGTCTTGAGTTCAGTTCTCGTCTTCAGCTCGTTTCTACTTGGGTATTTCGACCCTCTGCTTCGTCGCATCCGTCCCACGCCGCCCTCGACTTTGTCCCACGTCTAAAATCATCATTTCTTACTGCCTGCCACAGCACTGAATCTTGTGGACCTCCTTGCACATCACACTTATTCCTGCACTGTTTTAGGTCGTAGCTGACCCCCATTTTGTGTTAGCTCGCGCCTATTCCGTCCGCAGGCACGTCATCGCTGAGGTATGCATTCTCCCTTACGATCTAATGACCCTTACTTATGACTTGTACCACAGACTCTGTGTCTTTAGGTACAGCTAATGCTTAGCTCCTGTGTCTTACACTCGCTGAGACTCTGTGTCTTTAGGTGATCGCTACTGGTCGTATCTCCACTGCGCGGTATTGTCTGCGACAATCCACGTCGGCATCCTCCTCCTCGCTTCCCACAGGCCCGGCCGGCATCGCCTCAGCCTCTAGCTCCCTCAGATCGGCATCGGTCTCCGCATCGTAGTGAATGGGGGCGCTCTTGCAGTCCAGTCAGTATGGTCTGAGACCCTAATAGGGTACCAAAAGTGGTCATTTTTTAGCCTTAAGAGGGTCCAAGACCACTCAGTGGTCTCAGACCATCCACCCCTTTGGGCACAACCACCCATCCCAAATCAGTAGCACACCCTATTTTGACTGTTGAAAAGGGTGGTCTTGACCATTTGTTGGCCTTTGGTTGCAGCCATCTCAGGTCAATTGATGGTCCTCACTGCATATGGTTGCAACCACCCTGTGATCATGCATTTGTGATTGCTCCAATTAGCCTTGTGGGCTGCTTGTATGGGCTGTTCAGCTTGTAGATGAGTACAATGGGGGTGCACTCAGCCCATCCCAAGAGGGGGATGCTGTATCCAGCCCCAGGGCCGGCCGTAGGCCGGGGGAAAAAAATTCTCAAATGCTCCAATTACCCTTGCAGGCTGCTTGTATGGGCTGTTCAGCTTGTAGATGAGTACAATAGGGGTGCACCCAGCCCATCCCGAGAGGGGGATGCTGTATCCAGCCCCAGAGCCGGCCATAGGCTGGAAAAGAAAATCACCCTTTGCTGGCTCGAGTGGGTGGTTGCAACCACTACAGGGGCTGGATGTGGTCAGGACCATCCTGTCCTCATGCATTTGTGAATGCTCCGTTTACCCTTGCAGGCTGCCTGTATGGATGTTTCAGCTTGTATACAAGAACATTGAGGGTGCATTCAGCGTATTCCCATAGACAGGTGCTGTATTTGATCCCACAGCCGGCCGTAGGCCGGGAAAGAAAAAAATTGTGAATGCTCCAATTACTTTGTAGGCTGCTTGTATGGTTTGAGCTTGTACAGAAGTACACTCAGAATTGTCTATTTTTGGCACATTCTGGGGCACTTGGCCAGAATTGAATATCAGCATAGGGTATTGTCCAGAAAAAGAATGTTGATTTCCCATCACTTTCTATACCAGCATCGGTCATGTACTTCACCACCATGTGGAATAGCACAGCTTTTGATTGCACATCAATTTTTGATGATGTTAATGATGTAATATAAGTTTATAATCAGTTCACCAGTCACATGTCACAAGAGCCCTAACAGGGAAGAAATACAATGATTGATCACAGGTCACAAGCCAAGGTGGCAATTTTATTTTTTCTCAGATTGGGTCTTTGTCACATCTGGTCATTAATATCGGGTGTTTCCAGATTTTTGGGGCAGGATTTTACCACTTGACAATTCTTTTTTGTCATAGATCACAGACCTAGCTGACGGATTAACAAATTGGTGCCAGATGTCACTTGTCACTGGGGGTGGCAAACTGATTATAAAGTTACAGTAAATATTAATCTCATCTTAACTGTCAGACCCTGATTGACATCATCTGCTTACTCAATTTATGCTCATGTTGTTGGTTCTCTCTTAGCCATTCAGGGGATATTCTTCCATGCAATCACTTACATTTGTGCTCTTCCAAGCCACTGCACTGTTGTACAATGCCTCCATGCTCTAATTTGTTTATTGATATCCTACATAGCTTTCAATGACAGCACATGTTTCTCTAGGCATATCCCTCTTCCTTTCCAACACTGTATGCTTCTCTAGCAATGTGCTGTTGTCTTATATCACATAGTAGAGCCAACTATTGAAGGAACAGAAAAAGCAGTGGAAGCAAGGGTAACAGGTAGAAATGAAAGTCACTCTTGTAATGCAGATATTCTTGCTGCAGTCACCCTAAGCAATGTGCTACTCCATTACAGTAAGCTATTTGGGAATTTTAGAGACCTCATTGCTCTAAAAGTCCTGCTCTATCTATTTTATTCAGGTGCAACTGGTTTTACATTAGCAATGTAAGAGGAACTGTGTAAGTGAGTTCCAACCTCTTGTCAATGTTGAAATGGACTTCTATAGGGTTCCACACTGAGAATATGAATTCCAAGGCAAGGGAAGACAAAGAGCCTCCAATTATTTGAACTTGAATTAGTAGTACATTTTCAGCTTGTTAAGCCATTCAAGTTCAAATAATTGGTGCCTAGAGAAACATGTGCTGTCATTGAAAGCTATGTAGGATATCAATAAACAAATTAGAGCATGGAGGCATTGTACAACAGTGCAGTGGCTTGGAAGAGCACAAATGTAAGTGATTGCATGGAAGAATATCCCCTGAATGGCTAAGAGAGAACCAACAACATGAGCATAAATTGAGTAAGCAGATGATGTCAATCAGGGTCTGACAGTTAAGATGAGATTAATATTTACTGTAACTTTATAATCAGTTTGCCACCCCCAGTGACAAGTGACATCTGGCACCAATTTGTTAATCCGTCAGCTAGGTCTGTGATCTATGACAAAAAAGAATTGTCAAGTGGTAAAATCCTGCCCCAAAAATCTGGAAACACCCGATATTAATGACCAGATGTGACAAAGACCCAATCTGAGAAAAAATAAAATTGCCACCTTGGCTTGTGACCTGTGATCAATCATTGTATTTCTTCCCTGTTAGGGCTCTTGTGACATGTGACTGGTGAACTGATTATAAACTTATATTACATCATTAACATCATCAAAAATTGATGTGCAATCAAAAGCTGTGCTATTCCACATGGTGGTGAAGTACATGACCGATGCTGGTATAGAAAGTGATGGGAAATCAACATTCTTTTTCTGGACAATACCCTATGCTGATATTCAATTCTGGCCAAGTGCCCCAGAATGTGCCAAAAATAGACAATTCTGAGTGTACTTCTGTACAAGCTCAAACCATACAAGCAGCCTACAAAGTAATTGGAGCATTCACAATTTTTTTCTTTCCCGGCCTACGGCCGGCTGTGGGATCAAATACAGCACCTGTCTATGGGAATACGCTGAATGCACCCTCAATGTTCTTGTATACAAGCTGAAACATCCATACAGGCAGCCTGCAAGGGTAAACGGAGCATTCACAAATGCATGAGGACAGGATGGTCCTGACCACATCCAGCCCCTGTAGTGGTTGCAACCACCCACTCGAGCCAGCAAAGGGTGATTTTCTTTTCCAGCCTATGGCCGGCTCTGGGGCTGGATACAGCATCCCCCTCTCGGGATGGGCTGGGTGCACCCCCATTGTACTCATCTACAAGCTGAACAGCCCATACAAGCAGCCCACAAGGCTAATTGGAGCAATCACAAATGCATGATCACAGGGTGGTTGCAACCATATGCAGTGAGGACCATCAATTGACCTGAGATGGCTGCAACCAAAGGCCAACAAATGGTCAAGACCACCCTTTTCAACAGTCAAAATAGGGTGTGCTACTGATTTGGGATGGGTGGTTGTGCCCAAAGGGGTGGATGGTCTGAGACCACTGAGTGGTCTTGGACCCTCTTAAGGCTAAAAAATGACCACTTTTGGTACCCTATTAGGCTCAAAAACCATCTGACTATAGTGGCTCTTGTTCTGTGTGTGGTGGTCGTTCAAGTCAGGATCCTCAGCCTCGTTGAACTTGTGGAGAATCTTCTGCACGATAAGATTGACGACGTGTGCAAGACACCAGATGCGTGAGTTTGCTGGAGCAAACTGGATATCGAATTTCTCCGCGAGAATGCGACTGAGACCAGCGCAGAGGGTGTCGTTCACGCTCGCTCCATCTAAGGTCAAGGATATGATGTATACAGCAGGTCAGATGGATCGATAAACGGAGAGGGGGCTCATATCTTTTTGAGAATGTCCAGCTTGGCCAAGCGCTGTGCCAGCGCGGCAGATGCGTACAGTCCTTCGTGACCCTTCTCCTCGATTGGGTGGAAGTCCAGCACCGCCTCAATGAGCTCCCAGTCCTCGGATACCCAGTTTGCAATCGTGCCGGCGAACGTGAAGATCATGGAACGGGTTGTCCAGGTGTCTTCTGATACCGCAATCTTCGAGGTTACGTCCTATGAATAGTCAGCTATGAGCCGGTGCGGTTTGCTGACGTACGTACATTCAGGGCGGACTTGACGTGACCGAGCATCGTCGCAAACATCTCTGCAAGCGTGTTACGGACAGTGGTGTCGGAGGGAAGGCCGTACTTTGAATCGACGTACTGGAAGACCCGTTTGAGTCCCAAACTCTCCCCGGTGGTGAACGCTAAACCCTTCTCCAACAGCCAAGCAGAAAACACGCGCAGAAAGCCCTTCTGGGACTTGCGCACCGCTGGATTGAGCGCTCCCTGTAGCAGGAAGCTCTCCATGATCTTTGATGACACGTCACCAGGCTCTCTCTCCTGGCCTGTGGACACAGAGGCTGGAGTCGGTGTGGGTTGGCCAAGATGCTGAGTGCGGATATGCGTGGCCAGGTTCCCGGTAAAGGGCTTGGAAGCCTCGTCGTCGAAGGACTTGTCTTTCTTGACCTTCCGTGGGACGGTAGATGACCTAGATGTGCCTGAAGTAAGTGAAAGGGCCTGCATCGAGCGCAGCATGACTTACTTTCCACAATGACGGCAAATGAACTCCCATCGCGCCCCGGATCCGCTAACAGTCGCGCGTGGTGGATGGAAATGATCAAGAGTGTTGGATTTTGGCCCCCGCTTCCCACCCTGACCCGCAATTTGAGCATCGTCGTTGTCCTCGTCGCCCACGTCGATTACTTCCAAGGTCGGGCCGGCGCTGGTCGATGTCTTCTTTGCACGTTTCTGGCCGCTAAATGTCAGACAAGAAGAAAGCTCCACGTGTTCTACGTACCAAAGATTTTGTCGCAGGTTGACCGTCAACTAGCACTCGTTTGTTGCCCTTCTTGGAGGTAGGCTGCAGAGTGAGTGAGAGTCAGAGTAATTCAATCAAAGTCGTTACACACACACCTCCGGATCTGGCCTATCGATCTCCTCAAGCTCAAAGTCATCCTCGTCCTCCTCCGACAGATTACCCAGCACGAGGTGATAGGCTGGCTACCAGACGCGCTCTGCACCAACTCTGTAAGGGCGTATTTTTGCGCTTTTACAGAGTTTACTCTTGAACCACTCGGTGTATCGTGTCGCGGTTGACAGTGTTGCGCTCAGTAGGACTTAAGGGTCTACTGCCCAGTCGACGACTGTGGACAGTGTCGACGATAGCAAGGCAGTCAGATCACTACTGTGGAATTGGTCTTATGAGTCTACACCAGGCTCAGGGCCATTAGTGACGAACGCTTGGACCGCGACCATTCCCCCAAAAAGGGATCTGTCATTGCGTCGACTTCTCGAAAAGGGTCATTCTCTGCAGATGGGAACTTGGGCTGAAGGGCTGAGCAATGCGCGACGTTCTCAATAATAGAACTACTACTGGACAGGACTTGGCGTTACGAGACTTAAACCATCTTGTCGCGGCAACTCCCGGTTCTGAGTTGGACGTTTCCTCAGATCATGCCACGACGACGACTTGTCACATGTCAGGATCCATTCGATCACGGGACATTGAGGACGCGTCGCGGTGACACTCCCAAGTGCCACGGCGATTCGCGTCAACACCCAAACACACTAGAAATTGACACGGCTAGATCCGTGAGCCGAACCATGTGGGGGACGACTGGCGTGCCTAGGGCCATACGGCTTCTTGGGGCGCCCACGTTGGTCTCACATGCCAAGACATACCCATTGGCCAATCCAGCACGTCGTATTCCAAAAGTATGACGCGGTGGGTTGACCCACATCAAAAGTATCATATGGACTATGGGGCGGGGTCCTGATCACTCAGGACCTGTCCGATCGTTCAACTTTTCAATTACCCTAAAAGGCAACCGATCTTAGATAGCGTAGCTACTATGCAGTTGTACAGGACTTTACTAAGCACCGTCGTAGACAGTATAAGTAGCACGTCGTTTCTTTGTATTAGAAAGCTTTCCCCCGGACTGTGAATCACTCTCATTTCAGATTGTTTTGCACAATTTGCGTGCCGCGTGATTCCACCCTAAGAAGTTCTGCCACCCCTGCCCGGTCGCGACGAGTTGCTCCCTGAGCACTTGTAGCTACTGTGATTTGAGTTTGAGTTGAGATATCAGAAAGTCGGATTCGCCGCATCTGGTATTGTCGCGGCATTTAGTGTCGTCGCCTTCGGGCTTTGTTGAGATCGTTCCACACCTCTAGTTTGGCAGTGCGTTGACTAGTTGTGCTCGGGTTGTTTTGGTCAGTTGGCAGTGCGTCGACTTGAGAACTTTGGTTCCACACTTCTTGCTTGGCAGTGCGTCGACAAGTTGTGCTCGGGTTTTGGACATTGGATATTGGCTGTTAGTTGGCAGTGCGTCGACGCGGCATTTTGGTTTACTAGTTGGCAGTGCGTCGACTCAGTACTTTTGGTTGTGTCAGTTGGCAGTGCGTCGACTTGACATTCTGGTTCTACTAGTTGGCAGTGCGTCGACTCAGTATATTGGTTGTATCAGTTGGCAGTGCGTCGACTTGATATTTGGGCTTTGCGTCACCATCTGGACGCTGTCGCTACAAGGGATCTTAATACTTCGTATTAAGTTCTGACTTGTTATATTGTTGGTTGTGGATTGGATTAGTGTTGGTTGTGTTTGTATAGAAGATATTGGTTGAGACACCACTGTTTGCTATATATATATATCCTTGTCGTCGACTTCGTCTTCCGCGACTATTGGATCTGCGTCTATTGAGAGCTGTGATACTGGTGTTCTGTCCACCCCGAAGCCCTCGCATCTTTCACACACTGAGAAGCTGATTACGAGGAGTGTGAACGTGTTTATATTTGGGTTTACTTTCATAGTAGATTCACTTGTGAGCACGCCCTCAGCATTTCATCTGGAGCCCACCGCGAGGGGCTTCTAAAGTTTCATAAACTTTAAAAATCAATAAACCGGATTCTTTACCGCGACGTCGGATAGAGACCAAGGGTTTATCCCGCGAAGCAGTTTATTTCGATCCCAAGCTCCTGCGCAACCTCTTGAGGACCAAGCGGAGATTGAGACTGAAGGAAACGCTTCAACTTCAGGACCTTTCGAAAAACCACGAAGGTCTGCAAGACATAAAACACCTTTGTATCTACCACCCTTGCCTTCTAAGGCAAAAGGAAAACAAAGAGTGAATTCGTCGTCGAAGCTTCCAGCTTTAGACGCGGCTACTTCGAGTTCGACAACAATCAGTCGATCTCAGACTAGCTCACAAACCCTCTCAGAATTGTCTAGTAGCGTCACCGCTACAAACACGAATTCTAACAACATCCCTACTTCCCCTGTGACTTCAGTCGCGACAACTATGGCTCCAAAGACTGGGTTCAAAATCCCTCAACCTTGGGACACAAGTAGACCTATACTTGATGAAAAGGATCCCCTGTCGATTGAGGCATATTTGCGTCACTGCGCGCAGATCGTGGAGGATGGTGGCATCACAGATGTCAAACAAGCAAAAAGCATGTACATCCGTTATTTGCCGTCGCGGCAAGTGATGGACGTATGGGAAGGTCTCGATACCTATTCCGACGACACGAAAACTGTCGCGGAGTTCGAGGCCGAAATATTAAAAGGATACCCTGAGGTATCCAAGCGAAAAACGGGGACCATGGCAGATCTAGATAGACTCTGTCGCGAGAACCGTGGAATCAAAATCACGGATGAGGAGATTTGAAGCGCTTCGGCCTTCAGATGTATAGTCACTACAAGCGACTGTCAGTCCCTCCTGCCATTATTACCAACAAAGTCGCGTGTGAACGCTACATGCGTACTTTGGACTCTGAGTTCAGTACCGTCTTGAGGAACGCTTTGGCTACGAGTCAAGTATTCAATAAGCGCTACCAAACTCGCGCTGGGATAGCAAATGCTAATGTCCCCGCGACTGGAGTCAACCGGCAGGACGACCCCATCCAGCTGAAAGAGCTAATGACAATGGCGGAAGAAATGGCGTCGACGTTGAGTAACGAAGACGAAATTCCCATAATCGCGCGACCTCCAAAGGTTCGCTTCGACTATGAGACTAGTCCACCCAACCATGCTAAGGTTGAGGAGTTGGAAAACTCGATTTCTAACTTGAAGGACTCATTTCTTCTACACCAAAAAGAGCTACAGACTCAGTTGCAGGAAGCGCTGAAGACGTTCGTACAGACTGCTTGCGAAGCGCCTATACAGCGGTCGCGGCCAGTAGGCAACAACTCTTCTGTGCCCACTTTGAAAGTCGCGTACAAGGAGGAGCTGCCGCACAGAACGACGACTGTCGCTACTGTGGACAAACTGGTCACTGGTCGAACGAGTGCCCGCTCAAGAGGTCTCACATTGAGAAAAACCTTCTCAAAGTCGACACCAAAGGGATGTGGAGGCTCTTCGACGACAGTTTCCTACCAAATGGAGAGGGGACTCAGGGGCAACGAGTAGAGGCTTATTGGAAGAAGAAGGGCAAATCCGTCAACTTCCAGGACTCCTACTACTTGGATCAGTTCGATAGCCGCGACAATGATGATATGTCCGACTACCCTGAAGAAGTGGCAGATGAGATACGCTCCCTTCGTAGTCAACTCATCCAATATGAGAGGAAGTCGTCGCGGCCAACTCCAGAGAGTCGCGCTGAGCCGAAGACTCAAAGAACTGCATCTGGTTCAACCAGCAATGCAATGGAAAGTGCCATGGGCCAATTCATGCAGAAAGCCATGACCGACGCCATGGCCGGCTACTTCAACAACATGAACAGTGGTTATCCTCAGACTCAGGAGCAGTTCATTCAAACCCGTCGAGGTGCGAATAGCCAACCTGAGCGCGACGATAACAACTCGGGTTTCTAAATGGTTCAAGGAAGGGGGCTAAACCCACAAACTCAGCTAAGCCCTCTGAGGACCATGATAAACGAGCTGAGCGACGAGAGAAACCGAGGAAACCTGTGATTATTGAAGAAGTTAGCGATAGCGACGATGATGAGGAATCAGTGCGCGACAACGTCGAAAAGAGAAAGGAACTACCGTTTGAGAAAGTCAAGCCCGTTCTACAAGAACCAGTACGTTCTTCAAAAGTGCGCGTTCCAGATAAATACCAGTTGCGTGCACCGATTCAAAAGAAGGCTGTAGCAGAAGCAGTCTACGACAAAATGAAAAACGCGTCAGTCGACGTCACTGTGGGTGAACTCCTAGCAGTTTCGGGGACTGTCCGCGACTCCATTCTAAAGGACTCTTCGAAGAAACGAGTACCGGTTCAGAAGTCCATGCTTCAAGAAACTGGCCGCGTCGTTGAAGACGTCTGGGATGGAGAACTGAGCTACAACCTAGTCAGTGCTAAGGAATTGCCCGAGCCTGTGTTCTATCATAACACAGTTGAAGGAGAAATTCCCATTGGCGCAGTTGTCGCGACGGACCCATATGAGATGTACTTGGAGTCAATACCCTCTAATGAGAACCCAAGACATGTCTATGTTGGTGATTCGTCGGCTGCTCTCAGAACAATAAACGGACGGATTAACGCGCGTCTCGACGCGGACTGCATCCTAGACAGTGGATCTCAGATTGTATCGATGGCTTTCTCAGAGGCCGTCGACGCACAATTGAGCTGGGACCCAAAAGTCGTCATCTATATGGAAAGTGCAAATGGATCTATCTCTAAGTCACTGGGATTAGCGAGAAATGTACCCTTCAGGTTTGGGACCATCCTGGTCTACCTGCAAGTGCACATTTTGGAAAGTCCAGCTTATAAGGTGTTGCTCGGCAGACCGTTCGATATCGCGACTGAAAGCAATATCAAGAACGCGGCTGACGGCAGCCAGATAATCACCATGCGCGATCCCAATTTAAAGACACGTTGTGCAATGGCTACGCAGCCACGTCGTGCAGACGACTTGCCGCGTAACATCAAAAACAACGATGGATCTACCGAGCCCTACAGTTCGTCAAAACCGATGACCAGTCCAGACGAACCGAACCCTGAATGGGATTTTCAAAGAGCTTCGAGGAATTGACCGCGTTGAGTCAAGGAGAAGAAGTCGCGGTGACTGTGTCGTTGGGAAAGGATGGGAATGTAGTGTTCGAGGATCTAAGAAAGCCGCGTTCTAGTGGCCAGTTTACCCAAACTAAGCTAGTAGAAGCATACATCTTGTCGTCGAAAGAGGACAAGGAAATGAAGAAAGACGTTGCTGCGTCGACTTTGTTTCATTTATATATGAATGAAAGACTCTCAGACGCGGCAACAGAAAAACTGACTGTTGGTACTTGGAGTGTACTAGACGACGACTCTTCTAGTCGCAACAAATACTCTGTGTTCGCAGGAAAGAAATACAAACCTGTGGACCAGAAGGTCAGACCAGTGTACACGATGGGTTCTGAGAGCGACCGAATAATTCGAGAAATGGTGGGAGATCCCTTGGATACGCTACCTACTCTAAACCCGCGACCACCTGATTTTACCCCAACTGGTAGATTCACGGCGGAACGCAGGGATATTGTGGACAAGTTACACAAAGGGGACTTCTTATTACCAGAAGAACAGAAGTTGCTCATGCACTTCTATATGCTTCACAATCAAAGTTTCGCGTTCAATGATGAAGAGCGTGGCGCATTGAGACAGGACATATTTCCTCCTGTCAAGATCGCGACAGTTCCCCATACAGCATATCGCGAAGGGAATATTCCTATACCTCGCGGCATGTTCGACCAAGTGTGCAAGGTCATAAAAG